TCTTTGTTTTAAAAAGCATATACCATATTCCAGATCCATCCTAGTGAAGAGCAAATAATTCAACATTGTTATTATTGAAAGAATAATAATAAACTAACTAGATTTGAGTGAAATACTTTAAAAAAATATATTTTAAATTCAAAATCTAATCTGTGTGAGTGAGTAAAGAAAAAAATTAAATTGAAAATTACTATTAAAAATAGTGTTCAGAAATTTCTAATTAATTATTAGAAATATCTTATCAGAAAATATATAGAAAATTTTATTTATTTTGTTATATTTAAATAGAATTTTCATATAGAAAAAAAATTAAAAGTATTTGTCAATTCTTAAAATCTGTAATAAATAAATAAATAAATCACATCACACATAATTTTGTTTAAATAAATAATTAATTAAAAGAAAAGATAAAATAAAATAAAATTATAAAAAAAGAAAAATAAAATGATCTCACTTAACCAAAAAAAATCTATCTTTTATAGTCGAAAATATTTTTAATCATAATTTAATAGAATTTTCTTGTGCTCAATTAAATAGCAAAAAAACTTTGATAAAATAAATCAAAAAAATAATAATAAAAAATTATTTTAATTATTTTAGAAATAAACCTTTTTAAATTGTATTCCAGTTTAATTATTTAGCAATTAAGTTGATAAAAACAAGCCAAAAATTATAAAAGCCAATGATGAACTACTTAATCGCTTTAATGAAAGTCCTTAAGATTCTTAAATTTGGTTTAAATTAGGTGTGGATCAATTTAATACCAATATGCATGAAGATGCAAAGAAGTTCTTTGAAAAAGCTATTGAATTAAATCCTTAATTGGGTGAAGCTTATATGTATTTAGGTGCTATTTCTCAACAAAAAGGAATGATAGAAGAGTCAAAAGAACTTTTATTAAAAGCTATTTAACTTGATGATAAATGTTATAGTGCTCATATGTATATAGCAAACTATTATTTAGCTACTAACTAGGTAAAAAAGGCTATTAAATCCTGTGAAAAGGCATTGAAAATTGGACCAATTAATCATTGGGCATATCATGTTTTAGGAATGTGCTATTACAGATAATAAGATCTAGAAAAAGCTAAAACATATTATTATAAAGCTATTGAATTAAACTCAAAAGTAAAAGAACCTTTTTTAAATTTAGGAAATATTTATTTAGAGTAAAATATGAAAAAAGAAGCTATAGAATGCTATGAAAATGCTTTGAAACTTAATACAAAAAAAGAAGATTTATATTATATTTATACTTAATTAGGCTAAGCTAATTATTTCATTAATGAAAAAGAAGCTATAAAATACTTAAAATTAGCTATCTAGATAAAACCTGATATTAAATCTTTTTATTTATTAGCAATGTCATATATTTCTCTCGATAAAATAGAAGAGGCTAAGGAATGCTATCTAAAGGTTTTAGAAGGAGATCCTCATTCTTTAGATAAATATGAATATTTATTTAGTATGCCTCTCTCCAATTAGTAGTGGTAACGAGTGAAAAAAGGGCTAGAAAAATCCTTAAAATAAAATGATGATAATCCTTTTATCTATTATTTCCTAAGTTAAGCATGTGCTTATTTGAGTTTGATTGATGAGGCAATTCTATACGGTGAAATGTACTTAGAATATTATCCATTTAATTTTTTTACTCCAGATGAAGCATTATATAAAAAAGCAAGTATCTATCACTTTCTCATTACTTTTGGAAATAGGGGTAAATTAATTTTTTTAATTTTTAACTCAAAAAATATTTTTTTTTTAATTTAAAATTATTTTGAAAAAATAAATAAATAATTAATTTAATGATTTTATTTTTATTTAAATTAGATTCTACAGAAAAAGATAACTTAATTTAAGAAGCAAAGGAATGTTTTTAAAAATATTCTTTACTAATGTTGTCCCATTTTAATGTATCTTTGGGGTTTGTCAATATACTTTAGGGAAATGTAAAAGAGTCAATTAAAATATTTTAAGAGTATATGAAAACTTATCCTCATTATTAGCATGTTAACTTTTTAACTGGAATTAGTTATTATTTAGAAGGAATAACAGATAAAGCTTAATATCATTTTGAAAATTGTTTAAACACTAACCCTAAGCACAAAGATGCAATCTATAATCTAGGAATAGTTTATGATAAGCTCAAAAATTAAGATATGGCCAGACATTTTTATAAAAAAGCTTTTGAAATTAATCCTTCGTTTAAAGAAGTTTAATAAAAAATAAATCTCAATTATGATCCTAATAATAAACCTCAAATCACTGAAGAACTTAAAAATATATGTATAAAAGCAATAGAAGGGGAAAATATTTTTATATAATCTTTCTCTGTTGAATTATTCTAAGTAGCAATTATTTATGCTTTGTTAGATATGAAAAAAGAAGCTCTAAAATTTTGTGACTATGCTATTATTAATAATTTGTTATTTGCAGATGCTTATTGTCTTAAAGCAACAATATTAACTGAATTAGGTTAAAATTAAGAAGCAAAAGAATTTTTTGAAAAAGCTAAAAAGTTAAGAAATTTTTGAACAAATCATTTAGATAAATATTTAGATAGATAGATAGTTAGTTGCTGATTAAATAATCAATAAATAATAAAAAAATTTTAATTTATAAAATTTTACAATATTGTTGATAGTTTTTTAACTTAAATTTTATATAAAATCTTAAATTTGCTCATAAAGCTATCTATTTTTTTTTATTTATGTTTTGACAAACATATGTTGAATGTTTTATTAATTTTTAAATTCCTTAATATAAATTAAGTGAATATTTTAAATTTGAAATTACTTTTTAAAAAAATCATTAATAAATAAGAATCATTTATTTACTATTTATCTATTAAAAAATTTAATCAAATTTTATAATATTTTTTATTATTATAAAACCTTTTTTTGTTTCTGTGTTTACTAAAATTTTTTGCTTAAAATTTCGAAAAAAAAAATTTTGAAAAAACTTTCTACATTTTGATAAATTTTTGTAAGCATTTTAATAAAATCAAATATAGAGAAAATAATTAATTAAGATGTAGAACAAAAAAATGTTCATAATTAATAGAATATTCATTTGAAATATCACAAATCATGATGTCATTAATGGTTGGTTGGTGATATTTAAAATGAAGGAAAAGCTATATATATATATTTTAACTTTTGATGTAAGTAATAATTAATTATAAATTAAAAATTTTCATTGATTATAAAATTTAATTCTAATTTAATAATAAATATGAATCGAATATAAATAAATAAATAATAAGTATTTATTTTTATCTTAATTTATAAATTTATTTTTGAAGCAAGTCAAACTTAGAACCAGTTCACTGTAGTTTCTATTTAATTTTAAATGAAATATTTTACTTTAAATTAAATGAAATTTATGATTAAAAATTCATAAAAATAAGTAAAATTATATTAAACTTTACCAATAATATTGAATTTTAAGGTTGTTAGTCTTTTGAATTTTTTTGTCATCTAGAGTGCTTTTTTAACTTTACTTATTGGTCCTAAATATTTACTAATATTTATATCAGTAAAAAATATAATATAACCATATTAATAAATATGAGGAAAATTTACTTTATTTAAGCCTTAAATTGATATAAATGGCTTAGATTTTTAACATTTTTGACAAGATGAAACAACGATTCTTACTAAAATCTAAAATAAATAATTTAAATAGTTAAACCTTGAGTTCGTATTTTGTTTTTTATAAAATATACTCTCCTAATATTTTAATTTTCAGTTTCTCAATCGAAATGTTTGTAGACAGCTTGTTAAAGAAACAAGATATAAAGCTATCTTCGAAAGCATTCCTTTATAATTATTTATTTTATCATAAATATTAATTATTATAAATGAATAAATAAAAAATAAATATATAAATAAACCAAACAAATAATTGAATAAATTTTTAAAATAAAGAAATAAATAACTTACTTGTTCTCAAAATTAAGAGCTAAATATTTTACTTATTTCATTTTGCTTAATTCATTTCCCAAATCATTTAAAAAATTTTCATGTTAATTGCTTTAGATAATTTTTTTTTTTAATTTTAATTTATACTGTTTAATATGTTACTCAAAGCTTAATTTCAAGTAATTTAATTTCTCTAAAGTCTGCAAAGAATTAAATAATTTTATGACTAAACTTTCCTTTTAATCTCTGTTTTTTATTTAATTAAAAATTAAAATTAAAGAGAACATTCTAGGAGATTTGAAAAATGAATGAATATTAAAAAAGTGACTAATTATTTACTCTTGAATTACAATTTCGCTAAATTTGAGTTAAAGAAACACTAAGTCTTTTAGATATTTCAGTTATTCTGCTATTATTTCCATAGATTTTGAATTTAGGCTTTTAAAAATGATATTTTAAGCTTATAAAGTTATAATTTTAATAAGGTTTTACTTTATCTTTAAGTTTAATACTTAGAGATGACTTAAATTTTAAACTTGTTGCACTATTTCTGTACAATATTCAGTTAAATCAATTATTTAATGTTACTTATAAAAGTAATTTTTACTTTTATATTATTTTAGTGTAAATAAAACAATAATATTTATTTAAAAAATAATAATAGTGATTTTAAAAATTAGTTTTAATATTTTTCAATTATCAACTCAGAAAAAAAGAAAGAATAATTTATTATATGGGTCATTTTAATTTTTAAAAAATTTATTTTTATCTATTAAATAAAAATTTAAATTCAGAAAAAATATCTATTTATATGAATTATTATTTTATAACCCTAGGCTGAATTACATATTAATAATAATATTTAACTAAAAAATTAGTGATTTTTTTCAAAAATTTAATAAATAATTGGGTTACTTACTTCTTTAATAGTTCAAATTTTAAAGTTTTTAAGTCAGTTTTTCTCATCAAGCAATTAGCAAAATCTGAAATGAACTAAGGAGATTATGTGCTTTTTTTGATTATTAATTAAATAAGTAAGAAATTGAATAGGGTGTTAATAGTATAAATATTACTAAACATAGAGAGTCAATTCTTTCAAATAATGTTATTAATCTATGAACTTAACTAATTAACCAAAATTATCTTCTAACTTTTCACTTTGATAATTATTTTTCTAACTTTAATAATAAATACCTTTGATTAGATTTATATTAATATTTAGATTATTTACCCAATACAAATTGATATTTATTTAAGATTAGTAATTGGTTAAATGATATCTAGCATATTATTGATAATCTACTGATATTTCCTGAATTAAAATAATAAATAAAAAAATTAGAATAAATAATATATGGTTTAAAAATTTAGCAAAGTAGATATTTTACCCAATTAATTCTAAAGCTTCAATATTCTTCAGAATACTAATGACATATGCAATCACTCTAGACTAAATTTCATTTGCACCAAAAGATTAATTGCTTTAATAATATATAAAGTATTCTTCATTCATTAAAATTAAAATTAAAAAATTTTTAAATTAATTATAATTAATTAATTATTTTGATTTAGACAGTATTTTATTTCACAAAATATTTCAATAGGTAGATATATTAATAAAATAATAATAAATAAACTTTAATTTCTAGAGTTCAAAGAATCTCAGAATTAGTCGAATAAATTATTTAGTTCTTGCTCATGATTAAAAATAATCAAAAAATATTTTTATTTATTTTTAAAAATAGCTAATAAATAAATTTTCTTAAATCTGAAATTAAAAAATTATATGGGATTTTTTAAATATTTACTATGAAAAATAAAAAAATCTAAATAATTAAGTAAATAAATCAATAAATCAATACTTTTTTAAATAAAATATTAATAAATGAATAAAATAAGTTAGTTAGTTAGTTACTTTAGATTTATTGAAATAAATTTATAGTCCATATATTATTTTTTAGCTTTTTCGATTTCATTGAAAGCCATTTGAAAGCTTACAATTGAGTTTTAACTATCTTTGTCATTTTAACTAATCCAAAATTATCTTGCTTTGTCGTATAACGTGATCCATTCAAATGTTTCCTTTATGATTAAAAATATAATGACAATCTTTTGTAAAATACAAATAATTAATTTTATTTACTGTTTCATTTATTGCTTTATGAATATCACCTATATTTATTTTTAAATTAATAGAAAGTAAGGAATTATTTTATTTTAATTAATTTTGAGCAAAAAATAAATAATATCACCTTAGAATTCAAGTATTTCTATTAATTAAAACTCTCTCTCAAGATGCAAGCAGCTTTTTGAGTCCACTTCATAAATGGATTCTTAGTAATTAGTAATATTACATCCACTTTGACTGAATGTTTAAAGAAAATTTTATGTAACATCACTCAGATAGTGTTGATATCCTAATATTGTTTTATCAAAATCGATTACTTTAAAATATCTATTGTTTATTTCTAAAAATAGCCCATATATATTCTCTTTAAGTTTAATTAGATCTCCATTTAATTAGTGCTTTTTCTTTATTAATTCAAACAAAATATCAATACTCTAGAAATTTTATTCTTCATTTTTGCTTTCTGAAAAATCTAAATTTTTTATTTAAACGCTCTTTTTTTAGCTATTTGGATTGTTTTATTTTTTCATTTTCGTTAATTTAAATTTCAGAGCAATATTTAATTATTATCAATTTTAATATCAAGTTCAAATAATTAATTAAGAATCTTATCAAAGAAGCTGAATTATTAGAATATTTAATTTTATATGTCATAATTATTTTTTAAATTTATTTTATTTATTTTGTTTAAAATAAATTAATTTAGAAGTTCTTATCTAGAATTTTTCATCATTATTAAAATCAAAATTCATTAAAAACTTTAAAGAAAAAAATTGATTCCTCCGAGGTTTGAACTCGGGACCTTCAGTGTGTTAGACTGACGTGATAACCACTACACTAAGGAATCCTTTCTATTAACAAATTAATATAGTTTTAACTAATTTTGTTAAATTACTTATAATTTTTATATTAATTAAGAATAAAAATTTAGTTTTAACATTATTAATGATAGAATTCAATCATAAATATTTTTTAAAAAAAAGATAGATAAAAATGATTCCTCCGAGGTTTGAACTCGGGACCTTCAGTGTGTTAGACTGACGTGATAACCACTACACTAAGGAATCCTTTCTGTTAATTAAACATTTAGTCATATTAATTTTTTTTCCAATTAAATATTACAAAAATATATTCTAAAATAAGCCAAAAATAAGCCTAAAACATCATTTTTATTGCATTTATAGTTAAATGATTTAAAAATAATTATAAAAAATAATCCATTGCAATAAAGCTAGAAATAAAAGTAGTTTTATATAGAAAGAAAGATATCAAGAATTTGAATGAAAAGAATCAAAACAATATCATTAACATTAAATAAAAAAATGATTCCTCCGAGGTTTGAACTCGGGACCTTCAGTGTGTTAGACTGACGTGATAACCACTACACTAAGGAATCGTTTATGCTAATAAAATAAGTTTTGCAACTGATTTTATTAATTTTATTGATCATAATTTAATTAAAAAAATTATTATTTATTTTAGTTAAACATGATATTCATCTAAAATTATTTTGTTTAAAAAAAATGATTCCTCCGAGGTTTGAACTCGGGACCTTCAGTGTGTTAGACTGACGTGATAACCACTACACTAAGGAATCGTTTGATGATAAATAATAAAATGTTTAGATCAAATTTAATTCATTTTGATAGTTTTTTTTTATTTATTAAAAAAAAGTAAAAATTAGCAAATTTGTTTAGAAATTATAATTAATTATCTTAAGACATTTAGAAAAATTATAAAAAATGATTCCTCCGAGGTTTGAACTCGGGACCTTCAGTGTGTTAGACTGACGTGATAACCACTACACTAAGGAATCGCTTATGCTATATAATCAAATTTTGCAATTAACTTTGCTAATTTCTTTTGTAAAATTAATAGTTTATTTATTAAACTAAAAAATAATTATTTTTATTATTGATTTAATAGAAATGAAAATGTTTTTATTTGTTTACTTAATGAATTAAAAAAATGATTCCTCCGAGGTTTGAACTCGGGACCTTCAGTGTGTTAGACTGACGTGATAACCACTACACTAAGGAATCCTTTCTATACATTAAAAAATTAATCATAGTAATTTTATTAAATTTATCTAAAATATTATATTAAATATTTATTTAAAAAAATTCATATTAGGCTTAAAATAAATTAATTTGATTTGAATTAATTTACATACTCAAAAATTTAGTTAATAAAAAAAAAATTGATTCCTCCGAGGTTTGAACTCGGGACCTTCAGTGTGTTAGACTGACGTGATAACCACTACACTAAGGAATCGCTTATGCTATTTACCTATTTTTGCAACTAATTTTGTCAAAATTTATTATAATATCATTTTTAAAAATTATAAATCATAACATGTAATTTTTTTAGATTATTTTGAATAGAATTTCTTTGGAGAAAAAAAATTAAAAATGATTCCTCCGAGGTTTGAACTCGGGACCTTCAGTGTGTTAGACTGACGTGATAACCACTACACTAAGGAATCGATTATGCTATGAATTAATTTTAGCAAATTTTGTCAACCAATTTTTAATTAAAATATAATTAAATTTATAAAATTAATAGAACATTTTTATTTAGTTCTTTAATAATTTTCATTTTATAAAAATACAAAAATGATTCCTCCGAGGTTTGAACTCGGGACCTTCAGTGTGTTAGACTGACGTGATAACCACTACACTAAGGAATCGCTTTAATGTAATTAAAACTATCTGATAGCCATAGGGAATATGATTTTATGATAGTGGCAAAAAGCAGGATTAAAAATGAGTAAATTTACAAATTTATAGTAAATTAAATAGTTAATAAATAAATTAATTATTATATTTATCAGCATATTAGATTGATTCTACATAATTTTACTAGACTAATAAATGGTTTCAATACAAAAAATAAATCAGTGAATTCGCTTTTTTTATGGATACTATACAAGTTAAATTTTTCTAAGGTTATTTATTATTTAAAATAACAATATTGTTTGTAGCTTTTCTATTTCGTGATATTGCTATTCTAAAGCAAGATATATAATATATATTACTTTTTTGATGAAAAATTTTGATTAAAGATAAAGAAACATAAATAGATAGATAAATACATACATACATAAATAGATATATAGATAGTTGGATAATATAAGCTTATTTTTTCATATTATTTCTTAATTGTTAAAGCATAAATGATTAATAGAGATTAGCAATTCAAGCAAATTCTTAGTTCTTAGAAATATGAGGGAAGCACTAATAACTAGAATAGAGTGAGTTCTTCTACTTATTTTCCTCAAGAAAGCCAATCTTCAAGTAATTTAATGATTACACTTTAGAGACCGCAAACTGCGAAGTTAAGCTAAAAATCATTCACGAAGCTGCCATAGCAAGGAAGCAGTTCTTAGATTAAAAATATAGATTCGTAAAGAAGTTAAAAGAGCAACCCTCTTATGAAGCACAGAAATGTATCTTCTCCTGGTCACATGCAAAAGTCAGTGAAAATAAATACTAAAAACAGCATATCTAACTATTAATTAGGTAGCACTAAATCAGAATTGACTTTTAAATCATTTGAAAATATTCCTGCTTCTAGTCATAACATTCAATAAAACAATCAAATAACTAGCAATACTTAGAAAGGATATTCTCCTTAGAAAACTTAGAACACTTTCTATCAGCAAACTGGTTAAAATTAAAAGCAGAGTATGATGCATTTGTAGAGTTAAAATTAATATAAATATGAAGAGTTGTCACAAATAAGCGATTCTAATATTATGTACTAGGAATAATATGATTAAATGAACTAAGATGTTTCTTTTTAAATTTAGCAAGCTCTCAATTCAATCAAAGTTGATTAAGTAATTAAGCTATTTGAGAGTAAATGCAAAGATATTAAGTTAGATGTGCAATTCCCGCAATTAATTAAATTTGTTGACAGAGTTTAGAAATCTTGCTAAAATGGTAAACTAGATCTTAGTGAGTAGTCGCTGGGTCCAAATAGTGCTAAAATCGTTTCTGAAATTATTAAAAATAACTCAAATTTTTCAACATTAAACTTAAATAGAAATAACATAAAAGATGAAGGTGCCTTATTAATTGCTTAGGCAATTTTAAATAATCCTAACATTTGTATTATAGATGTTTCCAATAATAATTTATCATCGTAGGGATGCTAATTCTTTTTTGAGCTCCTAATGTCAACAGAAAGTATATATTCCCTCAATATCTCATCACCAGATAGTTACAATAGGAATAAAATGAACTTTGAAACTTCTAAATCTATTTGTTAAATGTTGAAAGTCAATTAAACACTAAGTTTTCTAGACTTAAGTCACTCATTATTAGGGCCAAATGGTAATTTTACTTTACAACTTTATGTTTGATGCTTAAATAAATATATCTTTTTAAAAAAAAATTGAAAAAAATATTCACTCACAAAATAAATTTAACCATGTTAACAAATATTTAAAATAACGTGTGAAAATACTTCAAAAAAGTTAAAATCGATAAATAAGGAAAACAATTAAAAATTATCTTCTAAATCATTAAATTAATTAATTAATTAAAATATCTAAAACGCTTCTAAATTAGTATTAAAATTTTCGATATTAAAAAGAGTAACTTCAAATTTTGCAAGTAAAGGATTTGATAAAATAAATACAATTGATATTATAAAATTTCTCATTTTTAATTTCAATTTTATTTTCCAATTTTTCAATAAAAAAATTGCTTGAATTTAATGAAAATTGAGATTTTATTATTATTTTAAAAAATAAAATTTACATTAAATAATAAATAAATAAATAAATAGGTTTAAATAAAATTGTAAAAGGTTTGAAAGAAAATAAAAGCTTGGTTTATTTAAACCTTTCTTTCAATGAGCTTGGACCTGAATGTGGCAAGATTCTTCAGCCTATACTTTTAAATAGTAAGATCGTTGAGCTAAATTTGTCTAATAATAAAATAGGAAATTAGTCTTTAGATAAAATAGGAGAAACAATATTAACAGGATAAGGAACGTTTGCTATTGAGATACTAAATTTTTCTTATAACTAAATTAATTCGGATGGTCTTTGTGATTTCATGAAGGCAATAATGAGAAATAGTAAAATATAAAAGCTATATTTTGATGGAAATTCATTTTAAGATCCTGTTAATGATTCATTGACTAACTATTTTATTGCAAACAGTTCTTTAAAAACATTTAGTTTAAGGGATTGCTCATTTCATGCTAATTTAATAGAAAATGTTTCTTTAGGTAAATTATTAGGATTAATTGAATTTTTTTAAATGATATTATAATAATGAAGGTTTATAACAAAACGATTCCTTGAAGGTTTTAGATATATCTCACAATTATATTGGAGACGAAGGACTAACTTATTTAGCTGAGTGTTTGAGTAAAGAAAATAAATCTCTCGAGGAACTTTACATGAAAAGATGCAATATTTAAGAAAAGGGTGGAGTTGAATTAGCTAAAATTGTTGCATGTCACCCCAAACTAAGCAAAATAGATGTATCACACAATTTAATGAGTGAAGAGTCAGGAACTTACATAGCTACTAACATTAGAACAAATTGGAACATAGTCTTATTTGATATTGAAAAAAATTATATAAGGTAATTTTAATTTAAAAATTTATCAATAAAAATATTTTTTGTTTGATGAAAGGCTTGATTTTTTTTAGTTAATTCAATTTTCTTAGAAACAATAATTTATTTCTTTTAGAAATTACTTTTTAATTCATTAAATAAATCAATATAAAAACTATAATAAAAAAAGATATGATCAACATGTGGAAATAAAAAAATTAGTAAAAAGGAATTAAGAATTCAGCAAAATGAAAGAGCCAGTTTGTTTGTTAAACACATTGAGCAATTTGAGAAGCTCAGAAATAAAGAAAGAAGATTTAGAATAAAGGAAAAATAATCTAATTTAAAAAGAAAGGATAAATAATAATGACACTTCTTAACTAGCAGTTTAAATATAAAAGGCTGAGTAAGTTTTGGTCTAGACAGAGGAAGTGGTGAAACAGCAATAACTAGAAATGAGAGCAGAAATGGATTAAATTATGAAGGAATTAAAAAATTTGGATATTATACAAAACACATAAGTTAATGATTTGTTGAAAGAAATTGATAAACAGTTTGAGAAGAACCAAAATACAAGAAAAGAAATCGATACTATGAGGAAAGAGATCAAAACAGTAAGTTTAATAAATTATTTATTTTAATTTATTAATTGATTAAATTTTATTCTAGAAAACTCAGGACATGATTCACAGAAAAAATTTACTTCTTCAATAACTTGCTATATAAAAGAAAATTGTAAAAGAAGAGGAGTTAAAAGCAAAAAGTGAAGAAATGGCTTACTAAATGTTTTCCTAAAATGTAGAAAATCTAAAAAAGAAAATAGAATTGTTAAAGCAAGGAAAATTACCTCCATCAGATCAGTAACTTTAGAATCAAAAGACACTCTCCACACCAAATTCTCCTTAAACTAAACAAGGAAATTTCTCTTTTCCACCTGGAGCAGAAAATACGAATACAAAAACATCTGCTTTTAAAAAACCAAAAACAAAAACTTCAAATTCTGCAACAAACATAAAAAATAAAAAGTAGCAAAATAAAAATGACACAAAAAAGTGAATTAATTAATTAATAAATCTATTAACAAAATAAGTGTGTTATAATAAATAAATAAATATTAATTTTATATTATATTTATTTATTCTTAATTCTTATAATTATAATTAAAATCCATAAATTTTTTTAAATACTTGATAAAGCATTATTTTAGTTATTTAACAACATTGAATTATCTTGATGGCAATAAGGATTTTTATACAAAAATTATAAAAGAATATTATAAATTGGAAATAAAAGATAATAAGAATAATTAAATAGCATTTTTACAAAATAATATCAAAAATTTTTAAAAATAAATTTGTAATTAATAAATATTAATTGATTTTTATTTGATATTAATTGAAAATACTCTACTTAAAAAATTATTAAAAATATTAATGAATTTACTACTAAAAACATTAAAATATATTTTTTTAAATATAAAAAAAAAACCTATTTTAAAAATATTTTTATGGTTTAATAATCTTTTAAATAATACAAAAATGTAATAATTTATTCTTTTATCTATTTAATAATTAATATAATCACTGATAATTATACCAAAAAAATAAATTAATACTAATAAATTGTCTTGGAATTTTCTAATTTAAGTTAAGAAATTATGTAAAAAATTATTTTTTTAGTTAACTTAGAGGATTTACGGAAGTTATATCCAATGAATTAGTAAATTATCAAAACCTAGATTAGCTAACAATATATTCATAAAATGTATAAGGGAAATATAAAAATTGAAATAAAATCAACTTAAAAAACTATCTAAATTACAAAATTTAAGATATAAATTTATTTAAAAGTAAATATATTTTAAATAGAACATACCAACCTTACCACAATAGCAGATTTATGAATTTCTTAATTAACGAATATTTAGAGTAATATGAATCATTTATTTATTATTATTGGAGCACATTCTTAAAATTTTTGAAAAAACTGATAAAATTTTTATTATAATTCAAGTTTGCTATTTTTTATCTAAGTATTTTGTAAATTTTCTTAGAATAAATTAGAATAAATCTAAATTTTAACAAAAATTCTTAAGATATCTTAAATTTTATGGATAAAAACAATTCATTTAGTTTTTAGAAAGAAAATCAAATTTATATTAAAAAATAGTTGGTTTAAATTATTAGCCACAAAAAAGTGTAAGTAGATATTTAGTCAATAAATAAACAAACAAATATAAGATTTTTTTTAACCATAAAAAGTTGGTTATATAAAAATAATACTTTTTACTTATGCTTGCTTACCTGCTAGGTAATTTGCATGCTTGAAAGGATAAAATTTTTTTTAAATGCTAACTATAAATGTAATTGAATTTTTAGGTTTTGTAATTTAGATTTACATTTCAATAAGGGAAATAAAAATGTAGTATTCATTTTATAATAAGTGTTAATTGTAAGTAAGTAAAGTCTTAGAGTTAGTTAGTTATATTTTTTTATAGCCACAAAATAGATGAATGAAGAGATGAAAATTTGAGTGAGATGTGAATTAAATAAGATTGTTTATTTATAATCACCAGAATTAATTAATAATTAGATAAATTAAACTCTATTACCATATATATTTACCATATCAATAATTTAATTGTATGTATGAATGGAAAAAAAAAGTTAATCTTTGTTCTTCCATTTAAATTATTTATCTTAAATTCCTAAATTTGCATTTTAGGAAGAATCAGATAAAGCAAGTTAGCATAAAATAAATAGGTCGAATATCAATTTTATCGAAAATTAATCTCAAGCCAATTGCGTTAAGTTAGCTCTTAAAAATAGAGAACAGCATTTATCTTAAGAGAGAACCATGAAGTCTCCACAAATAATGACAAACACCTTCGTATTTAACAACTCTAATATCAATATATAGAACAACTTCTACAATGAGTTGCAGCCCACAAATAACTAAAAGGTTCACTTAGTTTTTCCTATGAGCAGCCAAAACACTCCTTCGCGTCCTTCAACTTAAGATGCAGGAATTAGCTAAGTTTTTAGAAGGATCAAAAAAGCTTAACTGAATCAAGGATAAAGATCAAAAAGTTCTTTATCGAAAATTTATAATAGCAATACTTTTCAAAATAACATAAATTTAAATAGCTACACCAATCCACAAGATAGTGCTAATAGCGATTAGTATAAGCTTTAAAATTTATTACCAAATAAAGTAAGTCCAACTTCAATATCTGCTTCTTATAGATCAGTTTCCTTTGATTATACAGGCGTAAAATTTGAATTTGCTAACAATTACAAAATTAAAATGATATCTTTAATTACAGACAAAATTTTAGAACAGATAAAAAATTGGTGGAGATAATCCAAAAAGATAGTTCCAAACTATAGATTAAGGCAGTGTGTAATTTAAATAGCCCAAATAAGATCAGTAGAATGTAATATTTAAATTCATTTTCTTGCAAAAATATTATTATATTTTTGGAGTTGAAATAAACACAAAAATTAATTGATTGATTGATTGTTTAGCTAGCTAATTATAAATATTAATATAAAATAGCAATAAAATCAGTTCAGAAGCATTAACATACAAGATTATTCATCAAAAGATAATGAATCCTTTGCTTAATATGAAAATTATTTAAATGACAGTTTCTTTGATAAAAAAAAGCAAAGCACTTAAATTCAAAACAAATCTATGTTATAATATTAATACAATAACAATAATAGCCATTAGCATAGTCTCTTTGTAATAATTATTATTCATAGTTTTTAATATTTAATTTATTTTCAAATTAAAATAGCAAGCAAGACTGCCATCAAGTCAATAATAAAGCAGAAATAACAGTGTTGCAAAAAGAAAATATTCAAGCAAATCAGTTTCATCAAACCACAACGAATTAGCCAAAGTTTATGGGTTTAATTAAAAGGCAACAAATATAAATAAGCCAAATATAATTCCTAAGCAAGGGCAGTAATTAGATACTTTAAAAGCCAGACCTCCTTCAACGAATTAAAGCAGAAGGTAAATTTTAATAACAATCACCAATCACTATGCTTTTATATAGAAACATTTAAATCATTTTTCTTTAGATATACCTTAAAATTAATAATAATTTTCTATTTATTGTAATACTTTTTAAATATAAATTTATAATTTTTTTAAAAATAAATACATAAATAATTTATAGTTAGTTCTAACTATATCTTGAAAATATTAAATATATTTTATTTATATTAAATAAAAGATCTCCATTAATGAGACAGAGGAAATATAAGTAGAATAATTCAATAATGTGTGAATCTCCTGATTACTAAAATAGAAACAAGATATAAATTGAATAAATACCAACAGTTTTAAGTTAAAATCAAAATTAGTTTACTCCAAATGAAAAAAATTTAATTTTTTCGTTCAATTGTGAGTTGAATCCTAATAGGAGTTTTTAAGAAGTGCTCAAAGATTAACTAAAAAGTACTTGATTTATTTTTTTATTCATTTTTAAATATTCTTCATAATATAATCAGCCAAAAATTTCAAGGAAGAAAATTCTAATATAGAGCAAAGCAATAATTCCAAATTTTATTTCAGCAGCCTTGATAATATCGACGAATAAAAAGATCAGTCTGGGTTTAAATAGCTGTTTGTTGGCTAGAAGAATAGTTAAAATTTAGATTATAAAAACATTAGTAAAGAGTTAAATCATAAACAAAATGAATAATAAGAATTAAGTAAAACAATTTATTAGGATTAAAATAATATGCATAATTCAGAGCAAGACAAAACAATTTAAGGTATTAATTAAGGTAAACAAAATTATCAGCATAATTTTTAAAAGTAAAATACAAAAAAAATATATGAAATACTAAAAAATACTAAAAGTAACTCTAATTAATTAACAAATGATGAAAAAGTTGAAGACTTAATTAACATATAAATAGTTTCAAATAATAATTAAAAAAACACAAACAACTCATAAAATTACAAAACACTTGATAGTTTCCTATCTTAAAATGTTGAAGAAAATGTAGATTAAATAACCAATATCAAACAAATAAGTAATTAGAATTAATAACATTTCAAGAGAAAGTATAATACCTTAAACAAAAAAACCATCAATTTAGAGGAAGAAAAATAAAAAATACTTTAAATGATAAAATCTTAAAACTAAAATATTTACCAGAACTAAAATTAGATTAATAAAACCGATATTGATTCAAAAAATAGAATATATTTAGAATTTAATAAAAACAATAAAAATTAAAGTTAAATAGAGAACAAAAGAAAAATAGAAAATAAAAACTAGCAATAATAAAATATTTATATTAACTAATAAGAAAGTGTAAATAAAAACATTAGTGTCCTTCCTAACAATCAAATAAATAGAACCCAAATAAAAAAAATAAATAAATAAAAACAATATGATTTGATAGGAGCAGAGTCTTCTTATTAAGATAAACAATCTATCTCTCCAAAGAATAACAGGGATCAAATTATACAGCCTTAGAGTTAAAATTATAATATTGAATCTCAAAGAAATCTTGTTGAAGATTCAGTTGACAAAATTGATAATAATGATAGATTTAAATCAAATAAAATTGAAGACTAAATTTATGTGTATTATGATAAGTACTTGCAAGATAGCAATGGTATTTTAATTATATATAATTTTTAAACTTAATTCTTATTGTTTTTATCGAAAAGGGTTTTAGAAAATATTCAAAGGAAAGAAATGTGAAAATGATCAGGAATCATCATAGACTAGATTCAGTCTTGCAAATATTTAAGTAGCAACTGAATCTTAGAAGGAATTATAGATTAACATCTAAAAACAAATCTAAAGATAAAGCAGTGCCCAAAATAAAAATCAAGCAATCTTAGATAATAAAGTTAGATCTTCGTAAAGAAGCCAAAGTGTATTTTAGTGCAATGACAGCAACCGTGACATAGCTATTGAATTTGGATTCAGTAATTTTCATTCAATTGAAAATAGTTAAGCTCTTAGTGCAAATAACAGTAAAGAAAACTCCCCCATTCCCACTCCATCTCTCTTTGAAAGTAAGAATTTAAAATAAATAAATAAATAAATTTATTTAGATTTTATTTAGTTTTTAAATTAAAATTAATTGTTTTGAAAAAATTAATATTAATTTTTAATAAATTTATTTACATTAAATGAGAAATTAACAAATAATTTGTCTAATGAAAATAGTTTAAAAGAGATGGGCAGCAGCAAATAACAAAAATAATGATTAATAAAATAAAAAATAGGTTTATGAATAAAAAGTATTCATTAATAATAGCTAAAATAATTTAGACAATTATATACCTAATTTAGAGTAATAGTAATCTATCAAAAAAACTATTCGAGTTGAGGATTTCGAATCATCACTTGATAGCAATTCTATAAGTGTGGAAAGAAAAATGTAACTGTAAATGAGAAATATAAGAGATAGCTATTCTTCGTTGGAAAATTAATCAGATCAGTTATCATAATATACAGCAATATTTTAGAAAGTGGATAATTAAAATAATAAATTTGTAGTTAATAACCATTTACAGCAACAGACCTAAAATAGTAAAAAATACAATTTTTATAATGAAAAAAATGAAAACTAAATTATTCAGTTTTTAGAAGAACCTCTTGAAACATTTGGTGATGTAAATAAAACCCCAAGCTGTTCTAATAAACAGTAAATTTGAATAAAAAATAAATATCAATCTACTAACTTAAATTAATTAATTTATTTATATTAAATTTTAATACCATATTTATAAATAACTATTTATATGTTCATTTATCTACCTAAATAATTACTTAATTAAAATACTAATTAATTAATATTTTGTTTCATTAAAAGTTGCCTAATAAAATAAGAATATTTTAAATAAATATATATACCAAACAAACTAATAATTACTATTTAATTACCTTACTCTTAAAAATTACAAATAAGGAGTCAAAATTATGAGGAATAATATTTTTATTAAAAATAATAATGAAATATTAATATTTAGTGACTAAAAATTTAGAATATTTTTTGGTTTTATTTTTTTAATCTTACCCTATTGTTAATTATTATTAATATAGTTTTTTTTTATTAATAAAGAATAATATTATTATTATTATTTTAAAAATATTTATAAATATTTATAGAAAAAACACATAAATAGTTTTTTGGGTAAACAAAGTTTATTTTATTATTCATTTGTGATTCATTTTAAGTTTTATAATTTTAATTTGCTTATTTGATTCAACAAATGAACAAGAGTTCATTAATAATAATTGCAAACACACACAGTTTATTTCTTTATTAATTTGCAAAACTAATTTATACTAATTTACAAATATATTAGAGATTAAAGATCTAAAACAAAAACTATTATTTTAGCATAAAACATTTTTTTTATAAATTTATTTTTAGAGGTTAATAAAGCATTAAAGGAACAAACATTTTACTTGAAAGTAACATGTTTTTACAGGCACTGAGAAATAAATCAAACACGCAATTAACTGATCGAAAGAGTGATTTATTAAATTATTTAATTCATTAGCAAAATATATAATCAGATATAATTTGTTTAAATAAAGGCATAATACAAGCATAACCAAGCGTTCCTAGTATAAATTCGATAGAAGACAAAGAGCTAGATAAAAAAAATGAAGTAAAATTCTTGTTTGGGATCAATTAGAATTACAAATTTACTTTAAGACAAAGAATCCATCTTGATCAATAATTTCGTAATTAAAAATGATTTAGATTTTTAAAAAGATATCTGTGGGAATAGCAAGAGCTGTGTTAAGCCAAACCCATGAAGAGGAATAAAAAAGCAGTAATTTAACATCAAATTAGAAAAAAAATATCAAATAATTATGATTTATTTTATTAATTTTATTAAGTGCAGTAAATGAAAGAGAAATAGCAACTTGAGATGGAGAAATATAATTAAAACCATAAACCTTCGTTTGGTACAAAGATATACAATAATCAGTTGATCAAAGGCATTACAGTAACGATTGAACCCTTGAGTAAAGAATAAAGAACTCAAGCAGAGTAAAGGCGAATGATAAACGATGTATTTTCTCAAGTAGAATCTATTTCAAAGCTCCAAGGTCTTAAGCCTTCATTTACAAATTTACCTTAAGATAATTAAAAGTTACCTCTTTTGCCAATTAATTCGCCAGTAAGTTTAAAGCAAACCTTTTTGTAAAGACAAGGTTCTTTAGACCATAATTCTATAAAAATGGCAAAGCATTTAATGTAAGCTAACTTAATGTAATAAGATTTAACTTAAAAGAGCTAACAAAATCAGCAAATTTTCGGATTAACCCAGCAAAACTAGCAAGGATAATACTAATAGAATTAATATTAATATCAATAGCAATAGCAATAACAGTTGTAATAAGTAAATTAGTTTTCTGGTAATTAGTAATAATAGCAAAACAACTATAGAAAAAACAACTAATTTAATCCTTTTGGAGGACCTAACTAGGCACAATCACAGTATTAAAATCAGTAGTCCAAAAAGATAAATGCCATCAAAGGCCAAGAACAGAATTCATTTGATGGTATTAAAATTACGTAAAAAAAGTGGAAATTATTTAAATTATATTAAAAGAGGATTTTAATATTGAAATGCCGAACTACCAAAGGTACAGGACCTTCTTTTTCAAGCCACTAGAAAGAGAAAACATGTTTGAAGGGATGAAATACATTTAATATGAGCAGTACATAAGAAAAGGTTGAATTAGTTATAAAAATAAATTGCTTTTTGTCATAAAATAAATACTTAAATTAATTAGATGAATAAATGCAGAACGTGATGGTCCTTGATTTGACAAAGATTCTTTCAGATAAGTGTTACACATTTAAAACATGTGTTGCAGATAAAAATAAGATGAAAAGAGTATTTATTTATTTATTTTTTATTTGAACATATTTAGTTTTATATTTAAAAAATATGCCAATATTAAAATATGTTAAATTTATAGATATTTGGATCTCTCAGACCTTAGCTAAAGTTAGAAGTAAATAAAAGATTGGAAGAAACGATAAGCTTATTTGAATCGATATCTTTTTTGTTGATGAGAGGTAAAAAAATGAATATTATATTTAAAAATAATCAAAATAACATTTTTCTTAATAGAATACAAAAATTGATATCAATAATTTTATTTGTTAATTCGAATGAGTTATTTATATTTTTAATAGATTTCAGGGATAACCTGCAGGATGTTGGGATAGGAGAATCACCTTTAGAGTTACATAAAGAAATAAGAACTTAAAATTTGAATATAATATTTAAGAATATGCACAAAAATTTTTACATTGAACATGTTTTTAATTAAATTTATGATGAAGAATTTCAAGAAAAGTTTATGGAATAAACACTGTAAGAATAGTATGAGATTTTAGTTACAATTAAAAAGAATTTAAAAACACTTTGTGAAAAAATTCAGCAGAGGATTGAACTTTATTAAAATCATCAAGATATTTACTAAATGCAATAGTTTAAGCTGGAAGATGATAGTGATTTCAAAGAATATTTAAAGTCAATTGAGTCAATTATTCACCAGACAAAATAACTTCCATCAACTCAGGTTGTTTTGGAGAAAAAGAAAAATCAAAAGAAACCTAACAAGAAGAAAAAATTACTTGATGACTCTTCTTTTGAGAGTAATAAGTCAATAGAAATATTGTATGATGTTTTTAGGACAAAACCCATACAAACTGAAGCCAAGGAACCATCTAAAAATGAAATGTAAGTTAGAAGAGTTGGAGGAAGCGTTTTAGTTTAATCTCAGTAATAAGTTTAACAGCCAACAGTACCAACAATTTAGCTTGTGAATACTCCTTAAAATTAAGCAGGTTTAGTTAAGCAATATTAAGGAGAGTAAACCAATTAAGCTAATACTAGTTAAGTTTAAGATTCTAATTAAACACCATTCAGAAGAAAGATTTTGAGGAACTTTGACTCACAATAAAGCACACCTCAGAATCAGAAGCCATTGATTGAATTAACTCATGCTGATTCAAGTAACATGAACAATAATGAAGAAAATAAAATCACTAATTAAAAGTCTTTGTTTTAGAATCAGTCAAATTTAATGCATTCATAGCAACAGCAATAAAACCTATAAAATTTTTCACAACAATAATCATAATTTAATCCAAACACACCAATTAATAATTAGCAGCAGTAACAATAAATTTAGCCTTAGCAATAACAGTAATAATTGAGAAACTTATAAAATACTCAGACAACAAAAGCATAAGGTTAAAAAAAAATAGAATTCTTGGAAACAAATAATAAATTAATGCAAGAACAGCACCAACCATATAAAAAAATGGTGATAAAAGACATGGGAGACGAGTACCTTGTATTCGAAGACAATCTCTTTTTATATGAGAAAACCTCAGATTTCATGAGAGACTGCATAGATTCTTATAGAATTATGTGTAGGCAAAAAGAATTTAACAAATTTGAGGATTACTCGTTAAGGAAGTTTCTTAGGTATTGCACCAAAGTAAGGTTTAACATCTCCGAATTGGTTGAATAATTTAGGTAATTAATTTAAATCTAAAAATTATGCCATAATCATTAAAAAAAATAAAAATATAAAATAAAATTTTATTTTTATTTTAGCTAATACTGGTATTTCTTATTAATTAGCATTACATTATCCTAATGAAAGCGTTAAATTTTATGCATATTATTTTAAAAGGAATTATTTAATTAAAATTAAATGGAGAGTTAATTAATAAGGAATGTTAGTAAATATTATTGATAAAAACCATTTTTATTTTTATAAACCTTATTTGAATGAATAATTTAAAGCTTTATTTTTAAACAAAATATTATATCATTATTGATAATTAATATTTTTATTAAATTATTTTCTACTAATTAAATATTTAAATTTAATTAACAAAATGTCATTTATTTGAAATTATTTTTTTAACAAATGATCATTCAGATAATAAAAAAAAACTTCTTTATTTAAAATATTTAAATAAACATATTTAAAAAGGTTCATTTAAATTTATTAGAGTTTTTGCATCCAATTAATAACATAAAATTTATTTATGAAAAAAGAAACTATGAAAAATCGATCGAGCAAAAGTTTTATTGGAAATCAATTATGTCTAAAACAATGTCCAGTACAATGAATTTTTAGTCTGCTTAAAAATACATTTTCAGGACAACTACAGCTTCTTCAATGTAATCTCCTTCAAAATTTTAATCTCAAGATTCCTAAGAGAACGTTCGTATGAAAAATTTTATAGATAACTAACTAATTTTTGTTTAAAAATAATTGAATGTGTAATAAATAGATGTTGAGTCCAAAAAGCAAAGGATAGGAAGATTGTAGTCAGTTTTATCTGATAAATTTAATTTTAGTAAGAGACAGGCACAGACAAGGGAATCAAAAGTAGAACTTAACAATTAGTAAATTGCAAATAATTTATTAAATTTTCTATTTATTTGTTCTTTTTATGTAAAAAGGAAATTTGAACAAGAAAAGTAACTTTTAATGGATAGTCATCTTGCTCCAGAGGAAGTCACTCACGTGATAGCGGACAATAGAAGAAAATTAGCTTTGTAGCGTCTAAGGAATCCTTTTATAGAGCCTTTTGTATTATTAATTAATTAAAATTGTCAATTAATTGTATAAAAAATTAAAATAGAAAAAAAAGCCTTAACTCCAGTAAAGCTAATCTTAGAAGAATTTAAATTAGAAAGGAAATTCAAAAGCAGAAAGTTAACAAGGTCAAATGTAAGAAGAAAATAAACAAAAATTAGGAAATAACAAGATATTTACAAATAACCAGTATCGATGATGGTCTAATTAGTATTTATGTATTTATTTATGGTATTTTTAAGGCAATAAATGATAGATTTTAGCAATACTTATCAATCTTTCTCAAAAAATCAAATTTACAAACAAATGAATTCTATTTATGTGTATTTCATTCTAATTTGTATATGAAACAAAATTAAAATTATAATTAGAATCGACCAATTTTGTTTAGAATTTGATTCCTTTTCTAGTTTTTGTTTGTTCATTTGTGATTGATTGAATTGAGAAAAGAAAAATCAATGTTTTTATGACTATAGAAAATTCATTGATTGATTATATATAATATATTTAGTATAATTATTATATAAATATATAGAAGAAATCTATAACATTTTTCCTTTTGTAAGGAGAATGATAAAAAAGAGCAATAATAATACACTTAAGAAAGAATACGGAAAATATTACAGATTAAAAAATATTAAATTTTAAATTTGTTTGGTTTGTTTGTTTTTGTTTGAAATCAAACGAGCATGCCCTTAAGACCGTCAATGAAGAAGACGAAGGTGGGGGTAGCATCTTCACCCTTGTAGTAAGAGAGGATGATAGCGTTTTCAGTGTCATAAGATTCGGGGGTGTAGAAAGTGAATTCTTCGAAGTTTTCTAAGATCCATTTAACCATTTCACCAGCACCCTTCATGAATCCTGCAACTCTGTCGGGGTTCTTTTCTTCTAAGTGTTATTTAACCTTCTTCATGTATCCCTTAATATAAGTAGTGTAATCCTTCTTACCGAAAGAGGTTTCTTGATATTTGAAGGCATCGATAACGTCCAAAATCTTTTAGTTAATTAAAAAACAAAAAATTAACAAATGAATTTATGTACTGCTCGTAATTAATTCTTCTTTGCATATTCAAAAATAAAAACTATGAAGCAGATATAATTCAATATCAAGCTTTGTTTATTATTCTTGGATGGAGTTTTGAAGAAAAATGAGAATTTTATTTTACCTTTTCAGCATCAGCCTTTCCTTCTTCTTCACCAGAACCACCGAAAGCGTTACCGCAACCAATATCGATATCAGCTTCGTTCTTGGTGATGTAGGTAGACTTAATTTCGACACCAACGTTTTCGTGGATGTAAGTGAACTTGAAAGAGTCGGAGACGATTTCTTCTCCAGAGAAAATATCAGTGTAGACCTTCATTTTTGATAAGTGGGTTTTACTTTTTTTTTAATTAAATTTTTTAACCTTTGAAAATATTAATATTATCCTTTACCTGATAGAAGAAGATATTCACAATTTAAAGGTAGTTAATTTAGACCCCACTTTTTTTTTGAATTATAAAAATATGTTTTTATCAAAACTTAACTTTTAACTCTATCTATCATTCATTAAAGATATATATTATTTCATTCATATATAATTAGATATATTCATACATACATAGATAAATAGATAGTTTTATTAACTATCAATATATAATTTTGATTTTTTTTAACTATTCATTCAAAAATTATCATTTATGCATTATTCATTTATTCATCAAACTCCCATTTAAATTTATTCTATCCCCCACCATAATAAACACATTTATACATTCGCTCATTCATTCATTTGTTTATTTATTTATTTATTGTTTGCTTATAATCGTATATTTATTTGCTGATTGTTTTTTCTAGTTCCATTTAGGGGGTTCAAGATTTATTTATTATTAGCTCTTACTATTTTTGCTTTTCATTCTCAATATATTTTTGGTCATTCATTTTTTTGCATTTGTTTATTGAATATCCTTTTTTTCTGTTATCTAATTTTAAATCAAAGTAAATGTGAATTAGTTTTCCGCCTAAAACGAACAATTGATGCTATTTTAATCAATTTATTTTTCTTTAAATATTTGATACTTAAAATATCTTTTGCGAAAAAAAAAGCAACAAACAACTTAACAAAAATTTACCTATTTCATTTGAAAAAAAATATCTTTGTTTTAATTTTTAATTTTTGAGGAGAAATATCTTTGAATTTACACAGAAATTAGAAAGGTTAATATTAAATCATATCTCCTTAACCTTGCATATATTAATATACACTATTTCAATAATTATACTAAAATTTATCCTAAACTACTGTCCTCCTCATATTATCTTCAATAAACTACTATGACCTCATTTATATTAATTTTGATATTTTTAGATTAAGCCATTTAACTCTGGTAAAATTTAATAACCACCTTTTTTTTTAATTTTTCAAAAACCTAAAAAAGACAAATTAATAAATTAGCTAAAATTCTATGCAATTTCCTATAAAAAGAAATCCTCAAATTTAATAAATGAAAACAAGCCAAAACAATTAACTTTGATCAATTTTCTTCATTGTTTTCAACATACTTTATTTCTTTTTCAAGCAATTTCATTCATTTCATATAAATCTAATAGTAAACCAAATCAAAAAATATCAAGTACTAAGTTAGAATTTAAGCCTTGGAAAAGCTAGATTTAAAGTAAAAAAAGTTAGTTAGCTTTTTAGTTAGTCTTTAAAAATGCACTCTTAATATTTTTAACTTAGAAACATAATAGAAACTTATTATAAATAAAGGGCAATATTTTAATATATATGATTCTTTCCCTTCTTAAAATAGTGAAATGTCTAAGCATTAAGCAATCAGAAAAAACCAAACAAACAATTGTTATATTTTAAAATTGAAAAGTTAAATTTATTTGAGCTTTTAAAAAGCAAAGAAATCAAAGCACTTCTTTCTAATCTAATTTAGATAGAATAAATGAACTCATTTCCAACAGCAGGATAAACTAAAAAAATATTAACTTGATATTATTCATTCAAGCTAGATAATTAGAATTTAGAATCCTTATTAATTAAAATCAAGAGTAAATAGAAGTAGTATAAATCTAATTTAGTCAATATTGTTAGAGCTTTTGAAATAATACAAAAGACTACTAATGGATAAAGAAAATAAATAAATAAATTCTTTAGATTTTCTAAAATTTAAAGACAGAATGAATATCAAATTAATTTTTTTGAAAAGAAAAACAAAAATAAAAGGAATCAATCACTTATAATATAATTTAGTTAATATAAATGTGTAAATTTAATACTAAAAAAAGCAATTAAAAGAAATAATCTTTAAATAGTAGGTATTAGGTAAATTCTAAAAATAATAAAAGGAATTTATTTGTTATTAAGTGTTAGAATATATTAAAAAACAGTGAAATTAATTAATTAATTTGTTTTGAATTTTCCTTTCAAATAAACAAATAAATTTTTTAAGATTTATTTATGCAAAACAAAAAAAAAAAGAGCAATTTTTAGAAATGTAATTTAATAAATAAAAATTAGTTAAGTGAATAAAAATCAAAAGAGTTAATTTTATTTTTAGATTCTTCAAAATAAAAGAAAAGTATCAAAAGTACTTTAAAAAAATCATAAAATAAATTTATTTTAAATATTTAATAAAAGCCTTAATTAAACTATGCAATAAGACATAGTTATTTCTTCAATATAAAAAATTATAGCTGTCTCATTCATTATTAAAAAAATTATTGACATTTTTATAATTAATTTAGGCCTTCCAATTTTAATTTAATTTTAGATCCCTTAAAAAAAGAAAAGTTAGAATTATATTCAGTAATTTAAAATAAAAGGAATTTATTAAAAATTTAGAATTTAGATTGTTCAATTTTAACCAAAATTTTTAATTCCATAATTATAAAGAAAAGTTAGAATTATATGCAATAAATTTAAAGAAAATAAAAGGTTTAAAAGTTAGATGCATAAAATGGAAATAAATAAATAAAAATTAATTTAAAAAAATTATCTTTGATTGTCTTATTTCTGTAGAGATTATATATGAATTAGATAGATCATTTACTTTAAACACGAATATAATAAATGTGTTTTAATTTTATTAATTTTTAGTAAGTTGATTTGATAAAACAAAAGATTTAATTAATTTGAAGAATGAATGTGATTGGTTTATTTTTAGATTGTAAGAAAAGTTAGAATTAGGTGTAGTATTTTAAAAGAAATTAAAAGGAGGTCGTTTAAATCTAATTTAGAAAGGAAATATATTTATTTACAATATAAATATTAATTAAAAAAGTTATTTGTTAATTATTTAGTTTTTAAGGGTCCTTTGTTAGTTTTTAGAAATTAGATGAAAAATCATTCTTTTTTGAAAGTTTTTTTAGTTTCTTCTTCTAATTGACTTAAGGTTTTCATTTGGTCATCGTTTAGCAACAATTTATCTTCTTCAGATATTTTCTTTCCAATTTGTTTGACATCTTTCATTGATTTTAGATCTGCTAAATAATATTACCTGTTTTTTGTTTGTTTAGTTTGTTGTAAATTTAATATAATTTTCTACTTATTTCTTAAAAGAAGAAGGATTCTTTCTCAATTAAATGAAATAAAAATATATTTTTTACCATTGCTCTAAGAACATTTCATATTATCTGCTATTTGCATCTTAGTGCTGTCTGAATTCCTATTTAACATACACATCGCCTATTTATGTTAACATATTTTTATTAATTTAGAAATTACTATAAACAAGCAATTTTGTAATAAATCATGTAAAAATATGCAAAATATTCACCAAAAGATCTCAACTCTATTGGCAATTTCTTTCTGTGAAGTCTTAAAATATCTAAGAAAACAAACAATCCTTATTTTTTTAATACTTTTAATTTATCACTCATTCTTTACTTTATCTTCACTATTTTTTTTCACACTTTGTTTATGATAAAAATTAATTCTGTATGTATGTAATTGTGAAATTTCTTAGAAAATCTTAAACAAACAACAAACTAATTAACTAAATAAATAGATAAATAAAAATCTATGCTACCAATCGCTTTTCTTTAATTGATAATTACAAATAAATACCAACACCAAACAACAAAACTAAAATTCTGAAATTGTTATTAATTATTCTACTTAATTAATTATACCTTATTAAATTCTAATATTAGCTAACTAGTAAATAAACAATATAAATTCATTCAATGTTCTTTTATTTATTATATTCATTGAATTTTATCTTATTCATTCATTTTTATTAATATTTTTTAAAAAATTTATTTGTGCTTGTTTTAATTTTGACTACAAAATAGAATTATTAATTTATTTTAAATAATCCTAGCTTATTAATTAAATAAGAAAATACCTTTCTTTAGTTAAAAAAATTTGTTTAAAAAATATATCATTTTTCATCTTTAATACCAATTTTCAAAATATTATTTATTTTTTTTTCAATAAATCAATTTTTTTTTTTCTAAAAAAGAAATTTTAATTTGATTTTTATATTTCGATATTATGAAAATAAACATTAGTTTAAATTTATTATGTAATTGCACTATTAAATATTAGGATTAAATAAAATTGTAGGTAATAAATGAGGAATAATTTTGCAGGATAATTATCAGGATGTTAACTATTTGTAATATATTTTATTTAATAATTGAAGTACTACATTCAAAAAAGAAGGAAAACAGAAAATATTAGACAGAAATGTAAATACAAAATATAATTAATTTTTAAAAATTAATTAATAAACTCCAAAATTAAGACAAATAAATGTTTTTTTGTAGATAATATAGTAAGTAATTAACTAATATAGCAAAAAAGGAAGTTAAATTTTTTTATTTATTTGATTTTTTGTTTATTTGTTTTTTTTATTTAATTGTTTGTTTTAAATTTTAATTTAATTAAAAAACCGATTCAAATTCCATTTTGAGTAATTTAAATGTATTTTTCATTATTATTGTTGCTGTTGCTGCCGTTTTACTAGGATTAAAATTTTTATTACTATTTTTTCTTTCTTTTATCTCTTATTTCATTCATTTTTTCATCCAAGTCTTTGATCAATGTTGAAACTAAGTTAAGGGATTTCTTAAATCCTTAGTTATTTAATCTAAGTTACTAAATGTTAGTGCTACAGTTTTTAAGTTTTTACTCTAATGATATCTTTTTAGATAAATCATCTTGTAATTAACAAGAATTATTTTGTGAATCTAATTTAATTGGGCTATTTTAATCATCAACTAAATGTTCACCATTAACTTAAGCCTAAGGTTTGTCTGAATTTTCGTTTTCTAGTTCAAAATAATCATTAAAATTAAACAAGCATTCAACATAAAAATAAATTATTCTTACATTCTAATTTTCCATCTGAATTTTCAGCATTTGCTTGTTTTTCTTTTTAAGGAGAATCTTCTTCGTTTCTCTATTTGATTTTTAATACATTTTATTCAAGTGCTTCAATTTTTTTTTGATTTTAAACTTAAACCGCAAAAAGTTCTTATTCTGTTTCTTTATTTTTGTATTTTTTTTATAAAAAGATGAATTGAATTAAAATCCAAAATATAAATTAACTCATACCTTGAAGTTGTTGCTTAAGTCTTTCTATATGTTCTTATGAATTGTTTTTATTATCTTCTAATTCTGTCTATACTAATGCTAATTCCTCTAAAGATTAATCGATTCTTGCCTCCAAATCAGCGACCATAGCTTCAAACATCCTAGATTAATTAATTTAATATTTCAAAATAAAGAGATTGCTTTTGCTAACTAAAATCTACCTATTTTGAGATATCAAAATCTCATTATCGTTTTCTAAATCAACTTTAATTTTCTATGCTTGCATATATTTTTCTTCTAATACTTTTAAATCTTGCTTATATCTTTCTTGTTCTCTTTCTAACCTAGATATCTAATCTTCATACTGACTCTGTATTTTTTAATGAATAATTCATCCTATTGCATATAAAATTATCAAATAAACAAGCTAACCTTATTCTTTTTAAGCTAATCCTTCATTTAAGCTAACTACTCTTCCTAATTTTATATTTTTTATTCAGCCTCTTGCAACATTTATTCTAATTCGCTCTAAATTTCATCTGTTGTTGCTAAAATTGTTAAATAAAAATAATTGCATTAGCGAATAAAACCGGATTTAATTCTTTCAATAATAACAATTCTAATGGCTATTGCTAAAGAATTTTGGTATATGCTAATAAATACCTTTCAATTCTTCGTTTTCCTTTTTTAAATCTTCGAAGTCTTCTTTGTATTGTTCGTAGAGCTTTTTATAATCTATTTCCTTACTCATAATAATAATTCGCAAAAATTTATATTAATTTTTAATAGAGTTAAAATAACTAATTAAATAATAAATTAATTGATAATATATTCAATACATGCATACATACATACAGCTTATTTTTGATTTTAAGATAAAGTTAGAACTTTAATTTTAATGGTATTTTAACAAACTTTTCGAATTACAGCATTTTTCTCTTTTGTTGCAATCTTCAGTAAAACTCATTAAATATTTCTATTAATCAATCAAAGAATAAATAATCTATATTTTTTTGCAAATAATAAATTTTAATCTAATTATTTATTTTGAATTTTGGCAATATTCTGTTTTATATTTCAGTAAAATAATGCGATGCATATTTCACTATTTTAAAACCAAATTTAAGACCTTCAATTTAACGATTCTTATCAGTTAGATTGTTTGAAACTGCTTAATAATAAATTTATGCAAAAACATATTTTTTTATTAGGAATTATTTATTAGTAGAAACATATTTTATTAAAATTTACCTATAATTTATTTTAAATATAATATTTTTATTAATACATCAACTATTTTTTAATTTTATAAGCATTTAAGCTTAAACAAATGCCATATTAAGTTGTTTATTCTAAAATTTATCCTATAAATTTACTGATACTTTTATTTTTCTAATATGGAACAAAATCAAAAAATTAAAAAAAGGTACGATAGATCGACTGACGGTTTTATCATCAAATCATTTGAATAAATTTAAAAAAAAATTATTTAATTTATTAATCAAAAAGGGGGTAAATAATAAGGAACCTCTTACTGTGATAAATACCTTTGATGGTAATTGGTTAAATTTTGCTTACTTTGTTGAATCCTTCTCCCTCCCCACCCCCCTTATTTATAGATTAGTCTTATTTTAAACATTAAATTAATACTTTACTCAAAATTAATTTTTTGAAAGTAATTTTTCTTAATTAAATTGATTTTTAAATTTAATTTAGCAGAAAAGAAGATAAATATTTTAGTTAAAATATAAGTTTTTATTGTTTTATTTTAATTTAGATTTTAACCTTTTTTGTTTGTATTTCAAATACTCTTAAAGACATATTTATAAATAAGTTAATTAAATTAAAAAGATACTTTTAAAACAATTTATCAAATCACATTAAATAATAATTTAATTGCTTTCTGAGATATTTCAAAGACTTTTAAATGCAACTTGATTAATAAAATAAATCAAAAAAGCTCTTTTGAGATATTTTAAAAAAAAATATTAAATAATAATTAAATTACTTTTTTTTACTATTTTTTGTTCAAATTTTCTAAATAAATTAAAGCAAAAATAAACTTTTTAGATAATTTTTAAAATAGATTAAATAGTATAGCTTGTATTTGTTTTATTATAGTAATATTTTAAAGCAAAAATATGCTTTTGAAATACTTAATAAAATAAGTTTAAATAAAAATTTTTTTTTTTTCATTTACTTTCTTTAAATAAAGAATTAATATTTAGAAAGAAATATTAGAATTATGCTTTTTGCAAAATAATGTGTAAGAAAGCTCAAACAGAAATAAATGTTTTGATAATTGTTATTCAAAGTTGATATTAAAAGAAAATCAAGACAAAGTAAAATATTTTAGAAATGATATTCGATTATTAATAAACAATTTATAGAAATAAGATACAAACAAATAAATAAATGGGAATTATAAATTTTGATAAAAAATAGAAATGAAATGTGATAGATATTATTTTAATATATTAAAAGTCGAGAATTTTCTAACTTTTACTTTACAATTTTCTAGATATTTTGTTAATACAAAGGTAACAAGATAATATGATGCTATCATTAATTAATAAATAATTTAATCATTTAATTAATAAAAATAAGATTTTGTAAATAAATCAAACAAGCAGTCTCAGAATATATAAAAAAATATTAGATTTCTAAGAAATAAATATAAAAATTAATAATTAAGTCAAATAGTTATGAGTTTCGCTTCTAAGTTAATTACATTAGGCGCTGGTATTTCAGGTCTCGGATTTTTCGTTGGTAGATTTTTCTTCACTATCGATGCTGGTGAAAGAGCCATTATGTTCGATAGAGCAAACGGTGGTATTAAAGAAAAGATCTATGGTGAAGGAATGCATTTTTATATTCCATTTTTTTAGGTAAATATTTGATTTCTCTTTTAAATAATTTATTGCTTATTTAGAGGAAAGATCAAAATAATGCTTAGTAGATAAGAAAATATAAAATAATATTTTATTTTATATTTTGCAAGTTTCAGCTTGTTTTGAGCATAAGATAAAACTGAATAATTAATGATGAATTTGGTCAAAAACATCAAAAATAAATTAAAAAAAAAAATCATGAAAGAAACAAAGAATAAATGAAAGAAACAAAGAATGAATGAAAAGCAAATATTAAAAATAATTTTATCATTCATTTTAAAGCTTGAATTAATGCAATATTTGATTTTGTTTTATAAAAAATAAAAATAGAAACCCATCACTTTTGCCATTAGATTGCAAAGCAAGACTATCACTTCTCAAACTGGTACAAAGGATTTACAAACTGTCGATATAGCTCTTAGATTATTATTTAGACCCGTAGAAAGCTAACTCCCTAATATTTATTTAAAGTTGGGAACTGATTACGATGAGAGAATTTTACCTTCAGTCGGTAAGGAAACTTTAAAAAGTGTTATTGCCCAATACGATGCTGATCAAATTTTGAAGCAAAGAGAAAGAATTTCATAAGAAATTAGATAATAAATCATCCAAAACGCCAAGGAATTTAATATTATATTAGACGATGTCTCCTTCATTCATCTTGGTTTTATGAAAGAATATGCTAATGCTATTGAATAGAAGTAAGTTGCCTAACAAAACGTCGAAAGATAAAGATATATTGTTGATAGAGATGAATAAGAAAAGTAAGCATAAATTATTAAATCTGAAGGTGAAGCAGAAGCTGCTATTATGATTAACAAGGCTGTCAAGCAATTCGGTGCTGGTAAATTTATAAATTTCTTTAAATTATTAAAATGTATTTGCATGGTTAATTTATTCTATTTTAATTCAAAAAGCTCAAATTGAACTTAAGAGACTTGAAGCTGCTAAGAATATTGCCGAAACTTTATCCAAATCTCAAAACATATCTTTTGTTCCTTCAGGAGCAGGTCAAGGTGGCAATGGATTATTGTTAAATGTTAGAGTTTGATAATATTACAACAAAATTTTAACTATAAAAAAAGTAAAGAATTATCTAATAAACCTTTAAGTATTTTAGTGTTTTTTTATATCAAATTAAATACCAAATGTATGTATTTATGTATACTCTAAAAATATCTAACTAATTAAATAACTAAAATACTAAATTATTCTTTATAATCTGACTCTTTAATAAAAAATTTATAAAAATAAATAAAATGAAATCTTAAGTTAGAATAGAAATTAATATAATTATAATTTTAAACAGTGTAAAACCCAAAAAGCTAATTAAAAATCAAAATCTATAAATCTAAGATTTATAAACAACAATTTGAATGAAAAAATTATTTTTCAAAAATATTTTTGTCTTATTCTAGAACTATCTTACAGTAAATCTTATTTAAATATTTAGTTTTTTAGTTAATTAGTTATTTAAAAAAAATTTTGCTTAGAATATTAAAAAATAAATTGAAATAATTATATATTCCTAACAAATTGAATTTATTTTTAAAAATAAAAGTAAAATAAACAATTATTAATTTTTTGTTGGATATTATTAATTAATTTAATAATTGATTTTAATAAACTTGGTAAGAGATTATAAACTAATGCGTTTTTTACAAAATATAAGACGAAATAACAAAATGGTTTAAGCATACTTACAAATAAAAACATGAATAATAAATGGAATTTAATAAAACATAAAATAATAATGCATTCAAATTTTTAATTATTATAAGCTAATCGATTGAACGAATAACTAACTACTAATGAATGAAATCATATTAACTTGACTTAATTAATTAAAGTTTATTTATTCTTCTTCATTCAATTCTCATTTTCTATTTAAATAATTAAAAAATTTTTAATCTAAAAATAAGGAAAATTAGATAGATTATTTTTACCATATTGTTCCTCTTGGTATTCCTGCTCTTGTTGCTATTCTGTATTTTAAATATTTTCATCGTTATTTTACTCATAATCTTACTAGTGGTGTTGATGTTCTTCTTGTTAATCATATTCCTTTATTTATATATTTTATTCATGGTGGTGTTAATTTTCTATAATTTCATCTTTTTCTATTTCATTAAGACGTTTTTCTTTGTATTTCAAGAATTCCTTGTGATCAAACACATGCAAGAGCTTGTCATAATAAACTTTTTCTGTGTCTTTTGAATCTTCGTAGATTTTCATAATAATATAATCAGTGTGTCTTGGAGAAAACTCAGCATCACAATAGCTCATAGCTTTCTCTAAATCTTCTAACTTACAAACACCATCTTAATATCCTTCTTTCTTTTACTTTGTGTAAAGTTGGATGTTTTCTTTCAATCCCGAAGAGAACTTAGTAAAAATCTACACAAAATAATTAAAAAATTTTATTAACAATATTATTTTTGATCAAATAATTTTCTTACATCTGACACATCTTCATGAATTTTGAGCTCCTCTTTAGGACTAAGAATTTCGTATTTACCAACTAGATTCCTAAATACAGTTTTTATTACACTTATGTCATTAGATCTAGTTTCATCAAAGATTATTTTATCCTCCGAATTATCTTCCACCATATATCTTGCCACAGACAAGGCATCATCATCGTTCGCTATGCAGAAAGGTTCTCTACAAAAATATTTTAAAAATTCATATTTAATATAAACAAAAATTTAAATTCAAAAAGTTTCTCATTAGTGATTAAATTTTATTAAAACTAAATAATAAATTTAAAAAATATTTTTTTTAATATTGAAAATAATTTTGTAAATGAAAATAAATGTTGATTAATGAATTAATTACTTTTGTAAAATAGCAACAATTTCCATAATATTGGCTTTTCCTCTCTTTCTTAATTCAGGTGTAATTAAATAATGATCAATTTCTTCAAATCTGATTTTCTTTGTTTTTAAACTGAATCTTAAATCTTTACCGATTTTGTTGACATCATATAAATTAACTCTTGGCATTAATTTTTTTTAAAGCAACTCTGATGGTCTTTTGGAAGAATTGTTTCTTATTTTTTCTTGGATTTGTGCTTACAAGCTTGGAACATTTTATTGCTTTTACAAATCTTTGTTTGTATTTTCATAGTTAGCTTAAGATGAATATTATTACTAATGCTATGTAGGGTAACTTGAACTGTTATTTTCACTTGCTTTATTTTAGTGGAATTATGAGTATTATTGTTGCAATTATTATGATGATGCTTTTTAAGTATAAGGAGTCGAATCTTAGCTTTCATTTTTTTTCTATTTAAACAATTAATCAGAATCAGCTCTGACAAGCTCTGTGACATTTTAATGTTGCTACTATTCCAAAAGATCTTCCAAAGCTTTTATTTTATCCTCTAAATTTTTATTCATCAACTATTCTTAGTTATAATTTCTTTCAGCTATCTCTTTTTGTATTCTAATTGATTCAATTCTTTCCTTTTAATGTTTTAAAAAGTTTAAAATAACAGTTTATCTAATGCAAAACATACTTGCCATTCCTGAGTATCTCTTCTTTATTTATCCTCTAATTCTTTTATTTTTTCGATCTTGATCATCAACTAATTGTTTAATTTGCCATTCTCTTTTCCAATCTTTTCTAAGTCTGCTTTCAATTTAGAATTGTAATCAGCTAACCCATGATTCTAGTTAGAATTTTAAGATTACTTTCTGCCATAAGGAGAATTCATCCCGTCCATTCTACTTTTTCTAAGCTCTTCCTCTTACTGTTAAATCTGTTTTTGCATAAACATTTTTTCCTTTTAGAGGCGTCTCAACTATCTGTCACATTCCTTTTCTCTCACCTTAATTAATTGTTATTTAAATATTAAAAATATTATTTTTTATTTAGAGATATTTTACATTTATTTCATTTTTTTCTTTCTCTAATTTTTAAATCAAAACAGCCATTTCTAAATTGTCATTTTTAAGAGCTTCAACTTTTTTGTTTAAACCAACTAATCCATCTCCAGACCTTGTAGATCCTCCAGTTTGATCGCTAAAAAATAAATAAAAATAATTAATATTAAATATATTTAGTTAAAAATAATGTCTCACAATCCAAAACCTTAGTTGACTTTAAGACACTGATCTAGCTTGCTTTTAAGTTTAATGCACTCTTCCCTTAAAACATTAACTTCTATCTATTATAAAATTCATAACAAAAATCTTAGCAACTCCTCTCATTTCTATTAAAATAAATACCTCTAATTCTTAAAGCCTAGTTGTGGTAATTTGCCTCTTAAAGTTTTCAAACTCAATATTTTTTTGTTCTATTTCTTTGAGACACTCCTTAAGCTACTTCCTGAGTCTGATACTTAAAGCATTCTAAAATTTAATAAATTAATTTTACTTTTATTTTAGCTAATTATTCTAACAATTTCTTTAACTTAATTAAAATACATTTAAAATTTAGTATTTTTAAATAATTTTTAACTCTCATAATTGATTCGTTATTCAATTTGTGTGAAAGATTGAAAGATTTGAAATTTTTACGTTTTTAACCTCAATAATTTTTTGAGAAAATAAAGAGCTTTTAAAATACTTAAAAAAGTTAAAGAATTTAATTAGAAATAATTAATTCTATTTGCTGAAAACTTAATCACCATGTGCAATACTTTTATTAATTTGAATAACTTTTACCTCTTTTTATTAATTTGCTGTTCCAGATGAGGATTTGATATTACCTTCTTCAATAATTCTTTCAAATTTCTTGGCTTCCCTCTTTATGGAAAATAAATAAACAAATGATTCAGTGAGGTGATAAAAAAATAAATTTAATTTACTTCAAGATTTAAATTTTTTGTTTTCAGTTTCAAGTTCTCCTCCTAAAGTACATTTATTTAATTTCTAAGTTGTAACAAATTTTCATAAAGCTTTTCCTGTTTATTTTTAATAATGAATAAATTGCTTCAAATAATTTAATCCTACCTTATCATGCAGTATGTTATTAGGAATCTTTTTGTTTGGTTATTGATTCTTGTCAAAGAAAAATGCTCCTGATGTTGTCCTAGTATGTTTACAAATAATTATTATTATTTAGCCATTCATTTTAATTAATGTAAAAATTAATATTTGAAAATTAATCCTATACTGTCCGTTTATTTGAGGCATTTTTTAAGATTTGGTTGTGGATTAATTATAGCTTGGATCATAAACTCCATTTTATGTTGAAACTGTGCTAGGACGGATATAACTCGATCTATTTGCTTTTAAACTTCCTGCAAACTTGGGCGATAACACGCCAATACGCTAATTGTGGATATTTGCTTAAGAATTACTTAACGAGCTCAAATGCGCTTATTAATTATTCTATCCATAAGATGTTAGTGGGCGCTTTTAGTAGAGATAATCATTCTGCATTTATTTTTTTTATTTAAATAATCTTTAATTTTTGCATTTTTTAAAAAGTTTTATTTAAATCGATTATTCAGCCATTTTTTCAAATGCTCAATTATTCTCAATTAGTTTAAATAAGACATCTCAAAATAATATTTTTACTTCCTAAGTATCGATTTTCCCTGCTGCCGCTCCTGAAGGAGCTGCGTTTTAATTGCTCTGATACTAATTATCAAATTATTCAGACATTTTAATTTAATCTTTATTGTTAAAAATCTATCTATATATTTATATATCAATCAAATAACCTTTAAACAATTAATGAATAGAATGTTAATAACTTATTATAATTATTATTTATTTTTTTGATTGTTATATTTTATTAAACGAGTCCTTTCTTTTAGATTGACTGACTGACTGACTGACCGAATCAATGACTGAATGATTTATTAAATTAAAGCAATGTTGACTACTTTTTAATTCATATTATACTACTTCTGATTTCTTATTTAAAAGTAAATGCACCTATCTATCTTTTTGCTACAAAAATAGATACAACCAATTTATGCTAAAATTAGTTTAAACAAAATCATTTGATTTGGATTTATTAAAATAATCTTTAAAAATAAGTTAACATTTTTATTTGACTACTTCAAATTAAATAAATAAAATATAATTTAATTTTATTAAGTTAAATAATGATAAATTATTTTTATAATTAAAATCATAAGCAAAATATTAATTTTAATTCAGTTATATTTTCTTTTGATTAAATATTTTTCTATTAATTATTCCTTTAAATATTAATTTTATTTAATAATAATTTTTTTATTAATATCATGACATAATACTATTAATTAAATAGAAAATAAAAATACTTAAATTCAGGTATTCAAAAACTTACAAATTAGAAAAAAAATAATTTTTTAGCCATTGTTGTATGTTGCTTTTTTAATAGATTGACATCAAATATGGAAAATAATTGGAAAGAGGACAAGGTAATTTTTTTTTAGCAGTCAACTTTTCTTCATTTATTGTTTAGAAATTTAAATAGTATTTTACATACATTTTATAAATAATTTTTCACTTACATTTAAATGGTTAAATGAAATTGTTTTCTATTCATTTTTTTAAAGATATTTTTTGTTTGAGTTTTCTTCATTCAAAAATGAACTGAAAATTTTATTTTTGAAAATGATAAATTATTACCATTCTATATTATTATTTGATTTTGAATTTTATTAATTTTGATTTATGTTATCAATATTTAGATTATCGAAAAATCTATCTGCTATCTATTTAATATTTCTTAAAAAAAGTTAACTAATAAATGATTTAGTAGAAAAATGATTTTTACAATCTAGAAGAAGTAATTAATTATTTATTTTTTTATTAACATTCTTTAAATTCATTTTTATTAATAAAAAAGTTTTTAAACTCTTCTCTTTAATCTCATTCAGTTCTCACTATTTATCTTAAGTAAATTAAATTTATTATTATATTTAATTATTTATTTATTTAATTCTCAAGTTATTTAAAATATTAATTTCTTATTATTTCTTATTTTTTCGTCATTTTTTCTAACTTTTAATTAATAATATACATATCCTCTTCAATATTTAAAAATTAGAAATAATTAAATTTGGGATAAGGGTTCATTAGGCTTAAATTCTGCTTTAGCAAAGTGCAAAAACCTCTTAAATTTGTAACTTGATTGATATTGGGTAAAAATAGTTTATTTGTTGATTATGATATATTTGAATACAAAATGTATTAAAAAATATATTACTCTTTTAATTTTTTTATTTATTAGCTTTTTATTAGAATTTATTTTTCTTTTTATCCTGCTTGTATTTTTTTTCTTTATTAAGATAACTCATATTTATTCATTCATTCTTTCTAACTAACTGATTAATTTATCAATAATTTTCTTCAAAATTTAAAAAGTGGCAATTAAATTGGAAATTAGGGTGCTTTAGGATTAGGTTCTGCTTTAAAAAACTGCACTAATCTCTCCAATTTGTCTCTTAATCTTAGGTAAAATTTATTTTGGATTGTGATATTTTTTTAAACATAAAAATGAATTAAGCAATAAAACTCTTTTAATTTATTAATTGATTGATTTATTGGCTTTTTATTTGATTTCTTTCTCTTTTTATTTTGTTAGTGTTTTTTGATTATTAATTTAACTCATTCGTTTTTTAATTTTCTACTTTTGCTTTGAATATTAATTAATTAAAATCTTTTTATTTCATTTTTTCCTTCTAACTAATAAATTAATCTTTAATTTTCTTCAATATTTTAAAAGTTGTAATTTAGTTGGTGCAATCGGTGTATCTGGTTTAGCTTCAGCTTTATCAAACTGCACTAATATCTCAAATTTGTCTATTGATCTAAGGTAAAAATTCTTTATTTGTTTTGGATTTTGATATTTTTTAATATAAAAATGAATTTAAATGATTAGATCCAACGAATAAAATTATCATAATTTTCTTCAATAAATAAAAAGATGGAATTTAATTTACGATGAAGGAGCATCAGGCTTAGGTTGTGCTTTACCAAACTACACAAATCTCTCAAATCTATCACTTGGGATTGTGTAAAAGCAGTTTATTTATTTTATATTTTTTAATTAAAAATGAATTTAAAACAATAAAACTCTTTTAATTTATTTGTTTATTATCTTTTTATTTGATTTATTTTTTTTTATTCTGTTTGTAATTTTTTTCTCTCTTAATTTAACTTATTCCTTTTTTAATTTTAGACTTTTGCTTTGATAACTAATTAATTTCTTATCATTTAATATTTTTTCTTCATTTCTTAAATGTTACAAGCTAATTAATTATATATTTTTTCTTCAAAATTTAAAAAGTTGCAATAAAATGACTAAGTAAGGTGCTTCAATCTTATATTCTGGTTTAGCAAAGTGCATTAACCTCTCAAATTTGTCTCTTGAAATTGGGCAAAAACTGTTTATTTTTTTTTATGTTTTGATATTTTTATAGCTATTTACGTTGATTTATTTTGGTATCTGAGTTTAAATATTCAAACAAAAATACAAAATAAATAATTTATTTAAATTAATACTTATAAAAATAAATAAAAATAAAAAATAAGTTAATATTTTTTATTTTTTATAATATACATTTTTAAAAATAAATATTAATAATAATTCAACTAATTTAATTATAAAATTAAACTTTAAATAAATTAAATTGATAATTATTTAATCTTTAAAAATATTTTTAAATAAATATTGATAAAAAATATATTTTTTAAAATTAAAAAAGTTTCTAATTATTTCAATTATTAAAAAAAAATGAATCAATATAGATTTTCAAATCTAGACTATGATATGATTTTATTTATGAGTAAAAAATTTTTTTAAAGGTGATTCGCCCTAAAATTATTATTATCAATATTATAGTGTTTCAAACAGCAAAGAAAAAAAACAATATTAAAACTCTGTTCTCAAATTGCCTTTTTCTATAATTGAATAATAAAAGGTTATTTTGTAATAGGAGGTCATTAGGTTAAGTATATTGCTCCACGTTTTGGTTTGGGTATTTAATCATAAAATTTTATAATAATTTATATGATTTAATAATCTAATTAAAATATAAAACTAATCTTAACAATAATTTATTGCTTTCAAAAAGAATTATGCTTATTTTAGAATAATTTCATTCATTCATGAATATAAATTATTATCAATGTAAAAATTTTAATTTTATTATCTAAATTTATTCAATCATTATATTTTATTTTAGCAATTCTATTCACTATTAAAGATTTTTCTAAAACACTTTTTTTTTTGACTAATTTATATTTTGAATGATAAAATGTTGATATTGAAGAATATAATACATCAAAAGAATTATATCATATATCAAAATTTTCTTTTTGTTAAGATTATAACAAATGTGTTTAAACAAGATAAAAAAATTGATTATTATTTGAAGAACATTTTTAAAAATAAAAATTGTTTCAATTTTTGATTTTTTAAATTTTATTCATATAGAATAAATATGATGAGTTTCTCTAAAATCTTATTTTAAAGGAATATCTTAAAATAATATTTAAATAAAATGATATATTTTTCCTTTATATTACAAAGATAGATTTTCTTTTATAAGTAAAAAGATTCAGGATTGAAAGCATGAAGAAATTTATCTTGAGATATAATTCTTTTACATCTATTTTTCTATGTTTTTATTATGTGGAAAAATAGTCTAATTTCAAAAACAATTAAAGTTGGTTTTCTTTCTATTTTCAACCTTACATAAAAAAGAAATCTAAACAAATAAACAAATGATCAATTCATAAATAGAATTTTATTATGTCATACTTCAATCATAGTTAGTAAAAATAAGGTATATCTAGAGAGATATACAAAAAAAATGTTGACTCAATCAGGATCAATAATAGGTAATAAAAAAAAAATTTATATTGTATTAATATTATTATAAATTTTAAATAGATTCTGTAGAATATCTTTGTTATGATAAATATGTTAGGTATTTTTTAAATAGACATTCCAAATTTATTTTAATTCTTTCAAACTATTATTTTTCAAATAGTATATGTAATGATTTTATTTATTTTAAAAAATTAAATTTTTCATATTCTCGTTATATTTGATTTGATGATACCTAGACATATTTGACTGTATAACCTATACAAATTTTGAAAATTGTTATTATTTATGTCTAACTTTAAAGTAGAAAAGATAAATTTGAGTTAATTTTATTTTTGAGCAGAAATAATCAAAGAGTTAATGAATTAGTTAATTGATCAGAAAATTTATTATCAAACAATAAAAATCTCTTCAATAAATTTAATTTTTTTCAAAAATTGACAATTTCTAACCTTACAAAAGCGATTTAGTAGATCAAACAAAACAAGGATGTTTGGTTTAAAAACAATCTTTGAAATCAAGAAAAATACATAATTTATATTATAAAAAAAATTAAATTTCAAATAGTTATAAAAGATATGAAAATTATTGCTATTATTGCTCTCTTGGCTGTTACTGCCTCCGCATCTTTGTTAGAAGACAAGTGCTTCATGAATGCTGCTGGTAAAACTGTATTCACTGTTGCTAACACTCTTAAAGAAATTACCAGTATTGAGAACTTAGATTAATATGAAACAATTTTGGCTTAAGTTGCTGAATTAAAGGCTGCTTACACCATGTGCAATATCTAAGACAAGATCCCCAACACCTCCGTTAGTAAAATCCTCCAAAATTTAGGAGTTGGTGATCTCCTACTTTCTAAGTGCACATAAGACTTAGGTGGCTTTTTCTTGATCGTTAGCTCTATTATTGAAGATCACTCAAACATTCCTACTGATATTGTTGGTGTTATCGCTGCTGCACTTATGGGAAAATCAGCTTACGGTGACTGTGGTCAATTCATCGCTTTCCTCAAATAACTTTGAAAAACATATTATCAATGATTAATGAAATATTTGTTGTATTAAAAAGTTAGTTATAAAACTTTTTAATATTTTTTTATTGATTTTTTTTGAATTAATAATTAAAATTAAACAATCAAACAAAAAATTAAGTTATTCGAAGGTACCAATTAATATTTTTTTAATTTTTACATATAAATAATTTAAAGTAAACAATCAAAATTTAAAATATTATGCAATACAACAACAAAAAATCCTCCTACATTATTTATTTTTAATCCATTTAATACTGTTTAAAAACAAAATTATTGAGAAAAGTTAAATGTTTTTGGTACAATATGTTTAATTATTTCATACAACCAATTAATTAATATTTCTTTATGAAATAAAAAATTTTATATATTTAATAAAATCGAAATTACATGGAATATTATGAAAAATATTTTAAAAATAAACTGTTTACAAAATAAATACAAACAAATCAAAGATTCAAGTAAAATATTTGGTGATAAATTAATCAAAAATAAATTAATTCTGTCTTAGAAAAATTTAAAACCAACATTAAACTCCTTTTTTTTAAATAGGGAGAATCAGATTAGATTAAATTAAATTTTTCAGAATTTTGACTGGTTGTATTCTATTAATCGACAGTTTATTGATTAATAATTGATTACTTTTAGATATTTATTTTTATTAGCATTTTTGCAAAATTAGCAAAAAAAAATAAAACTTACGCTAAAAAAGCATAAAAAACCATTTCAATTATAATCTTCAAATAAAAAAGTTTTTATTAAGTTTAATCAATTTTTATCTTAAGTTACAATCTATGCACATTTATACTATCACTACTTAAATTTAGATTTTTATGAAAATGAAAAAAATAATGTAAATCTCGTTCAAAGTTTTAGTAATAAATAACTAAGATACATTTCTCTCTCCTTTCCATAAACTTGGAGTTGTTTAAATAAAAAAATAATTTCATTAAGATTATACACATTTAGATAATAGATTTTATATAATTTTAAAATCAATAAAAAATAATAGAATATACATTAATTCATATTTTTTTCCTTAGTTTTTATTCAAAAATTTAATTTAAATAAGCTGTGTACAAAAGCACTCAATAAATAAATTTTGTACACTAATTTATCGATTTTAAGGGCGCATAGTACGAGCTAGTGAGCACTGTGCCTGTGCATATACCATAAATTACTTATAAATATCTTTATGTATTTGCTTTTTATTGATTATTTTAAGATTAAAAATAAGAGTAAAAAATTAAACTTTAAATCTAAACAAGTTTCAAATATTATTTTAATATCAAAAATAAAAAAGTTAAAAAAGCCATGTAGAATAATTATAAATTTCAAAATTTAAATTTATAATTTGTATCAAATATTAAAAATTGAAAAATAATTAAATAGTTGAAATTGAAAAACATTCAAAAAATATATTAGAAGAAATAGTCATTTCAAGTAGATTAATAGGGTCTTTAATTTATTGGAAAAAAAGCAATTATCTAAAGACTAACAATATAGATAGTTAGTTTATTAAATTAATAAATAGTAAGTAGAATTGTTCCAAAACATGTATTATGTTGTTTGGTTTATTTTGGGAAATTAAGCATACTATAAGTGATTTTAATTTTAATACATTTAGTTAGAAAATGAAAGGAAGAAATTAATGAAATTTATAGAATATGTAAATAAAATAATATTTACCTACTAAAATAAAGTAATTAATATATAAAGTTAGATGATAAAAAAGGTAAAAGAGTATCTTGATCATTTAGGATACTTCAAAGCAAGCAAAGAGGCAAGAAACACATTTTTAGGAGTAATATTAGTTAAGTTTGGAACAGGAGCAATAGGAATATGGGGCATCATCAATATATATTTTTTCTCCTTCTATAAGCAAGTATAATTCAATTTTTTCCATTTTACATTCGAATTTGAATCATAGAAATTTGAAAAATAATTAAGCAAAATTAGTTAAGAATAACATTCTATAAAATATTAGAATGATGATAATTTAAGGATGAGTGAGTTTGTCTTCTTAATTACATTTGCCGCAATTCCTATGAGTGTTATAGCCATATTTTCAGTTCGAATTGCTTAGATATATGGTTTTGAAAAAATTATTAGATCAGCGATGATTATTAATCCGATCAGCATCATGTTAGGATCAACGCAAGATAATTTTTACACTTTTGCTTTATTTAACACATTCATAGCAAGTATATGCTTTGGATCTACAGTGATGCCTATCCTCTACTGTCTTTGGAGCCATTTCCCTACTAAAACTGGAAATACAACAGGAGTTGCTTTGGCAAGTTTTGGTCTAGCTACTTTTTTTTACAGTATATTTGCTACTTATATTGTAAACCCATAAAATCTACCTGCAACTATTGAATACATTGAAGGATAATAAGTAAATATAATTAAAGCAAGCAATTTTCATGCATTATTTTCTAATCTACTTATATCCAATCAAGTCCTTATTATTTTATAATGAATAAATTCTATTTCATAATTATATTAAACTTAAAAAGCTGCCATACAATTCATTTAATTAAAACCAAATAGTTCTTTATAAATACCAAAAACCCTTATAATAAATTAAATAAATAGAGAATATCTAAAAAGTATTATTTACAAACCTACAAATGCAAAAATAAACATACTTCACATTAACTATCACATAATATGTAAATGATCAGATAAAAATTATAATAACTAGAAATAATTTTGAAGTATAAGTAATTTATGATAATAGGAAATGATTATTAGTAACAAGGATAACCTTCATTCGATTAATGATTAATAAAAACAAATCAATTTTAGGATTAATGAAGAGTATACAAGAAGGATCAATACAAAAATTTTTATTTCATTTGAAGAGGAAGTACTAATGATCGATACAACATTTCTTTAATTTATTCTCCACATTATTAATGATCTATCAAGCTTAATAATAGATTGATTACAATCATCATCAATATAAATTATCATTAATGATAATTAAAAATCAATAACTGTAGTCTCATTTATTATTGATGATGATAATAAGAAACATTCACGAATTTTTATTTTAAAAAATGGAGAGCTTTAAAGTATGATAGTTTAATAAGTTGTCATCTATAATTTAGACAAGCTATTTATAAAATAGATTAAATAATATGAGTATCAAAAGAATAGTATATAAGGTTAAATTTTCTTTTACTTTTATTAAAAAGATAGTATTATTTAATATGTTGATTTATCATATATTGAAAAAATAAGACTTTTTTGGCATATTTTTATTTTGCTTTTTAATAATGATAGCATTGAATTTTATAAAATTTATTTATTATTAGTGATTTTTGAATACAATATTGAATTTGATAAGATTCAGCATCATATATTTAAAAATTTTTTATATCAATCAATAACTTTGAAAAATACTTATCAAACTTTTTTAATTTATAAATATATTCAACTGATATATTTACTTATTTATTAAGTTAAATGTTAATTAATTAGACCTATTATTTGTTTGAAGAAGTTGTAAACTAGAATGTCCCATCAATGGTTTTTTGGATAGGATTTATTTAATTACTATTTTGTATTCCAGGAGCTTTTTTGATTTCAAATAATAAAGAAAGTGAGTCTCTGCTGAATGAAGAAAACGAAGAAAATGATGAAAAAGATTTAGAGATGAATTTGTTAGGAAGCAGTTTTGAGAAAAATATTGTTGTTTAAGAGGAAGAATATAAGTATAATTAATTTCAATAAGGTGTAATGATTCTTGAATAGCAAAATAGTCATTAATTATTTAACAATTAATAGAATTAATAAAAATAAAACTCTGATAGAAAAATAAGCTCAACTCCCTCCAACAAGCAAAGGAAGAAATCTATTTCATAGTAATATCTTTTGGAGTGGCATGCCCAAGTTCTCCACACTCAATTCTCAAATAATTCAGCAGATAAAGTTTAGAGCAACTAATAAATAACTTCTCTTAATTAAATACCATATGAAAATAACCATAAATAATAAAAAACTTCAATTACTAAATTGTAAGATAAATAATTTTAATAAACAGCAAACTAAATCAGTGATAGTCCTTAGCAAGCTTAGCAATATAAGGTTAAGTAACAAGAGTAAAACTAAGAATTTAAAGATTAAAATCAGGAATAAAATTAAGTTATTGAACATAATTAGCAATAGAATGATCAATAAAAGTAAGATTCGATACTATAATTTGAAAGTAACTGCACATTTCACTCTGACCTCACTCTTATGGATGCTATAAAATCAAAACCTTTCAAGATAATTTATGTTTCAACTTTTCTGCTCAGCTGCTTCTCTCTTTTTATTTCAATTAATTTTAAAACATATGGATTAACTAAAATAAACGATGATCATTTTCTTACTTATATTATTACTTTTAGTACTCTAATTAGCAGTATTTCAAATATAGGCTGGGGATATTTAGTGGATAAATACAATTTCAAACTAGTTTATCTCAGATTAATTCTTGTCATTTTAGCTGCAGGATTCCTATTTCCAATATTTTCTGACAGTAAAATAGGTTTTTACATGTAATATCAAACAATTTATTTTTAATTTTAGTGATTCGAAAGCCTAGCTTTTAATATTTTGTTTATTTAATTTTCATGGTGCTCAAATACAATTCTCAATCCTTAAACATTTTTAGAGGACCAATTAGGAATATCTAAAATCTAATCTAACAAAAACTTACCTTAATATTTCTTTAAATTTTTTAAATATTATTTAAAAATTCACAATGAATTCAAAAAAATAAATATTAAAGATTTAGAAATAATTGTTGTTGTATTAAGGATTAGAAAAATGAGCGAAAACGATATATTGTTAAAAAAATAAATAATTTAAAATTAAATTTTGTTTCTTTTAAAAAAAGATTTTTTTAGATTTTAAGTGCTAGCGAAAGAGGACTTTACACAATAATAGGACCTGGTTTAGTAAAAATATTTGGGATGAAACTTGGAGCAGAGTTGTTCCCTGTGAAAAGTACATCCTTTTTCTTGGCTTTGGTAGTTCTGCCAGTTATTCAATTTTTTATGCTAAAGTTTTTTGACTATGATGAAACAATTCATATCTTATTAGTGGGAATTGTTGCTTCATATTTTTTAAGCAACCAGTTATAATAATAATACGATTTTAGGAACATAACTTACTAAGAAAAATAAAAGAATAGAGTTTGAAAAATAAAGAAAAACCTACCAGGAAATAAATCTCCTTATATTAATTTAATTGCTAGTAAAAATTGCATATTTTTTTGATTCGTCTTGCAAAAATAGATTATTATTAACTGAATTTCAATGTAGTATTTTATTATCCTTCCTTTTTTAAAAAATTGATTTTCAGTCAATTCACTTTGAAGATATTTTAATTTGTTTCAAATTAAAACTTAAAATCAATCTGAAATGGAAATTAAGAAATCTATAAAAAACTTTATTTGGTATTTATGAAGTAAGTTAGAACAATAACAATCAAATTATTATAAAAATAATAATCTTAGCTAATAGAAAGCAGTAATAGCAACAGTCTAAAAATTCATATTATTTAAAATAAATACACCGAAAATTTACAAAAAAATTAGCTTACAAAATTTTATTTATGAAGTATTTTTTACTTCTGATATTAATTTTAATTTGCCTATTTTTTATATTTTATATTTCAGTTTCTATTTTAGTTATGAAAATATAATATTTTTTTTATAATAGATTGTTAAAATAAATTTACTAAACAAACTATTAAATAAAATTTATTTTGAAAACTTAAAGAGGTATATATTTCTTGTTTTTCTTTTAGCTATTTATTATATAATTTCTATTTCACTGTTTAATTTTTAATAACTTTTTGATGAATTCATGAACTGTTGTTTAGCATATCTATAACTAGTCATCAATTTATTTAAGAAATTGATCAAGAACTTAAATATTATATTTTTACTAAAAATGTTTATAAAATTGAGTGATCAATTTTAGAGCCAGTTTTAACTTCCTAATTTCTTATTTAAAGGAAGAATTTCCAAAATAAATTTACTAGATTATTAATTTTGGTTTTTAGTCTTATTTGATTACGCAAACTAATTTAACTAAATTAGGTTATTAGTTTGTTTGATATATTTCAAAAAAAAAAAAAACTAAAAATAGAAAAATTAAAAATAGACAAGAATGTATAATTATTCATTAGATAATCATGTAAAAAGCTATTTATTTTAAAAATTTATTTGAAATATATGATGAAATTTTATACAAATTGTTAGCAAAATATATAATATGCTTAATTAAATATATTTTTTCATTGAAAATAGGAAAGGATCTATTTTCAAATTAATAAATAAATGATTTTTATTATAGAATTAATGTATGAATGATAGTTTTAATTTGTTATAATTTATTTAGCTTGCTAATATTTATTTTAGTAATTTTATTTATTTTATCATCAAGCTGTTTATATATTAAACCATATTTAATCAATTTTTTTTTAAAAGAGATTTCTATGGAATCATGTGGAAAAATACGGTCAAAGAAATATTATCAATTTAAGTTAGTAAACCGTTAAGATTATGACTCAATGAGTTACAAGTTATTTATTAATAGGTTATTTTAGTAAATTTAAAATCAACAATTTAATTTATTCTGTAATTATAAATTAAATTTCATTCATGTTTCGGTTAGTAATATAGTTTTCTATAGTGGTTGAATGATTTATTATTTGTTTGGTTAATAAAATTGTCTGATTAATTTAGTTATGATGTATTTGTTTGTATGGGTGTATGTATGTATATTTGTTTTTTATGTGTATGAAAGTGGAAAATTTAAATAATAGCTTCAATCAGTAAATTATTGTATAGATTTCATTTACAAAATATTCTATTGAGAGAGTTAACAATATGGCCTTTCAGTTTGTTTATTTGTTTGTTTAAAGAAAATAATGTAGATAGTTGGTAAGATAGATTAATTAGTTATTTCAGCTAAAGTACTCTTCTAATTAAAGTTTTTGTTCATATAACTTTTCAATTAGAACCTGTATAACGCAAATTTAGGATTTGTCTTGAATATTTTCATAGGCATCGAAGACGCGATTGAACTAGTCTTCGATCGATCTATATTCCTTCACTATAAGGTGAAAGTTTTAGCAGACTTCGTGCTTTCTGCATCTACTAAAATTATCACATAAGTGTTTTAGCTGCAAAGCATCCTCTTGGTATGAGAATGATTCCAGAGATGACGACATTGAAGAGACAGATTTATTTTTATTGTTAGGAGATTCATCAAAGTTGGAGAGTGATGACTGGTGATGGTTGAGTTCTTGTCTCGACTCAAGAATCCTGTCATGAAGGTTTGAGTAATTTTGAGACAAGTTAATGATTTGTGCACGTAATCTTTCGATCAATGAATGAGAGTTGCTTTAAGCATTCATAACTTTCATTAGCATATTTTTTATTTGTTTGTTTGTTTATTTATTTATTTACTACGTAGTTTTTTTTTAGATTCTTAATTATTAATTTAGTTGAATTAAAAATTTTTATAAGGATATTTGCTAACAAATTTAAAGGGATTTGAAAAAGTAAATAAGTAATTAGATAAACTCATTCATACAGACAGTCAGTCAAGTAAATTCGCTTATAAGAATCTATGATAACTATCTCACTCACAATCCCATAGATTCATTCATTAATTCATTTATTAATTCCCACATTCACTTATCAATCAATCGCTTACTTTTTGCATGATAAATTATAAAAGATAATTCAAAATTTATTGATTGATTCGTGAATTAATAGAATGATTCCTTTAGTTTTTTTATCATATTAGTCTTTTCAAACTAATTCTCCACTTATAATCATATAATCTAACCATGTATTTGTTAACCAATTTTTAAGTAGTCTCATAGGTTATAACCACTAAAGCAATAAAATTATCATTTTTCCTTAGTCATCTAGTACTATTTCACAGCCAAATTAATAATCAAAAATTTAAAATCCAGCATTTCTAAAAAAAGCACTCTAGCTTACTATGTTTAAAAATCATCTCACAGACATAATTGATTTGAATACTCGATATAAATAGATCATGCTTGTTTTTATTTTTATTTAGTATTTTATAAAATTTACTGAACTCATTATCTTACACTTTATAAGGTTTTGATAGAAACCCATTGTAGATTAGTAAAATTTAGGCTGGTTGATTTCCTATTCATCATTTATGTATTATGTGCTTGCTTGCTATATATTTTAAGGATTTATTTCAAGCATTAATTGCATTATTATTCCTAAAAAGTCTATAAATTATTTAAATCTCTTTCTCAAAAAACTCATTGATGGAAAAAGAGTATTTAAATATATATTATGATGCAAGCCTTTTTTGAATTGATCTTGGTAAATTTATTTAATAAAACATTGATTGTTGCTAAATTAATGTATTAATATATAAAAGTAGTAAGACTTATTTACCTTTTTTAAATTTGATGAGAGATATGAATTAAAATATTAGCATAAAATGAATGAAAATAACAAAGAAAATAAGAAAAATAATTAATTTGTGTATTTATAACTAAAGTTACTTAGCTTTACTAAAAAATTATCTAGAAGCTATTTTTCCTTTTTCTATTTTTTCTTTTCAAAATGAAATAGAAAATGAAAACTTTATTTATTAATGGTCATTTTTAAAAATGATTCTAATTACTCATTTTTCTTGCTTTGCAGCTCAATTTTAGTTAATTTTTTGGTGGTTATCTTTGAAAGACTGAAAAAGCAATCTTACAAAATAATAACCAGTCAGATTATCATATTAGATTTTATTAGCCTTACAATAAAATCATAATAAAAAAATTTATTTACACATTAAAGACTGTAATAAATTTGATAGAATAAGTAAAAACACTTATCCCAACTAAGAAATAATACACCAACATCAAGTAATCAATTCATAGAAAACAACAATTTAAATTACCAAAATAAAAAATTATCAATATTTTTGTATTCAATTAGCGCATTTAATAATAAATTATAAAAAATATTTTAAATTTTTTTACTCTTTTTTAACAATAGAAATATTTTATTAAAATGGCTTTTTATTTCAAAGTATTTACAAAAGCATAAATTTTCTTAATGATTTAAATTATTTTGAAAATATGAAAATATAAAGAAATGGAATTTAGAAACTTAAGATATTTTATGAGTCTATCAGTTTATTATTTAATGTAAACACGGTTATGCAATTCTGAATTTTAAATAATCCTAAAATACCAAATTACACTTCTTTATATGTTTATTTCTTAATTTAAAACATGCATGTATGTAATAAACATAATTCGTTTAAATTTATCCATCCAATTATTTTAGCCAACTGTTTGAATACTTAAATAAACCTTACAGTATGAAATATGAAATAAATAAAAATTTATTTTATTCTAAATTATAAATCAGAATTATGTTATAGCTTGAAATATTACTAACAGATAAATAATCTATATTATATGATAGTAATTGCGTTTTGGCTATATTAATAAAGACTAAAAAGGATCTTAACTGAGAACGTTAAGTTTAAAATTTAAGAATTAAAAGTTAGCTGTTCAAATAATAACATAACCTAATAAAAGAAAAAACTCTCAGAATATATTTATTACAATATAGAATAAATATATTATTAGTCAGCAGTTTAGTGATGATGGTTTTTTAATTAGATATAAAGGATATATGTAATATGATCAAAAACTCAATTCTTTTTATAGTAAATTTTTGGTTGAGCTAGAAAATAATTAGTATAAGTTATATGTTATAGAATAGATAAAGTAAGTTAATTTATATTTTTATAGTAATAGCCAATAATCAGAAGATAAAATGAGTATTATCTAGGATACGGCATATAAATTATAACTAATTATAGGGAAATTTTTAGAATAGAATGTACTGAAAACCAATAATTACTTGAAATTCACTGATAATTTAATATATTTACTAGTCATAAATTAAATCAGCACCTAATTGAGCTAGCATAGTTATTATTTACATTTCACTAGAATTGATAAAAGTTGATAAAATTGACAACTTAAGAGTCTAATCATTAAAACATATTAATATCAATTAATAGTTTCTAAATTGTAAAAAATATTTGAAAAACTGCTGTATTATGATTAATAAATGCTTAATAGATTGATTTTTGATTGATATAATGAATTGAAGATGAATTTTAATATATTTAAAATATGATCTAATATTCATACAATTAAAAAGTGATGTTATATTGTTTAGTGGTTGATTTAATAGGTTTAATCATCGAAACTATTATGGATAGTGGAGGGAAAAAAATATTGAATATTGGTAATGTATGGATTTATAACTATTTGTTTTTAGCTTGAATATCTATTGATAAAATATGCTGCTTTAAATATAAAAATAACATGAATGATTGCTAAAATATAAATATTATTTTTTTAATATTTGATTGTTTAAAGGATGACTATTATCAATAAATTATTTATTTAAATTGGATGTAAACAAAGTTTATGAAGTATTTATATTTACTTTTTATGATGGTATAGATAGTGATTAATAATAATATTCAGAAGGAAACGAATAAATATATAAATAAATTTATGTGGAATAAAATGTGATGAGGTTATTTTTTACTTAGTTGATAAACAATCAATAATATTTTTCTTGTTTGGTTAACCACTCAATTAATTAAATATATGTCAATTAAGAATATTTTTACAATACCAGAAGCAAGCGAATTAATTATTTAGATTTAATTCAAAGTGCTTATTTAAAAGACTCTCAACATTTTCATTTATTTCTATTAATTAATTAGAATTCAAGTTCCTTTTTAACTTTCGCTGAAAATTCCAACAAAATTAGTTTGATTAGCCATGACTAGCAAGATTGTAGAGGATTTCATTGATCAGGATCCATTTTTGAAAGAAATTTTTAGCTTTTAGAAGGAAAAAGGATACATTAAAAAAAGATCATCAAAGCCAATTATCTAAGATATATCAATTTTGGATGAATAAGGAGATGAAAAGTTAGCTAGAATAAAGTTAGAACAAAAAGAGCAGAAATAGGAAAGTGGATACGATCAATTTGATAAATTAGAAGACGTTCCTAAAATAAAAGATTTGAAGCAATCCAATCCATTTAAGATTGATTTTTTAAAAGAAATTCAAAAATTAGTAGAGTAAAATGTTATCATTAAAATTTCAATCAGATCATTGCAAGAGAAGCTACAGATGTCTCTGATTTCAGTAGAAAATGAACAGCTTAGCAGATATATTTTTTACTACCTAGTATCATTTTAAATTCCTCAAATATTCGAATTATCTCCTGAAACTTTACAAGAATTTACAGATGCTAAGGTCTACATCAAACAGAAAATGGCTAAAAAATACTTAAAAACTTTCACTCGTCTTCCAAAACCAAAAGATTAACTAATTCACTACTTGCTTTTCACTGATATTTATCTAGCTAACATGCTTTGCTTTAAAATATTCAAGAGCGAAAAGGAAAAGTTTAACATTTGTTTCCTCTTTAACAGTATTCATTTAATCGTGTATGAAACAACTGGAATGTTTGTGTCAGAATCCTACATACATACAAGCATTGACAGGTAAAATTATCACTAAAATAATTAATTTTTAAATGCAATCTATATTAACTGAATTCAATCAACTAAGAAGAAATAAAGAAAAAGATATTTTCACTTTACATTTTTTTAAAAGATATTGAGAAATAATTTATGATTTCTTTCACATTTAAGCAGATAAGTAATCTTCAAGCTAAAAGAAATAATAAGCATTAAAGAAATTGATAAAAAATTCATTAAAATATTATTTTATCATTTTTTAAGTATTAACATAAAAAAAATATTTAAAGTTAATTTTGTTAGAATATTTTATTTTTAATCAAAGAATGATTAATAAAGCAGATAAAACTAACTATATTTTATAGGCATTAGATTAACATAAAAAGGCAAGTTACTTTTTGTTTTTTTGAATAAGCTTAAGAAAAAATGATTTCAAGCTTATATTAATTTGAATGAAGTAATATTTTTTAATAAAAGTAAAACATTTAATCAAAGATAAGTGTAAAGTATTTAAACAAAATAAGTATTAAATATGATAAAATGAAATTACTAAAAATGGTTACAAAAATAATAAATATAAGCTGCTATTTTATTTCAACAGAATTCAAGCAAATATTTTAAGGAAAAATATGATTTAATGAGGTTTAACTGTTAAAAGAATAGATTACAATATATAAACAATATGAATTTGCATATTTAATTTTAAGGTAAAAAAAAGGAATGCTTAAATGTATATTTTAATTAAAATTCTTGGGTCTAGTTCGAATAAATTTGAATTGCGACAAACCAATAAGAGTTAGTATAACCAAACTCATAAAACTCTTTTTAGGGTAAAATGTAATAACTTGATAAAGATAGATTACTTTTCAATAGGAAATTAAAACTTGTTAAAATCTATCCTTTTCCAAAAATTAGCAAATATGAGTAAATCAAACTAGAAATAAACTTATTTTAAGGCAAAATAAGAAATAATTATCAATTTATCTAAAGTAAAAAAAATAAGTAAATTAGCAAATAATAATTAAGATTTTTCTATTTTTTTTATTATTAATCTAATGAAAATATTCAATATTTATTTTTTGCTATTAAAATATTTTGATTTATACAAAATAAACTTCAATTAAAGAAAAATTTTCTATTTTTAATAATATTTTTAAAACAAGTTTTAAAGCAAAGTAAAGAAAGAAACAATTATTTAGTCATTTTTAAAATAAATATATTTTTAATTAATTAATTTATCAATTTATCTCTCACACCCGTATTTGGAAATGCTATTTTTTATTTGGCATATAGATTTTTCTTTTTTTAACTGATTTGAATAAAGAAGAACTTATTTAAAAAATTAGAAATGTTTTTAATTTTATTTATCCACTTTGTTTTATTTACTCAAATAATCAATTTATGATTTCACTTTTATTGATTAGATATTAAGTATTTTTTTTTTTCAGTGATTTTGAAAACTTAAAAGATTTTAGATTACAAAAAGAAGAATTGAAAATTTTAGTATGATTAATATAGTATGTAATCTTTTTTGAAATAAGTTACTTATTAAATATAATAAAAGAATTAGTTATTTTGTAATCTAAAATTTAAAATTAATTTTACATTTATTTTATTTACTTATAAAATATTAGATTGTTTACTTCAAAATTTATGGAATATGAGAGAGAAGAATATGTCCGCATTTAGAAGTTAATAAACTAGCAAAATAAAATTAAAGATGAACAATTTTTAGGGTTTTAGCTTCCAAAGCTACAAGAAAACACAATTATAGATTCTAATTTTCAAGATTATTTATCTAAGATGCTAAATCGCAAAAAGTAGACAAGAAAAAGATGTGTGTCTCAGACTTCTTTCTCAAAATCAAGAATAATGAGAGATGATTCTATTTCTTAAGCACCTTCATCAAACCACTAATCTTTTTCTATAACATAGCCTCTTTTGCAATCAAGGAGCGAAAAGAGAAGCATTTCTCATCAGAGAATGAGCAAAACTTTAAAAGAAGATGAAAACTCCCTCACGAACTAGAACAAAGTGGATATGCCCGAATTAATTGACTCTATAAAAGAATCATAAAGCACAGATAGAAAATTTTCTAGGAGAAATTTTAACTGCGCAAGCATAGGTCCAGCGTAAACAAACAAATATTTAATTAGTATAAAAAGATTAATTTACACCTTAACTTAGGTTACATAAAATAAATTAAATTAATTAATTTTAGATATTTTTGTTGCAAAAATAAGCAATCAATTTTTAAACTAAATGTAAGGCTTATTTTCCTTCTCACATTATTAATAAAATCTGTGGAAATAGATAATATAATTACTGATGATTCTCAATAATTCAATTTAAATTGCAATTTTTACACAAAACAATTTATGATTTTAAAAGTTAATAATCATAATCAAAAATACCATCTAAATTTTTTAAATATTCACCTTTCACAAACAAAAATCTTCTCTTCCCAATTTCAAATAAGAAGATATATTAATAAATAAATCCTATTATGATTTAAGGTTATTAATTTATAGAATCTAGAAAATTTTATTTAAATTTTAGATTAGAATCTATATTCCAAATCATCAGTCACAATCATCTTTTTTCAATCAAATAAATTATGTTTACAGATATTAATTATTAATGTCTTAACATTTTGAATGGTATTTCCTTCATTTTTGCAAATTTAAAAATTTATTAATCTAAAAAAATTGAAGAAACCATTAGCAAATAGAATTTATTAAATATTAAGATAAATAAGATGAAATTCTCTAGATAAAATTGAACAAAATCATTCAGAAAAGCATTAATAAAAAAATAAAAAATAAAAATGAGTTAATTCAAATAAATGGAGCAAAATATTTTTAAATTGTCTAGAAAAAATGATGAAATTTTGATTATTATTAATACATTCATATGCATTATAAATTAGTACATTGATAAGAACAAAAAAATTTTTAATGTAAATGACTATGAGAGTTTTTGAAAAATATTATTTTTAGGCATTTATTTTTGAATTAATTAAATATAAATAAAGCTATAAATAGCTATTTCATTTTTAAAAATCTACTCATTTCAATCAAAATAAGGTTTTAGATGAAGATTGCTTAATGTTTTTCCTACTTTGTTTATAAATAGATTATAAGAAGAAAATTACTGTAAACTAATATTACAAAAATCTAGTGTTGATTGAATACCTTTTATAATTCAAAATTTTATATCTTATGAAACAACTTTATTTTTTTAATTTATTTCAATAAATTTTGATTGTAAATTAACTAAATTTATTTTTAAAAATTTTGAAATTAAATTAACCTAATTTATAATAATCACTTTTATATTTTAAAAATAAGCTTTAAAATTGTTTTATTAAATTTGAATGCTTTAAATTTTTACAAAAAGTAATTTATTTTCCTATTAAAGCTTTTAATGAAATTTGAATTCATGTAAATTTTTCTCAATATTATTTTTAAAAATTTTTAAGGTGTAAATTTTAATTTTAGAAGTATTTTATTAAAAAATATTTATATATTTTATTATTTAAACTATAACAGAATGAGCAATGCTTTGAACAAGAAAGAAAGAGTGCTTGTTGGTATATCTTAGAATGTTCTTTAGCATAGAATTAACGTTACTGATATTGGAAGAGGAAATTTGTATTAATTATTAGAAGATTTAAAAAAAGAAAGATAGTAAAGAAAGGACTACAAACAATAAGATGTCTAGTAAAGGAAAATAGATTTGTTTTAATAATATGGATTGGATTATTAAGATAAAATTGCATTAAGTAGAGAACACTATATAAATAAAAATGATGAACTACAAAAGAAATTTTTAGAGAACATGATTGAAATGAACTACGTTTTAAGAAAGAAAAGAGAAAAAGCAAACACGCTGCCATCTTCTGAGTATACTATTTAAAATTTGAAGAGATTAAAATTTGAATATATGTAAGAAGAAATTCCTAATTTCGATTTAAAGAAAATAAATATTGGAGGAGATTATTAAAACTAAACAATTCAGCTAATAAACAACACAACTGATTAACCAGCTGATATCAACGATCTTTAATAATAAAAGAGCGAAATTCACCAAAGATCGATTAGCTTATAGAATTTGAAAAGATAGCAAAGCGAATAAGGAAGTAGTTTTCTTGATTCCACCTATTCAATGATTAGAATGCCAAAAATGATTAATCTAAACTAAATTTTAGAAGAGGATTCAGAAAGCACAAAAAATGCTCCAACCAATTAAGTTTAAAATCAACAAAATAATGCTTCAATCTTGAAAAAAAACGCTGGAATTATTAAGTAAGGAGATTAGATAAATTAAAATGATAAAAAATTTTCTCCGTAAAAAACAATAAATTTCAGTAAAAATCTAACTTAGTCAAATTTAAATCACCAAATGAGTAAATCTTACTATTAAAGATAATCAGATAACATGAAAAGTAATAGAAATTACTAAGAAGCATAGTAAGATAACACAAAAAGAAAGAACAGCACCATCTTAAGAACAGAACCTTCTCCAAATACAAAAAGGATGAATACTCAAACAACCTTCAGTCCCTCGATGGAAAAGAATTTATCTTTCTCATAAAAATTAAATAATTTGAACAAAAAGTTGAATTTAAATGGGAACTCTGATAAAGATTCATCTGAATCTCCAAGAAAAGGTATATTAATGAAATAATATTTCAATCTAATTTATTGATTTAACAAAAAGTGAATGATTTCAATGATGAGATCTATTCTTAGACAAATAGAAAAATCAATACTGTGATTATCACAAAAGATACAGGACCATCAGAAGAAGAAATATACGACAAATATCACAATAGAATAGGTGGAGGAAAAAATGTTTACGACTAAATGATCTTAGACCAATAGAAAAAAAATGTTTTATATAAATCAAATAAATCAAAACTAGAATAAATGCAGTAAGACATGATCTTTAAGTAAGAAGACAAAGACAAAGAATATGAAATATTATAAAACAGGTATCAAAAAACCATTAAAACCGCATACAAATCAAAAGAAGTTGCTAAAAAAATGAAACTTGTAATAAAAATCTATTTATCAATTTAAACTTTCCATAAAAATTTTAAAATGTTTTTGAAGAAATTATTCTTTATGTTATTAATGGTACTTAAAATTTAAAAAAAGTGATTTTAAAAACACAAGTTTAACATTTTTTAAGAAATTAAGATAAAAAATATTTTTATTTAATTTTTTCTAAAATAAATTGAACAATATAACTTTATAAATATATTTAAATTTTTTGTTATTTATAAAATAGATAAGCCATTAAGCAGATAAAATGATAGAAAGACTAAATTTTAAATGATGATGAGAAATAAATAGAAATAAAATTTAAAATAGAACTTTTAATTCAAGATAATGCCATTTAAAAAAATAAATTTAAAATATTTCAATAACAAATCTATTTTCAATTATAAAATCACTTGAGATTTATATCACTATTAAATAAATATATAAATAATTAATCTTTTGTTGTAAATATTATGATGTGTTTGTTTAGTTTTAAAAAGTAAAAATAAAAAATATTATTAAAATTGAGTATGTTTTTAGAGCTTATTTTGATATAAACTTTAAATTAATTGTTTTTAAAAGTAAAAATTTTGTATTAATTTTAAATAAAATAAAAAATATTTCAAAAATAAAATTATTTTGGACTTTAAAATCATGAAAATTTTATTATTATACAACAGAAAAAAGAATTTAATTAATTTATTTTTTTATAAAAACTTTGGTCTAGATTTAATTACTCAAGAAATAAATGTCTTAAAAAACTTACTTTTTTTGTTAATTTTAATTAAATAAATACATTTTAGTTTACTTATTTTAAAAATTAAGATTTTCAATTAATTTTAGAATTTACTTTGGCTTTTACAACTTTTTTTTAAGAAAAGAGTTGAATTTTTTGAATTACAAAAAAAATAAAATAGAAAAATAATGACTTATTTCTAGAAAATTAATGTTAATGTTTTCTATTTGCTTCATCATGAAAAGAATAGTAGCAACTCAATCAATATTTATATTTTGGGTATTTTAGAAAATAATATATCAGCTCTCTTTATATTTTGAATAATAAATCTAAATTAAAATGATAGAAATAAATTTTATCTCCATAGAAGAATCTTTATGATTGCTTAAATAAATCTTTCTTTAATTTTGATTATTCTTTTTAAATTTAAATGAAATTTTAGGAAAAAAATTAAAAAAATTATTAGATTACAAATAAATAAAATAGAAAAGAAAATTGACAGTTGAAGAATATTTGTTATATTTAAAAATTGTTAATTGATTTAGATTTGATAAATAACTAGATCAATATTGATTGATTATCCTTTTTAGCTATATCAACCATAAAATATATCTATTTTTATTATTATATATACCTTATATACTATCATTCATTTATTCATTAACTATATCTGATATTTTAATTTAGGATTTAATATAGATTAATCTTGCTTGCTATTACTTCAAAATACGTTTTATTGTTGGAGCTTCGTTATGTATTCCATTTTTTTGTAGGCGATTTCAGGCACGGTTTTTATTATTTGTAGGAATTGGGTGGATTCGGGAGTGCAATATATTTTTTAAATTAGATCTATGTCTTTAGTTTGGTTTTCGATGTTTTCTAGACAGGACTGGATGAATCTACAATCAATATCTTGATTACATATTTTTTCCATTGATTTTTTTATTTCAACAATGTTGTAAACTTTAATTTCTGGCTTAGCCTACAAGAAATCAGAATCTTAAAGGACGTTTGTCATTTTCATAAAAAGATATCTTAGCTTTTCTAGCTTAGTATTTAATATTTAAATTAATTGTTGGTTTTCAATAACGTTATGATCTGTTTCATCGATAAAGCTGTTGTGAAGCTCTCTTTCCTTTTGTATGAATTGTAAAACCTAAATTCTGGCTTGATCTTCTACACTCTTGCAGTTTTAACTGTGGAGGTCAACTATGTCTGCTGAATCGTATCTAATAAATTCGAAACAATTCTAGCAAAATGCCTATTCCAGTGTGATCTTCTTCAATTCTTGTTCTCTGAGGGCTTTTTCTCTCGAATACTTGTCCTAAACTTGGTTTTAACTAACTTCAATGTAACTCATCTTTTGTTGCTATTAAAGTTGTTGCTATGCATTCAAAGTTTGGTCTTGGCTCTAAAATATCTTTGACTTTTTTATTCTTTCTTCTGAATTTAAAAGTTCTACATTTTTGATATAGCTATGAGATTTATTCAATTCTTCATTATTGGTTTCTCCATTAAATATTTTTTTGTTATTTATGCCTGACTTTGTGGGACTTGAGAAAAACTAAGAGTTCGTATTAGTGTTATGAGAGCGTTTGACTCTTTCTTCTTGTAGTTATTCCTATTTATAATTCAAATTTTAGACAAATTTGCAAGAAACTCAAAGTGATAAAAATCATTTACTTAATGAGGGGGAACATGATACTTTTTAGAGTGCTTAACCTAATCATTTTCTTGATTTTGCTAATGAATCTCTGAAATATCTACTTCATTAAATGCTTAAGAGTTTACTATACTACTGGAAAAAATTGGCTTATGGCTTGATTTATTAGTGGCGCTTAATTGCTATCCATTGTTGCTTGGAGAAGCTAAGAATTTGCCTTGTTAATTACTTACTGGGGTTAAAAATCTGTCAGCCTTTATTATATTTAAAACATAAATGAGAATTTTATAAATGTTTTTAGTAAAAATTAGAAATTATTTACATTGTTTTTCAATGAGAAAATCTTTGAAGGAGAATTTTGAGAGCGAGGATTTGCTAATTATCTGTTAACTGTGATTTCAGGATAATCAGTATTGAATCTATTTTGATTTTGGAACGGCTCATTTTATTATGATTGCAATTAAGATTTATATTGGCTTTGGGATTGTTAATGGTTATCGAATCCATTGTATGTTCTGAGGTTCTTCTATGAAAAATATTAATTTGGAGCAACTGCTGCGCTTTGTTGTTGCTACTATTGATCAAAGCTATTATTTAAGAAATCAATATTTTTTTGATTCACATTCTATTCGTAATTGTGCTTTTTAAGTAATTCTAATTAAAACTGCTCAAAGTCGTTGTTGTTTTAATTTGGAGGAAATCTAGCTTCCATGTTAATAATCCCTCTATTTTCATAAAAATTCAGAGGCTTCTTGTTGCTCATCTCTCGCTTTTGATGCTTAAATTAAATGGAAATTTTCTTAATTATATTTTATTTTGCTAATATTTTTCACAATTGAATTTATTTATTTATTTCTTTCAATGAACTTTTTAGATTTTTATTGAATTATATTTTGTATGATTTTTTTTTCAATTTTGTTTTATTTAATTTTAAATGTTAATGCAAATTTACCAATATTACCACTATCAACCACAAATCAGCAAGCTTGAACAGTATTCAGAAGATATATCTAAAATAGATATATTTAATGCAACTCTATCCAATAAACAAGGATAAAACCTTATTCATTCCTTTATTAAACAAATTTATTACTAACCTAATTTATTCTAATTTGTATTTTAAATTTTGTCTTTTATTATCAATAAAATATTTTAAATTTAATCTTATTTGCACTTTAAAAACTTCTATATACCTTAAATCAGTAAGCTTAGAAGTATTTAATAGAAATGAAGCTCTCTTTAACAACCAAGGATAAAATATAATTCATTCATTCATTTACTAAATTTACTTTCCTAATTTTTTCTATTTGCAATTTAAACTTTTTATTGAATAGCAATAAAATATTTTAAGTTAAATAGAAGAATGACTCTTTAAAATTCACTATCTGCAATAAAATAGTAAGAATGAATTGTACTTAGAAGAAATACAACTCTATTTAATAGACAATAATATAAAATTAATTATTTTTCCTTATTTAATAAATAAATAAAAATTACTTCGTAGTTTATTCTACTTTGTATTTTAAATTTCTTAAATGATTTTAATATGTAAACTATTTATGATGAATCCACAAAATCAAGAATATATCAAATAAGTAAACTTGAAAAGTATTAAGAAAAGATCTAAAATAGATATATAACTCTATCAAATAAACAAGGATAAAACTTTATTCATTGATCTACTTAATAAATTAATTACAATCATAACTTATACTAATTTGTATTCTAAATTTTGTCTTAATTATTAGTAAAATATTTTAAATTAAAACAATTTTAAATCAACTACCTAACATAAATCAGTAAGCTTAGCAGTATTTAAAATAAATGCAACTGTATTCAACAACTAATGATAAAATATAATCATTCATTTATTAAATTACTAAATAAATAATTTATTTCCCTAATTTATTGTATTTTTAATTTTTCTTGATTATCAATAACATATTTTAAGTTAAATTTTAAAATGATTCTTTAAAATTAACTATAATCCAAAATCTAATATGCTTGAAAAGTATTCAGAAGCAACTTTATTTAATAGAAAACAATATAAAATTATTAATTCGTTTATAATTAAATATTTAATAAATTACTTAATAGTTTATTCTAATTTGTATTTTAAATTTTGTTAAATATCAATAAAATCTTTTAAATAAATTATTGATTTATGATTCCTCTAAATCTATAATCTACCAAACCAGTAAGCTTGAAAAATATTATGATTTACATCTAAAATAAATATATTTAACGTAACTCTCACAAATAAACAAGGATAAAACTTTATTCATTACTTTACTTAATAATTAGTTACAAGGCACTTTTTTTTGGGTTAAAAAGATACTTTGGGAATGCCTTAATTAATGAGCATTTACAGTATATATTTTATTTTTTAATATTTATTTTAAATGACTAATTATTCATTTTCATATCAAAAAATGATTTAATTTCTAAAAAATTAATTTTTAAAAACAATAAAAATATTTAATTGATCATTCAATACAAGACAGAGTTGATTAAGTATTTTTAAAATAATAATTGCCATAATTAATTATTTCACTTTAAAATGTTAATAAAATTAATTTTTATTAATATATTATCGCTAAAATATATTATTTTAATTCTTATTTTAGTCTAATTTGCCTCGAATTTATTTTAAAAATGATTATCATTATTTTAGTAAATGCTATTTGAAAAAATAAACAGAAAACAACAATTATAATTATTTTAGAAAATGCTCATAAATTATAAAAATTATTTTAGAAATAGAAATATATTATTATTATTATTATCATCATCAATGACGTAGTAATAATATTTATTATGAGAAAAAATTTTTTTAACCTTTTATTTTTATTTGAAATAGCTGATCAAGATAAGCTTTAAGCTAATATAAAGATAAGGGGATTTATATTTGATAAAATATATGATTAGAGAAATAGAAAATTAAATTTGTATCCTAAAAACTTTAATAATGAATTAACTAATTTTGTAATTCTATTTATAAAGCAGATATTTATTTATTTATTTATTAATTAATGGTTATTTATTTTTATTTTTTAAAATTATTAAATTTATTATTTAAATTTTACATAATAAAATGTCTGTATTATATTATATGTATTAGCAGTAATAAAATTTATTTTGATTTACTATCAATAAGAAGAAAAAAATTATAAATATTTTTATTAGTTTTTATTGTACCCTGATCAAGGTAGGTTAGATAATTCCTGATTAAAAAAAGGGAATTTCTGTTTGATAAAAATTTAGAACAGAGAAGTAGAAATAAAGTTATTAACTTTTTTTATTTTTTAATCATAACATACATGAAATATTCAAAGCCATAATCAAAACAGCAATTTATATTTATTTTTGTGTTATTTTTATTTTTTTAAATATAATTAACTTATATAATTCAAAATTCTACTCTAGAATAAAATTCTAATTTCTATTTATTTTTGGAAAAAATATGAGCAGTGTTTTCACTTATTTGTTAGATATAATAATTTATTTATCACTTGGCAATAAAATAAAATTAATAGAAATATCAATTAATTTATTCATAGAAAGTAATTTAGACAATTAATTAAATATTTGGATTATACCTTAATTAATGTAACTGAAGTCCTTCCATTTTCTAGATAATTTCCAGATTTAAAGAGCTTTAAGGGGCGTAATTAGGAAAGAGTTATAAAAAATAATTATGGTATATTCCAATAAAAGTGTTGGTTCGTTCATAGTTTTTAAGTTAGCTATTCCAAAACCAAATTTCTAATTTTTTTTATTAATTATTAGAAAGAACTTTATAAGATTAACTTTCTATCTTTCTATCTCTTTATCTATCTATTTATCTAGTCTGTCAATTTATTTAAGATATTTTTATTTTTTTATTTCTATCAACTTATTATTTTCCATTTTTTTTTTTGTATTAATTAACGTGCACATAAAATTCAAATTCCTATAAAAGTTCTCAATCATAACTATACTGTTTATGAAAGTTAAGTCAAAAATGTGTGCTATTATTATAAATATTTTAGCTTATATTGTAGGTATTTTCAATTCACCATATACTTAGTGAATAGGATTATTATCAAAATTGCTGATAAAAATAAGGAACTAAAATTAATTAAAAAGAATTTTAAGTTTAAATGAATCAATAAATATTCTTTGGATATTCAAGGTATTCTACTTAACTTTGAACAAAAATTGATCATATATACTCATTATTTTTTTAAAAAGAATATGTTTAATAGTAATGCAAGAATTTAAACTTTTTCATGAAACTAAGCACAAGCAAATAAAAAGAAATTAGCTAAATTATTTTGGTGTTTTATTTGATAAATAGGCTTTATTTAATATTGAAGAATTAATTATTTAATACTTAAATAATGAAGAACTACTGAAGAAAATAATAAACTAAAAGTTAATAAGGTTTAATCAGAAATATATTTTTGACCAAAAAATTTAGAGGCAATAGAGCTAAGCTGATCTAAGCTAACAAAGCTATTTGAGAGTTTAAAAAAAGGTAAATTTTATTCAGAAATAATAAATAAATAACAAATAAAAAAAGAAAACCAATAATTGAAAAATGAGAAAACATATCTTAATACCTCTATTAACAGCTGTTGCTTTACTTTCTGCTGCAACATATTTTGTTGCATCTGCTAACAACTAGAAAGGTAAACTATTAGATGAATAATGTGCTTAATTAAGAGTGAATGTAGGAGAAACCGAAACAAAATATATCTTGGATAACTAATGCGATGTTTCTGTACAGTATACTATTTCCTTATATGATTCTGACATTGATGCCGATTTTAGATTAATTTCATGTCAGCCAAAACATAATAAACATGTTTTTATTTATGGTAATAATGTTTAGTATAGATCTGTCGGTCAAACTGTACATATTTTAAATATACCATCTAATGCATTTATTTTATAAATTTTCCTATTGTATTTATTTTATATTATAATCCTATTGTATTTATTTAATAGTACGGTCAACATGTATTTATTTAACATAGTATGATTACTGTAAATATTTTATATATGCCTTCAATGTATTTATTTTATATAAAAAAAATTAAAAAAAAATAAAATTTAACAATATTTATAATTCTACTAAGTCTATATTTCTAACTCAAAAAATAATTTTCTGAGTATATCTATAATCTAATAAGCTAATTAAATAAATTTAAATATAAAAAGATAAATACCATTCACTTCCAATTTTTATATACAAAGAAAAGAAAAAGGGAGAAAATAAATTAAATTTAAGTACACAATTTTTTGAATATAATAATGCTTTTATTATAATTAGAATTTGATTAAATATTTATTATTTAAAAAAAAATAAAAGTTTTATTTATTAGTTATATTTTTAATTTATTTTATTGATATTTAAATATAAAATATAAGTATTTTTACTTAATAAATACATATTCAGTTGTTTTAATTTTGTTTTAATAGCTTTTTGTTATACTTTTGATTGCAATTCAAATATATATTTTTAAAATTAGAATTTGATTAAATATTTATAATTTAGAAAAAAATAAAAGTTTTATTTATTGGAATTTTTTTAATTTATTTTATTGATATTTAAATATAAAATATAAGTATTTTTACTTAATAAATAAATATTCAGTTGTTTAATTTTGAAATGACCAATTTAATAGGTTTAATTGTATTTTAATTTATCTTTATTCATAAGATTTTTACTAAGCTCACAAAAATTTTAAATATTCTTCCTATTTTTAATTACTTCACCATTTTAATTTTAATAAGAGTTTATAGTAATGCATAATTTAAATAAATCTTTAAAATTTTTAAAATATAAAAGCTTTTTACTTAAACAATAACTTTTTCAAAATTTTATCTATTAAATTAATGACTATAAATTTTAATCAATAACTTATTTGTTCAGAGAATCGAAACTTAAGCCTACCTTTTAGCTAGCTTCTACTTTCTTATTGCTGTTTATATATTAGACCAGTTAAAATATTAATTTAATTAATTTGCAACACTATAACTTATATAAGCCAATTAATTAGTAATCAAACGAAATTAACAAAACAATTAATATGTTTTCTGATTAAGAAGTAATAAGCAGTTAAAACTGCATAGTTGGATTACTTTAGGGAATAGATATTTTTGGAGTTGGTATCAACATAAGATTTAACTAGTAGAGCAAGCACAAAACAGGTTTTGGAGGTTTTATTACCTTGGTTTTAACTACTTTGCTTCTCATTCTTTTCATTTCATCAATTTAAAACATCATCTAGAAATCAAATCCTTCAGTTATTTATCAGGAAGATTTTGTTTCTAATCCATCAAGGTATAACTTAACTAGTGAGAACTTTTCGTTTGCAATCACTTTACTTGATGCTAGCTTTAATCCTATTAATGACAAAAGCATTTTTAGAATTGAAGGTAATTTTCTGTATAAAGAACCACAAATAAATTCTGATGGTAGTGTAGGAGAACCTGTTTTTAAGAATAAAGTGATTGAATTTGAACTCTGTACTGAATAGAGCTTTTAAGTCTAAGGTACTGAAAGTTACTTCTTGAGTTTACAATATTAAAGTATGTATTGCTTTAAAAACATCGACGATTACTATCTCGTTGGACAATTTGAAAAGGACGAATTCTCTGTGATTTAAATTAATGTTATTCCTTGTGATTAATCTGATCCCAATAACTAAGTTTAATGCATGGAGGAGTCTAAAAAGAAATAAATCCTTTCATAATCACTATTACAGGTGTATTACATCACTCGAATAGTATAAGTCAGTAGCAAATCGTAACCATTCAAGCCTATGGGAATCACTTATTTTTGGGAAAATAATATCGACTTTTAGTAGAATATAAGCTTAATGTTTATGAAAACATACGTTTTAGATGATGACGGCTTGATATTTGAAAATAATGTCTAAAACAACTCTTTACTATTTAGCAGCGAGCGTACTATGTTGTCGAGTAAGAAGGATTTTTCAATTTATTAAATAAGCTTGTATTTGGAAAAAAACAAAGAGAAGACTTACATAAGAAAATACTAAAAGATTTTTGATTGCTTTTCTTCTATTGGAGGTATCTATAATGTCTTGTTTGCAATAGGATGCATATTAGTTTAACCATATTCATAAATTTAACTAAATAGAAAACTCTTTAATCAAACTTTTAAAGTTAGTAATAGTTATTAGGAAAATCAAATGAATGATAGTAAAAGTTCAAACACATCTAATAAAACAGATAATAACATTGAATCAAAAAATAAAACCCTAAAAAATCAGGCAGATCTCTCTTACAAAAGCAACAAATACAAAACCTAAAAACTTTAAAAGGCAAACATATTTTTCTAGAACTGCTAAGAAGAAGCAGAAATGTAAAATTAAGAATAAAAGAAATCAATTATCAACATGCTCAAATCGAAATTTATAGGAATTAAAATAAAAAGTAGTGAATATCTTGCCTATTATTTTAATTGCTTTAAAATCTTTAACAATGAGAAGCTTGAAATAATAAATTTTGGAACAAAACAGATACTAAATTATACAGATATTTGTTTTATAGTAAATAAATTGATTGAATTAGAAAAGTTAAAAGCATTACTTCTTAATGAATAATAAATTTATTTATTTGATTTCATCCCTAAGCCTTAAATTGATATAAGCATCATAAGAGAAATTTAATAAAACTAAAATGAAAGAGTTTCAAATATAAAATTATAGAACTCAATTTAATAATAGCAAGATAAAACATAAAAAATAAAAAATGAAATCTAAAGCGAATTAAATAAGCAGTTTAACATACTTTCAATCCAAACAAAAACAACATATGAAAAGGCAAAGGATGCATAATAGGCATTTAACTAGATTTACAGAGATAAGCAAAAGAACTCCAAAATAGATTTAAAATTAATCTAATTACTTGACTAAGAACTCGTAGAATTATTTGATGGTAATGCATTTTAAGAAAAGAATTTACATACAACATTATCATTTAATCAGCAAATAAGTAATGTAAAATAAAAACATAATCCTTACTACTCACCCGTATATAGTAGGCGTGATAGATTGTTATCAAATAAAATTCCAACTCAATTTAGTAATGTTTTAAATTTCAATGAAGAACTAAAAAATAGAAAATCTAATGATGAAGAGTTTTCCTAAAGTGAAGATGTGACAGAAACAGATACCAAATTGTAAACTTACTATCCTAGAGCTAAAAATTTCATTCAAATTACTAATCTAAGAAATCTAACAATACAGAAAGAAATAGAATCATCAATTTTGCAGAAAAAAGATATAAAAAATGAAAATTTTTGATAGTGTAATTTTAGTTGATAAGTATGTTAACATTCAAGTTTAAAATTATTATGAAAAGATTAAAATAAAATATTTTCTTATTATATTTTTTTTAAAAATATTTAACTATGATAAAAATTATTTGTTTTATTTTATGTAAAAATATATTTTATGATAAAATAATAACTATTTTAAATAAAAGAGATATAATTTGTTAAAAAAATTATTTACTGCAAAATTTTAATAAAATAAATTAATTTAAAATATAATTTCAATAAATATTATCAATCCTTAAAACAGGAACAGCAATATTTTAGAAAATATTTTTTATTGAATTTTTAGTAAGTTATTGTGGTAAATTATTTAGTCTAATTTTTTGGATATAAATTACTTACATTGGTGTTAAATTAGCATCTATTTATTTTATAATATTTAATGATTAAAATATATAATAAATAATAAAAATAATCAACCAAATAAATAAATGTTTTTAATGTAAGAAATTGAAATACTGAATAAATTGTATTTCTTATTATGCTTGGGTAATAAATATATGTCTATCTTTTACTTATAATTATTTAATTAAATTAATTAATTAATAAATAAAATAAAATCAATTGTTCAAAATTATCATTAACTAAATAATAAATTAATCAAAAAAGTAAGAATATTTTAATTTAAAGTAATTAGTTATGTTTGCTGAATCATATATTTACAACAAATAAAACTGTATATTCGGATTACTTTAAGGGATTGACATTTTTGGTGTAGGTATTAGTATAAGGTTTAATTAATAGAGCAAGCACAAGACAGGTTTTGGAGGTTTAATTACTTTAATATTGGGTGGCTTATTATTTGTTCTTTTAGTTTAATCTATTTTATCAATTATTAATAAGTCAAATCCTCATGTAATTTTTTAGTAGGACTTTGTTTCTAATCCATCGCGATATAATTTAACTAACGAGAACTTTTCATTTGCAATAACATTGCTTGATTCTTAGTTTAATCCAATATATGACAAAAGTATATTTAGAATCGAAGGTAATTTTCTCTACAAAGAACCATAATTAAATACTGATGGTAGTGAAAGTACTTCTATTTTTAAGAATAAAGTGATTGAATTTGAGCTCTGTACTACGTAAAGCTTCTAAGTAAAAGGCACAGAAAGTTATTTTTTGAGTTTGGATTACTAGAGCATGTATTGCTTTAAAGACATCAACGATTACTATCTCGTAGGCTAGTTTGAAATGGAAGAATTTTCAGTTATTTAAATTAACGTTATCCCTTGTGATTAATCTGATCCTAATAATTAAGTATAGTGTATGGAAGAATCTAAAAAAAATAATATACTTTCTCATGCTTAATTATAAGTTTACTATATAAACCAGGTAGTTCAAGTTGAAAGCCAATAGCAACCATTCAAGCCTATGGGAATTACTTATTTTTGGGAAAGCAACATTGATTTTTTATAGAATATTAATTTAATGTTTATGAAAACATATATTCAAGATGATATTGGAGTTATTTTTGAAAATAATGTTTAAAATAGTTCTTTACTTTTTAGCAGAGAGCGTACAACTATGTCAAGCAAAAAGGACCTATCGATTTATTAACTTAGCTTGTACTTAGAAAAGAACAAAGAATAAACTTATTCAAGAAAATACTAGAAGATTTTTGACTGTTTTTCTTCTATTGGTGGAATCTACAATGTTCTATTTGCTATAGGTTGCATAATTGCTCAGCCTTACTCCTAAATTTAATTAAATAGAAAACTGTTTAACTCTACTTTTTAAGTTAATACAAATGATGGAAATAATTAACTAAACGATAGTCAAAGTATTATCAAATCAAATACCAAAAAAAATAATTCCAAAAAAGAGGAAGCAGAAATTTAAAATGATTTAAAAAACAATAACGATAAATTTTAAATAGATAAATTAGAAAAAGCGAACTAATTTTTTAAAGGATCTTAAATTGATGAAATTATAGAGGATAATGAAAGCAGTAAGTCAGTTCTTGATTTGTTCAAGTAGCAATTTAATGTAATTAAGATTTAAACTAGAGAATATTTATCTTAATATTTTAGCTGCTTTAAGAGCTAAATGAGAGAATTGATCAATTTTGGAACAAAGTAAATATTTGGCTACACAGACATTTGTTTTATTGTAAATAAGCTTATTGAATTAGAAAAGCTGAAGGCGATTTTGCTAAATGAAGAGTAGATTAAATTATTTGATTTTATTCCTAAGCCTTCAATTAATCATTAATTTATGAGATAATTTGGAAAGAGAGATAATAAAGTGGGAAGATGCTTAAAAAATGATCCAAAAATGTAAACTCAAAAAAATGAACAAAAATACTAAAGAAATTAAGAATGTGTTCAAAACCAAATACTAAATAAATAATTTAATATTTTATCAGTTTAAAATAAATCAAATTATGAGAAAGCGAGGCAAGCGCAGTAAGCTTTTAACAATATTTACAGGAATAAACAAAAGTAATCTAAAATTGACATGAAACTAATTCAGCTGCTTAATCAAGATTTGATTGAATTATTTGATAATAATATATTCTCACAAAATAATTTGGCAGGCAGTGTTTATTTATTTAATTCATCAATTAGTAGAACAAGATAAAAAATTGACTAATCTCCGATATTCAATCAATAAAACAGATTTTCAAAACAGTTCTTTAATAAAAACTTCAAAAAATTTAACAAAACTTTGAATTTTAGTTAAGAATTTCAGTATGAAAATGATTGCGAAGTAGACTTTTTTGAAAGTATTCATGAAGCCTAATTTAATGAAATTACTGAAGCAGATTAGATTATTTAGAATTACTAACCTCAGCGAAAAAACTTTATATCATATACACAATAAAAAAACTAGGTATTTTAAAACGATTTTTAACTAAAAAAGCAATTATCAAATAAATAATGATCAATTATATTGTTTGATAATTATAAATAAATAATTAAATAAAATTTAAAAGTCTTTATTTCTCATTTGCTTTATTTTATTTCTACCTATTTGTAATATAATATTAGAGTAGTTTGATTAAATGAGCTAATTTTTTTGTTAAAGTTTTATTATTTATTTTTTAAACAAGAAAAATAGTCAAAAATGCATTCTAAAATAAAAATTACTTTGCTTTGATAACTGAATATAATTAACTTCAATTTTTTAATCTATTTTTTTGTCACATGGAGGTCTTTCATGAATAGCTTTGAATGTATTCTCATAATAAATATTTCTTCAATTACAAAATCATTAAAAATATATTTTATTTGTCACATAATTACCCTCATTTTACAAATTTAATTTGATTCATAAATACATATAAAATAACAAAAAATATGATATAACTTATTTATTTTTCAAAATTAATGACTATGTCTGTTTAGCAGCAAGAGTAATATTTTTAAATTGTAAAGTGCTATTAATAGGAACAACATTAGTATGTAATTTAAATAAATGTCTAAAAATTTTTAATTACCAGAGCATTTGACTAAAATAATTACTTTTTCAAACATTTAAACATTCACTAATGAAAATTAGTAACAATAAATTTTATCAATTGAAATTATTGGCAATAAATTTTACTCCATAAAATTTATATGTTAAGAGAAGTGATGCTTAATCCTACTTTCATAGCTAGCTTCTACTTTATTATTTCTGTTTTAAATATTAGACCAGTTAAAAGACTACTTTAATTCAATTCAATCATTCTAAATAAAATAGAAAATTAATAAATAGTTAAACAAAAAAAGCAAAACAAATAATATGTTTTCTGATTAAGAAGTAATAAGCAACTAAAACTTTATACTTAGATTGCTTTAGGGAATAGACATTTTCGGTGTGGGTATCAATATAAGATTTAATTAGTAGAGCAAGCACACAACAGGTTTTGGAGGTTTTATTACCTTGGGTTTAATTACTTTACTTCTCATTCTTTTCATTTCATCAATTTAAACCATCATTTAGAAATCGAATCCTTCAGTTATTTATCAAGAAAATTTTGTTTCTAATCCATCTCGCTATAACTTAACTAACGAGAACTTTTCATTTGCAATTACTTTACTTGATGCTAGCTTTAATCCTATTAATGACAAAAGCATTTTTAGAATTGAAGGTAATTTTCTGTATAAAGAACCACAAATAAATTCTGATGGTAGTGTAGGAGAACCTGTTTTTAAGAATAAAGTGATTGAATTTGAACTCTGTACTGAATAGAGCTTTTAAGTCTAAGGCACTGAAAATTACTTCTTGAGTTTGCAATATAAAAGTATGTATTGCTTTAAAAACATCGACGATTACTATCTCGTTGGGCAATTTGAAAAGGATGAATTCTCTGTGATTTAAATTAATGTTATTCCTTGTGATTAAACTGATCCCAATAACTAAGTTTAATGCATGGAGGAGTCTAAAAAGAAATAAATCCTTTCATAATCACTATTGCAGGTGTATTACATCACTCGAATAGTATAAGTCAGTAGCAAATCTTAACCATTCAAACCTATGGGAATCACTTATTTTTGGGAAAATAATATCGAATTTTAGTAGAATATAAGCTTAATGTTTATGAAGACATATGTGTAAGATGATGATGGTTTAGTATTTTAAAATAATGTCGAAGATAATACTTTATTATTTAGCAGCGAGCGTACAATGTTGTCCAGCAAGAAAGACTTTTCAATTTATTAAATTAGCTTGTATTTGGAAAAGAACAAAGAGAAGACTTACATAAGAAAATACTAAAAGATTTTTGATTGCTTTTCTTAGATTGGAGGAATCTATAATGTCTTATTTGCAATAGGATGCATATTAGCTTAACCCTATTCATAAATTTAACTAAATAGAAAACTGTTTAATCAAACGTTTAAAGTCAGTAACAATAATTAAGATAATCTACTGAATGAAAGTTAAAGTTCAAACAAATCAAGCAAAGCAAACAAAATAAGTAAAAGCAAGGAAATAAAAAAGAGCGCCCTAGAAAATCAAGGTGATCTTTCTTGCAATAGTAATAAATACTAAAAAAAAGAGCTAGAAAAGGCTAACAGATTTTTTTAGAATTGCTAAGAAGAAGTAGAGGTTCAAAATGAAGAGTAAAAAAAATCAATTGTAGACATGTTCAAATCGAAATTTGTAGGAATTAAAATAAAAAGTAGTGAATATCTTGCCTATTATTTTGATTGCTTCAAAATCTTTAATAATGAGGTGTTTGAAATAATAAATTTTGGAACAAAACATATTCTAAATTATACAGATATTTGTTTCATAGTAAATAAACTGATTGAGTTAGAAAAGTTAAAAGCATTGCTACTAAATGAACAATAAATTTAGCTGTTTGATTTCATCCCTAAGCCTTAAATTGATATGAGTATCATAAAAGATATTTAATAAAACAAAAATAAAAGACTTCCAAAAATAAAGCAATCGAACTCAATTTAATAATAGCAAGATGAAATCTTAGAAATAAAGAACAAAAGCTAAATCGGATAAATTAAGCAGTTCAACATTCTTTCAATCTCGAAAAAATCAACATATGAAAAGGCAAAGGATGCATAATCGGCGTTTAACTAGATTTACAGAGATAAGCAAAAGAACTCCAAAATAGATTTAAAATTAATCTAATTACTTGACTAAGAACTCGTAGAATTATTTGATTGCAATATGCTTTAAGAAAACAATTTAATTACAAATTTGTCATTTAATCAGCAATTAAGCAAAATGAAAAAAAGAAACAGTTATTACTACTCACCTAGACAAGATAGATTATTATCAAATAAATCTCCAACTAGATTTAGTAATTCTTTTAATCTCAACGAAGAATTGAAAAAAAGAAAATCTAACGATGAAGACTATTTCTCAATTTATGATGCAGTAGAAACGGATTCCAGATTATAAACTTACTGTCCAAGAGCAAAAAACTTTATTGAATATACTAATCAAAGGAATATAACAATAGAAAAAGAAATAGAATCATTAAATTTACAGAAATAAGAATGATAATATTGATAAAGTGTAATTAATTTTTGTTGGTAAATATTTTAGCATTGAAACTTAAAATTAGTAAGAAATGTTTAAAATAAATTATTTTCTCATTAGATTTTTTTCAAAATATTTAACTTAAATTAAAAATTAGAAATTTTATTTTAAATAAAAATATTTTTTGACGAAATGATAGCTATTTTTAATAAATAGGAAATAATTTGTTAAAAAATATTATTTACTGTAAAGGTTTAATAATTATTAATTTAAAACTTAATTTAATATAATATCAATACTCGTTTTTTATCTAAAAATTAATTTTTTTTTTATTAAATATTTTTTACTTATTTTTTTTTGTTTATTCAGGTTCGAAATCTATTTCGATACCTTTTTTTATTTTTTTAAATTTTCTTTTAATTTATAAAATAAAATTTATTATTCTACTAAGATTATATTTGTTACTCCTTAAATAATTATTCGAGAATAGCAATATTTAATTAATTGCAAATAATTTTAATCCATAACATACTTTTTCAGATAATTAGAGAATTGAAGCTTAAGTCTACCTTCATAGCTAGCTTCTACTTTTTTATCAATGTTTATTAATTAGACCAATTAATATAATACTTTAATTAATTTGTAACATTCAAACTAAAATAAGCCAGTTATTAATAATTAGACAACATTAAATATACAAATAATATGTTTTCTAATAAAGAAGAAACTAACAAATAAAACTTTATAGTTGGATTGCTTTAGGCTATAGATATATTCGGAGTGGGTATCAACATAAGATTTAACTAGTAGAGCAAGCACACAACAGGTTTTGGAGGTTTAATTACCTTGGCTTTAACTTCTTTACTTCTCATTCTCTTCATTTCATCAATTTAAAACATCATCAAGAAATCAAATCCCTCAGTTATTTATCAGGAAGATTTTATTTCTAATCCATCTCAGTATAACTTAACTAACGAGAACTTTTCATTTGCAATAACTTTACTTGATGCTAACTTTAATCCTATTAATGACAAAAGTATTTTTAGAATTGAAGGTAATTTTCTGTATAAAGAACCACAAATAAATTCTGATGGTAGTGTAGGAGAACCTGTTTTTAAGAATAAAGTGATTGAATTTGAACTCTGTACTGAATAGAGCTTTTAAGTCTAAGGCACTGAAAGTTACTTCTTGAGTTTGTAATATCAAAACATGTATTGCTTTAAAAACATCGACGATTACTATCTTGTTGGGCAATTTGAAATGGATTAATTCTCTGTGATTTAGATTAATGTTATTCCTTGTGATTAATCAGATCCCAATAACTAAGTTTAATGTATGGAGGAGTCTAAAAAGAATTTAATTCTTTCATAATCATTATTGTAGGTGTATTACATCACTCAAGTAGTATAAGTCAGTAGCAAATAGTAACCATTCAAACCTATGGGAATTACTTATTTTTGGGAAAATAATATTGATTTTTTGCAGAATGTGAATCTAATGTTCATAAAGACATATGTATAAGACGATGATGGTTTAATATTTGAAAATAATATCTAAAATAGTTCTCTACTATTTAGCAGCGAACGTACAATGATGTCAAGCAAGAAGGACTTTTCAATTTATTAAATTAGCTTGTATTTGGAAAAGAACAAAGAGAAGACTTACATAAGAAAATACTAAAAGATATTTGAATGTTTTTCTTCGATTGGAGGTATCTATAATGTCTTGTTTGCAATAGGATGCATATTAGCTTAACCCTATTCACAAATTTAATTAAATAGAAAACTCTTCAATGAAACTTTTTAGGTCAGTAACAATAATTAAGATAATTTACTGAATGAAAGTTAAAGTTCTAACAAATCAAGCAAAACAAACAAAACAGATAATAACATGGAAGTAAAAAATAAAACCATAGGAAATCAAGCTGATCTCTCTTGCAAAAGTAATAAATACAAAGCAAAAAAACTAGAAAAAGCTAACAGATTTTTTTAGAATTGCTTAGAAGAAGCAGAGATGTAAAATGAAGAGTAAAAGAAATCTATAAAAGATATGTTCAAATAAAAATTTTTAGGAATTAAAATAAAAAGTAGGGAATATCTTGCCTATTATTTTAATTGCTTCAAAATCTGTAAAAATGAGATGTTTGAAATAGTAAATTTTGGAACAAAACAGATTCTAAATTATACAGATATTTGTTTCATAGTAAATAAACTGATTGAGTTAGAAAAGTTAAAAGCATTGTTGCTAAATGAATAATAAATTTAGCTATTTGATTTCATCCCTAAGCCTTAAATTGGTATAAGTATCATAAGAGAAATTTAATAAAACTAAAATGATGGAATACCAAAAATAAAGCTATTGAATGCAATTTAATAATAACAAGATAAAACCAAAGAAATAAAGAGTGAAAACTAAAGTGGATTAAATAAGCAGTTTAACATACTTTCAATCCAGAAAAAATCAACATATGAAAAAGCAAAGGATGCATAATAGGCGTTTAACTAGATTTACAGAGATAAATAAAAGTACTCCAAAATAGATTTAAAATTAATCTAATTACTTGACTAAGAACTTGTAGAATTATTTGATGGCAATGTGTTTTAAGAAAATAATTTACTCACAAATATGTCATCTAATCAGTAAATAATTAAAGTGAAATAAAAACAAAATCATTACTACTCACCTATTTCTACTAGACATGATAGATTATTATCAAATAAAAGTCCAACTTAATTTAGTAATGCTTTTAATTTCAACGAAGAACTAAAAAATAGAAAACATAACGATGAAGACTTTTTTTTAAGTGAGAATGTGACAGAAACTGATACCAAATTGTAAACTTACTATCCTAGAGCTAAAAATTTTATTTAAATTACTAATCTAAGAAATTTATCTATAGAAAAAGAAATAGAATCATTGAATTTGCAGAAATAAGCATTATAAAATTGATAAAAGTGTAATTAATTTTTGTTGATAAATATTTTAGCATTCAAATTTAATGTTATTATGGAAATATTAAAGTAAATTATTTTTTATTTAGATTATATCAGTCCAAAATATTAAATTAAAATCAATTTTATTTTAAGTAAAAATATTTTATTATGAAATAAATAAAAAATCACATATCATTTACTCCAAGTAATTTGTATTTAATTTTAGATATTTAATGTGCAAAATATTTGTTAAATTGTTTTATTTTTGTTAAATAATAAATATATTTAATAATATCTAATTTATACTTTGAAATTTTATATATATTAAATACAATAATAAAAACTATTATAATATTTATTAAATTTTTCTTGATTTATTTCTTAGTTTATAACTTTTTCTACTTCATAAATTATATTATTTTTATTCAAATTCTACTTTTATATAAGTTTTATTTTTTTAAAGTTCCAAATACCTTTTCAATTGGATTTATTAGAGAGTTATATAGAGTTGTAAAATTAAACCTAAATGGTGAATTCACCATATATTCTGTTATCTAATTTTTATTACTATTAATAAAAAAATTACAAATTTTTAAAAGCCTTTAGGCTATGATCAAGAAATAACTAAAACTATCCAACATATTTAAATAATTGTAAAAATTTATGAATATTTTCTCATTTATTGTATTCACTCCTCTCTTAAGTTTAAATATAATAAAAATAAATAATATTTTTAAAATCCTCTATCTTGAATTTGACATTAACCTATCTAACTTGGAGGAGCAGAGTTTTAATGGTATTATTAACAATAAATTTCATTAATTTATAATCACACCAGGTAGTAAAAGGCATGACTTATGCAAAGCCTGTACATTTATGACATTATGGAAATGTGTAAGTTCACCATTCACTTTTATAAAAGTGCCCAATTTATATTTATTTGCCGTGTTAAGTGCCCAAATAATTGCTAATCAAATTATTAGTTTAATACTAAAATACAATAAACTAGTAATAAATACAACCTCAACTCAATAGAATAACTAATTCAGTTGGGGTGTTTGGGTTGAATGAAAAATTCGAAGCACTTGTGAAAAAAAATATGTGTTTTGATTATAAATAAATAAGAAAAAAATATCAATAATTAGTATATATAGTTAATTGGTTTAATTTCTCATTGATTGAATGACATAACATTTTTTGTTTGCTAGGGTATTTAAAATTAAAGTAAATTTCTTATTTAAGAAATAAAAATAAATCATTAAAAATAGTAAATTAATTATATGAATACAAATTTATTAAATAAGAATTTTATGAGATATCTAGCTTCTATTAAATTTATAAAACGTAAGCATAAATTAGAAATGAAAAGTGGTTAAATAGAAAATTAACTATCAAGGAATTTTAAAAAATTTTAGTTGACTTACCTGTTATTACAAAATAGAAGTTTTTATTTAATAAGAATATGCGTAAATTAAAAGTAAACACATTGAAAATTTAAGCCAATTTTTTATTTAATAAGAATATGTGTATATATTAAAAGTAAACACAATCGAAATTTAAGCCTATGTGATTGAATTTTTTTATTTTATTTCATTCTTTTCTATTTCTACTTATTAAAATGACAAATTGAATGAACATCAAATTTTCAATTAATGATTTAGGTATTATAAAAAACTTTAATTAAATAAATAATAAATAACTCAACCAACAAGATCAAAGCAAAAAGAATTAATAAATAAATAAATAAATAAGTAAGTAAGTAAGTAAATAGAAAAACATGTTTTCTGAATAAAAAGTTTCTAGTCAATAAAACTTCATAGTTGGATTACTCTAGGGCATAGACATCTTTGGTGTTGGTATTAATATAAGGTTTAACTAGTAATGTAAGCATAAGACAGGATTTGGAGGTTTTGTTACATTAGCTCTAACTAGTTTATTGCTAATCCTCTTCATCTAATCTATTCTAACCATCATCAATAAATCTAATCCCCAAGTAATATTCCAGTAGAATTTTGTTTCTAATCCGTCCAGATACAACTTGACTAGTGAGAATTTTTCATTTGCAATCACTCTGCTTGATGCAAACTTTAATCCGATTAATGACAAAAGTATTTTTAGATTTGAGGGCAATTTTCTCTACAAAGAACCATAATTAAATGCTGATGGCAGTGAAGGACCTTCAGTTTTTAAGAACAAAGTGATCGAATTAGAACTTTGTACTGAATAAAGTTTCTAAGTACAAGGCACAGAAAGTTATTTCTTGAGCTTGTAGTATCAAAGTATGTATTGCTTTAAAAACATTAGTGATTACTATCTTGTTGGTTAATTCGAAATGAACGAATTTTCTGTGATTTAGATTAATGTTATTCCTTGTGATTAATCTGATCCTAATAACTAAGTCTAATGCATGGAAGAATCTTAAAAGAATTAGATTCTTTCTTAATCACTCTTATAGGTTTATTACATCACTTAGGTAGTGCAAGTCAGCAGTTAATAATAACCATTTAAACCTATGGGGATTACTTATTTTTGGGAAAACAATATTAGCTTTTTGCAAAATGTCAATTTAATGTTTATGAAAACATATATAGAAGATGATACTGGTTTAATATTTGAAAATAATGTTTAGACAAGCTCGTTACTATTTAGCAGTGAACGTACAACAATGTCAAGTAAAAAAGATTATTCTATTTACTAAATTAGTCTATACTTGGAAAAAAACAAAGAGTAGACTTATACAAGAAAATACTAGAAGATTTTCGATTGCTTTTCTTCTATTGGTGGAATCTACAATGTCTTATTTGCGCTAGGTTGCATTATTGCTTAACCTTACTCTCAGATTTAATTGAATAGAAAGCTGTTCAATACAACTTTCTAAATAAACAAAAACTAATCAGATTAATAATTAAATAAAAGCTAAAATTCTATTAAATCAATGAGCAAAAAGAACCAAAGTTTTAAAGATGATAAGGGAATTTAAGAAGCATAAAATACTATAGAAGACAGAATTGATAAATTTTAAATAGAAAAATTAGAAAGGGCAAATTAATTTTTTGAAGACGGGTACATGGATAATAATCAAATAAGTGAAAACTATTAAAAGAGAAAATCAATTTTAGATTCGTTTAAGTAGCACTTTACAGTAATAAAGATTCAAACGAGGGAATATTTTTCATACTATTTTAACTGTTTTAAAAGCGATATGAATGAATTAATAAATTATGGAACAAAATAAATTTTAGCCTATACTGATATTTGCTTCATAGTAAATAAGCTTATTGAACTGGAAAAACTGAAGGCAATTTTACTTAACGATGAGCAGATTTAGCTTTTTGACTTTATTCCTAAACCATAAATAAATATTGAACTTATAAAAGGTGTCAAGAATATAAATAAACGCAGATTTAAAAGCCTGAACCAATCAATTTAAACATAAAAAACAATATAAAAATAACTAAAAACCTAGGAATCTATGAAAAACGAAAATCAAAAAAGAAGTTAGCCATTTAACATTTTGTCTGTTTAAAATAAATCAAATTACGAGAAGGCAAAACAGGCACAACATGCATTTAATAGCATTTACAGAAATAAACAGAAGTAGTCAAAAATTGATATGAAGCTGATTCAGCTGCTTGATTAAGACTTAATTGATTTATTTGATAATAATATTTTCTAAGAAAGAAATTTGGCAGGTAGCATTTTTATATTTAATTAATCGATGAGTAAAGCGAAGCAAAGAGATCATTCATGCTCTCCTATCATAAACAATTAAGATAGGTTTTCTAGGCAATTTTCTATTAAAAGTGATAAAAATGGATTCTAAAAAACAAATAATTTTAATTAAGAGTTCAAGAACAAAATATCTTATTATGAAGAGAGTATTTATGAAATTTAAACGAGCAAAAATGATGAAATAATAGAAACCGATTCCATTCTACATAATTACAATTCTTAACCTAAAAACTTTATTTTCTATACCAATGAAAAAAATAAAGTTCATTTTACTAATGATCAAGAAAAACAAACAGAAAATAATCATTAATTGACTGACTGACTGACTGAATAACTGATTGGCTAAGAGAGGAAATTCATTAAAAATTTTGAGCCATGTTTATAATTTAAGCAATCCTTTATAATTTAGTTTATTTTTTAGTATTTACGTTAATTGATAAATTTAGAATAATATTTTTATTTTTTATTTTAAATATACTTACTTACTTACTTGTCTTATTTTTATTAAAATATCAAGTTTTGATAAATAATATTAACCTAATTATTAAATCATAGAGTTCATATTACTTCAATTTTACTTTCAAAAAAATATTTAAAAATGGTATTTCTTGGCGGATGCTCTCACTGCGATTGCGATCAAAAAATTTCGATCATTTTAAAATTTGATTTTTTTATTTTGTGATCAATAATTGCTCACCTCAAAAAATCATAATATTGTATTCATAATTTATCAGTTATATTTTATTTATAGAATTTATGGGTTAAATATAAATAATTTTATCAAAATAATCAATAATTCTAAATATACTTTTAATAAAATATCTCAGAATATAGTGCGATAGCTCATATTTTATGGGAAATATAAAAACATCTTAATTCTCTTAGAAATTTAATTAATTTAATTTAATTTTGTTTATTTATTTATTAATATTATTTTTTAGTATTACAAAGTGCTATCTATATACAAAATAATTTTGAAATTCTTTTAAAAAATAATTAATAATTTATTAAAAAAAACCATTTCTGATGATTAAGCGTACATGAGATAGCTCATAAAAACAACTTTTTATTTTTGAGTGCATTAATAAAAATCGTCTCTGCGTATATGCGTACTATGTATTATCATGCACTATCTATAAGCTAGATTAATTTAGTTAGGATTATTCCATAAAGATATAAATTAATGATAAAAACATATTAAAATAATTGAATAAAACTTATCAGCTAATTTTTTAAATTAACAAATTAGAACAGTATATTTTATGATTTAATCAAATTTATTTGATAGTACTATTATTAGTTGAACATATTATATGTAATTCTTCGTTTGAAGGAAAATATATATAATAGAAATTACAAAAATATTAGCTCATAATTAAATAAATTAATGAAAATATAAATGCATTTAACTAAATACATATTGAGAATGATTGATAGATAGATAGGTATCAATGTTAAATATTAAGACATAAAAGAATATGTTTGAATTCTTAATTAATTATATTAAGTTTAATAACAAGATTAAATTATTTATAAATTTTACTCATAGATAATAAAGTAACATAAGCGTATATTGATTAATTGATTGATACATACAAAGATAGATAGATAGATAGATTTATAATTAATTAGGATGGACCTTTAAGAAAAATCATATAGTCCATAGGAGATTGAAAGCCTTATTTCGTTGATAGATACATGCATTTTAGAAGCTAATCAGACTATAAACTCTCTCCATAAAGAGGTATTAAGAGATTATATCTAAGTTTAATAAATTATGCTTTCCATTTCTAGTTTTGTTTCAAAATTTCAAATTTGAATTTTTTTTTGAGATTCTAACGATGTTATAAATAAAAATAAAAAGCTCTCAGAGGTCAAGGATGAAAATTTATAAATTAAGAATAAATTAAATTAATACGAAGATAACCAAGAAGTATTCCATTTTATTTACTTTAGTATTACAATTTTAGATGAACTTTTCTTTATTTTTTAAAAGGAAATGCAGCTGATGTTGTTGGAGAAAGATGAGGAAATAAAAAAGTTGCAAGGCTTGCTTGAAATGAAAAACTAATAAAACTAGTTAAAAGTGAATAATGGCAATATAAATTCTAATAGGAATGATGACCTATCTCACTTTTTAAAAATAATTGACAGCTTAAATACAGAAAATAAGTAGTTGCGCTAGTAAATAGAATTGCTACAGTATGAAAATCAGAAGGCAATACAATTGGCATGTAGTGCAAAAAACAACAAGCTTTTTAGAGAAATAAATAGCAAGCTAGATTTGCAATCTCCAAACAACTCCAACATAGAAAACAATGTTGCAGCAATGAACATAAATGACACTTTTACTAATAAATTGAAAGGTAATCTGCAAAACATAAATAGTAACAACTCAAATAGCAATAATAATTTGAATATAAATAATTTGAGTTACATACACCACAATAATAACAGCTTTAACAATTCCACTAACGAAATTCTAAAGAAATTCAATTTAAGTGATAGCACTAATTTAGCAAATCCATCTGCAACTATAATGAATAATTAATAACTAACCAACAACAACTCTACCAATTTAGCTTCAACAAAGAAAAATTATAAATATTTAAAGCCCAAAAAATGAAATTAAGCTCTTAAGCAAATAAAGCAAATCAATAAACATTCTCACCCATCATATTTAAATCAAATCATTTATTTTTCAGTGCACTTAAATATATTCAATAATAGATATAAATAAAATTTATTAGAAAAAAAAAAAGCATTGTTTTATTTAAAATGTTCTTAAAATAAACGACAGAGAATGCTTCGTACTCTTCTAATCATCTATGAATCTACCGATAATTTTTATATCACAATAACAAAAATAAATAAATAGATAAATAAATAATTAAACATTCATAAAATAAATCTATTCTAAACTAAAATAAAATAAAATAAATATAAAGTATTATTAAAACTGTAAATAGTAATTAAAATAAATAACCTTTCTCATTATTAAACTGTAATTATATTTTATAAACTGTTTATTTCAATCTAAAAATATATTACATTTGTTTCAATTAAAAAAAATATCAAAATTTTTACAATCACTATATTCTATCTATTATTTCAATATATTCTTGTTGATATATATTTTTAATTTTTATGTTTAAATTCCTTCCATCTATTTATCTATCTATCTATCTATGCTGATTTGCAGTTTTATAATTATTTAAATAAACATTTTAAAATTATTTTTAGTCTTAGCTTATTTGTTGAAAAAGAGATATTGATTGATTTGTCAAATTGAAATTAATATTTATTTTTTAAGTTTATTATGTAATTTATACAAATTTTTTTGATTTTTTTATCGAATTCAATTTATTTTAATAAATATTTAACTAAAATTTTATTTGAAATAGAATGGACAAGTATTAATAAGTTATTTAAAGATAGTAATTCAATTTAAATGAAAAATGTATTATTTTGTTTAAATTTATTTTATTTAAAACAGTTTTCATTCATTAAATTAATAAAATTACTCAAATTTAAGTAAATAATTTAACTTTTTTTATGATAAGATATTATTGTGAGAATTAACACGCATGCTTTAAACATTCTCACTTAATTTTTTAATTAGAATTTTTTTTGTTTGAAACTCTGTTTAAAAACAAAATTTGATATTTTTAAAACAAAAAGAAAATTTATTTAATGATTTTATTTTTTTAAATTAATCAATGATAAAATAATTTTACATTTAAATTATATCAAATTTGATTGAAAAAGCACTTTTTATTTCAAAAAGGATGATGAATAAATGAATGTATGATTTTCTATTGAAATTTGAAGATTCTGCTGAGATATTTATTATTGATTGATTGCTTGATTGTTTGATAGAAAGAAAATTTGATTATATAAAATAATAATGCATATTATTTATGAATGAGGGGTTAGAAACTTCTTCAATAGAAAAGGGAATAATAGCTATCTAAAAGTGGATGTGAAAAGCGGGAGGAGGAAAGAGGAAATTAAATTAATTTTAAAGAATGATTTTATGCTTGTAATTTTATGTAAGGATTAACGTTAAATGCAACAGACAAATATTAATTCATACTCACAAACCATAATTAGAAATGCGATAAATTAATTGAAGATTTTAGCTAAAATATCAACATGAGATATCAGAAAACTAATTTTCTGGGCCTAAAAAAGTGCCTTCAGCTAAACTAATGCACTACTATCGCAGTTAATTCAAATGCTTTTATTTTATTATGCTTTTTCAAAAGTTTTTAAGAGTATTTTGTCTTTGTTAAGAGTAGAAAATGACTTGGTCATTTAAGAAATCAGGCTAAGCCTTGTAAGCAACTGTTGTAGGATATCCAGAGAAGGGAGCAAAAATTTTAGGTTAATTATATATGAAGTAGGCGAAAATACCAAATACACCTACAAAGTAATAGTTTCTGAACCAAGTTCTAGTTACGAATAACTTCTTGTTGAGTTAAACGCTAACGTTTCTAGGGAACTTTTAAGCCATTTGAATGTATTTAGTATCGTCCAACATTTTCCTATTTATCTATTTATTTCTTTAATTATGTATCTTTATTCACAATCTATTATTTTTTAATCTTATTTTATTTATTTATTTTTTTATTAAACAAAAATCAAATAAATCTTCTTTTGCCAAAAAATTTCTAAACACACTCTCTCATTCACTTGCTTAATTGTTTTTATAATTGCAATCTTGCTTTGTTATTCTCTTCATTTATTTATTAGCAAAAGCTATTCTATTATCAAATTCATTCAAAAACCATTTTGCACAATAATTAAACAAATATAAATAATTCACTCATTCATTCTTTCATTTTTACTTGATTCTTTCATTTCGATTTATAACAAATTATTTAAAAAATTTTAGCAGAGAGAGGTTTCGATCCTCCGACCTTTGAGTTATGAGCCCAACGCGATTCCACTTCGCCACCCTGCTATTACAAAACAAAGACCATCTTTGAAAAAGCTAAAGATTTAAATTAATTCAAAAATAGCCTAAATTTTCAATAAATCTATGAAAAATAAAATTATTTATATTATTAAAATACATTTAAAATGAAATTTATTTTTATCAAATTAACCTTTAAATCTAATTTAAAAAATTAATAATTTCAATAAATCCAAGAATTTTTTATGTATTTCTCAAAATTAAATACTTAAAAAAGTATTAAATAAATAAAATTAATTTTTAATTTAGTGATCCTCCATAAAAGAATTCAAAAATTAAAATTTATAATATTTGGTCCTAAATAAACCTAGAGGGTAGAATTTTTTTTACTAATTTAAACAAGATTTTCATTTAAATTAGTTAAATTAGAATGAGTTATAAAAATATAATATAAAATTTAAAAATTCTTTATATTTAACTAATTAAACCAATTACTAATAATTTATTTAATATATTAATTGTAATAGTATTTAAAATATGTGAAATAGAATAGTTTTATTAAATATAAATAAACAAATATAGCAATAAAGACTTATGTTAGATATTAATAATAATAAAATTAAGAGTTTTTAAGCAAATAAAATAAAGTAGAATGGATAGATAGATATAAAGATAAATAGGTATTTTTTGTTATGTTTAAATAAGAAGTTAAAATAAATTAAAAAAAATGTATTATTTCGTTATTATTTGGTTATGTTAGGGAATTAATTTCTTTCATATTAGGAATTAAGTTGCTAAATCAGAAATAATGTCTTTTCTTAAGATTTATTACCAATTTTATTGGAGAGATTTAATTTATGGAATTAGTTTTTTGGAATACTTGCTTTTGACGTTTAGGAGATTTTAGAGATACAGAAGCTGGTAGTCTTCGTATGTTTGGTTAGAGTAGTTTTCTAGGTTGATATTTTTAAGATATAAGTTGGAAGAAATTGAGGTTACTAATAACTTTTGATACTCTTCTTTGAAATTGCTTTACTAGAAGTGTCGATTCTGTACTTGCAGTACTTTAAGTAGCTGGAGTTTAGGGAGAATATTTGCTAATTCATTTAATACAAATTTTATATCCAAGATATTAAACTATGTAAAAGCTATGCAGATTTCTTCCAATTACTCAAAACATGACAAATTCGCAATGAATTGTTAAACTTCCTAGCTAGACTAATTGGCAATGTTAGACATCTAAAGATAAATTTTCTGCAATTGAGTGTTGTTTCGAAAGCAGCTTATCAAGTAATTTAATATGTCTGTTTATTTTTTTATTTCATTCACTGAATAAAGCATTAATTCTTATGTGATAGGATATATTATAAGACTTTTTTTGCTAATTTGGATCAAACCGACGTTAATGTACATGTTAATATCTAATTTGATGCATTTTTAATTAAAATATTATAACAAATCGCTATAATCACTATCAATTTATTGCACTTTCATGTTAAAAGTTAGCTCTTTGAGATTTTTTATCTTACTGATTTGTCTAAGGAGATAAACATTATCTCTCTTTTCAATTTACTTTGAGTGACATCTAAAAACTAAAGTTTCAAGTGATTACATTTTGCTCAAAAAGTGGCCTATTGTCTGAATGCAAATATTTTTTTAAGTAAAACTGATTTCTAAATGTAGAGTTTTGAGTGTTTTTGACAGATTGATTTATCGATGTAAAAAGTTAAACAACGAATTAACTAAATCAGACTTGTTAAAATTTAATTTCAAATGCAATTTTTACAATTGAGTAAATTAAAACAAAGAATTATTTTATTTGCAAAGATTATTTTTATCATGCATTTTGTCATTGATTATAAAAGTATTTTTATTATTTGCTTTATGTGATTATATTATGCTTGAACAATTGTCGTCTTTGTTGCTTTCTAAGTTATTATTTTGAGATAAATCAGGCAAGGAGTTATGATTTTCATTTATTTATTTAAGTTAAATTTTATTTAGCTAGATTTCTTCAAAACAGAAATTGTAACTAGATGAGCAGTTTAACTTAAGTGTTTCAATATTAGCATCAAGTTGAATGATATTTGCTATATTGTATGCTATTCTGTGATAAGATAAGTCTATCTGAATACTTTTTAAATGTTTTTTGTGAGACAAACAGTAATTCAACAATTTAATTTGTTCTTCTCCCTTTAGTCTCCCACTTATATTTAAGACTAATTTATTCAAATTTGGCATTTCAATAATCTAATTCATTACAATATCAACAAGAGAAGAACATTTCTCATTAATATGTGGTGGGATTTGTAAAATCTATTCAGGATTAATAGTTGAATGTTATCCTTCTTATCCAAACGAAATTTTATAAGTAGTTAAGTGAGACAAATTCTATGATTCAGTGATTATGTTTGACTCAATATCAGCTTAATCTGGAATTGTTAGCTGTAGTTGCTGCAAATTATGCAAATTCCTCAAAAATTAACTAAACTCAGTGGTTGAAAAAAAGCTATTTTGAAATTTCAAAATCTTGATGCCTTATAGATGAGTCAAGCCTGATTCCATAATTAACTTGGCTAAACTAGATTGAACTTGATTAAAAAGTGCAGAAAAGCTAATTTTTTTCAACGAAGTGAGTGATTTTAACAAAAACCTAATGTTTAATTCATCTGCGTTGCTTAACTTGGTGAGATTAAACTGAAATTTGAGAGAATTTATAGACTAGCTATGCTATGATTACAAAAACTACTTTTATTCTGGCGGAATCTCCTTTATAGATTGCGTATAATAAAAAATCTAGACCCTAAAAGAAGGCTCCGATAACTGCTGCTGCATGTATTTCTACTGCCAATCTTTGAAGGCCTAACCTGAACTATAAATATGCATAACTTTGCTATCCATTTTATTATATTTTTCTAAAAAACTAATTTCCATTTACACTTATTAAATTATAAAGATAGAAGTTAAAATGAATTCTTAATTTATTTATTATTCCTATTAATATTCAAACAAGCAAACAAGCAAACAAACAAACAAACAAACAAACAAACTTTATAAACTTAGATGGATTATATTAAATACTCATCTTTAACCTATTATCTAACAATAAACCAAAAAAAAAACAGGATTTCAAAATAAAAATACAAAAAAATATTTAAAGCTATCCTTTAAAATATTTCCAAATCTAACACTTAAAATCAAATAATCTATTTATTTGTTATTGAAAATTAGTTGATAGAAGAAATTTTATTTATTTCTAATAAATTAATTTTTTTGTAGCTGATTAATATATTAAATTTTTTTAATTAAATACCAAAAGCATATCCATTTAATCAAAACAAAAAAAATAATATAAAAATCAAGAACTTGTCATTCTGAAAACAATTGAGAAACATCTGAACTTAGATAAATTTTTAGATTTATTTTAAAATAAAATTTATTTCTTTTTTTTTAATTAAAAGATTAAGGGTAAAAAATGAAAGTTTACATTTTTGAATATTAATTCATCTTTATATTAGCAGTATATATTTTAAAATAATCTCTCTCTCTCACTCATAAAATTCAGAGTTATTGCAATTCTAATTAATGTGATATGAGAAAGATATATATAATATGAAATAATTATTAAAATTTGACAAAGTAGAGTAATATATATAAATTATAATAGCTACTAATAAGGAATAAGCACAAATATTTTTCAATATTTAATCTTAATTAGAAAAATACTATTAATTTATTAAAATAGAAAGTTAATTTTAGAAAATAATATTTAAATCATATTCTGATTCAAGTTATATTTACAAATAAATTTAAAACTAATTATGTATCATTTTTTTAAGGTTGAAGACTTATTATGTTTTAAATTAAGTTGAAAAGATAGAGTTTTATAAAAATAATAATAGAAACTCTACATATTTGATAATAAATTAAACTATGAAGTAAATATCTTGATAATTATATATATCTTCTTAATTAAAATATGAATTCTATCTATATAATAAAAATTTAAAGTAGCTTAATTAATGAATTCATATTTTTATTGATGGAATTTGTAGTTAATTAATCGCTTTGCTTATAAAATTAAGTTTAAGTAAGATAGACAGTAATTAATTGTATATTTGATAAAATAAAAATAAATTACTTGCTAATATTCAAGTGTTTACAAATCATCTATAGAACAATTTATTTCTAAAATCTATTCTTTCTTTAATTCCAGAGTCATCAATCAAAAATATTTAGACTTTCTCAAAAAAAAACAATTAAAACTAAACAAATATTTGATAATGTCATTTTTTAAAATTGATATGACATACAATTAACTGGGAAAGTAATTTAATTAGTAAAATTGTAACAATTTAAATAATTATTTTTTTAGACCTTAAAATAATATTATTTATTTATTTAATTCAATTTTTTCCAAAATTTGTAATGATTTTTGATAATTTAATTCTTCTTAATTTTCTTTAATTATGTAATGACGATTTATTTATAAAATAACATTTACTCGTTTTAAAAAAAATATAGTTATTTAAATGAATGGTTATCAATAAAGATGTTGAATTGAATAAGATTTTATTTAAAATTTATAAAATTTGTTCGTTTGTTTGTTGGTTTTTTTTGTTGAAGAAAATTTGTTCAAATAAATAGATTAATTAGTTAAGGAATTTTATTTTGAATAAAGAAATAGTTATAGATGAGAATACTAAATTATAAAAGTAGAATTGAGTATACATGAATACATACAGCCAAGTATTTATTGTTAAATTAATCCTTAATATTAGGAAAGATGTTTTCGAACAGCATTCCTAATTCCAGGATATTTGGAAAAGTTATTAATTATAAATTGTATTGATTTAAAATAAGTATTTATTGGTAAATAGTTATAGTTATTTTTAATATATTTTATTTTATTGATTGATTGCTTACTTTTTCACTAAACTAATCAAGAGATTTGTTCTTGATTTAATTTCGTTTTATTTTGGGCTAATCAAGCCTTGATTTGCTTCTTTTCGTTGAGTTTGGGTCTCTTGGGGGTAGAGATTAAGTGCATCATGAAGTAGGCAATAACTCTGCAACCAACACCCAAAGCAATCAAAGCACCGAAGTTAGCACCCATAGATTCCTTGATACCTAATTGGGCAAGGGGATCGCAAGGTTCGTTTTTGGTTTAGTCATAACAGGTGAAGTTAACGGTGTCGAATTCATTGAGGGCAGCAGCTTAGAAACCGTATTTGAACATAGAAACGTATTCAATCCACTTGAGGTAATCGGGAATATTATTTGTGTTAACGAAGAAACCACCGAGAACCATGAAGGGAATAACGAGGACGGGAACGAGAGCCATAGCGACTTCCATCTTGGGGATAATAACTGAAATCAAAAGACCATATGAAGTACCATAGAAGAATGTGCAGATCATAGCAGCGCAGAGAATGAAGAAGTATTTAGCGGATTCATCATTAAGACCAATGGAGTAGTAAGTAATAACGATGGTAAGGATAGGATAGAGGAGATGGAAGGGGAATTCAGCAAGATTTTTACCCCAGAAGTAAGGACCGACACTGTATGATTTATTAAGTCTTTCTCTAAGGAAAAGAGGTCTTTCAACTGAGAAGGTAGCAATGGAACCTTGAATTGAGGAGAAGGCATTCATAGTGGCTAAGAAGAAAAGGGCACCAGATCTATTTTAGATACCTGATTGACCTTCACCGAGGGGTTAGAAGACAATAACTGTGGCAATAGCGAAGATGATCATTTAAACTGATTTCATCAACACATCCATAGGGTTACGGATTTGGGAGATGAAAGAACGCTTAAGAAGTAAGAGGAATTATTTGGCAATGCTGACATTGAAACTGTCGTCATTCTTTTAGAGAGATTGATTGAAGGTGGGTTCTAAGATTTTAACTTAGTCGGATCCCTTGTAGCTGTTGACGAACAATTCGAGACGTTATTCGAATTGGGCGTTGACTTCTTCATCCTTGATTTCGAGTTGACCCTTTTGCATCAATTCGATTAAGAGACCTTCTTCGTTCATGAGTTTCATGAAGTAATCAGAGGGATTGGAGAAGTCGGGACACTTGTGACCAATAGCAGTGAAGTAGTCAACGGCCTTGTGGGCTTCACCTTGATAGATGATGTTACCTCTGCAAATAAGAATTAATCTTTCGAAGGAATCGAAGATTTCAGAGGAAGGTTGATGGATGGTTGAGACGACATTGACACCCTTGTGACTCAAGCTTTGTAAGAGTTCAACGACTTGTAAAGCAGTAGAACTATCCAAACCAGTGGTGGGTTCATCTAAGAAAAGCATAGCAGGATTGGTGAGCAATTCAACACCAATTGAAGTTCTCTTTCTTTCACCACCGGAAACACCTCTAATCATAGCGTTACCAATCTTGGTGTCCTTGCACTTGGTTAAACCTAATTCTTTGATAAGTTTCATGACTCTTTCCATCTTTTGTTATTCAGATAAGTTCTTTAATCTCAAATCAGCACTGAACTTGAAGGCCTCTGTTATTAATTAAAAACGAAATCATTAGCAAAATTATAAACAATAAAAATAAAGAATGTGATCATTAATTAATTAACTAATTAAATAAATAATTACCAGTAGGAGTGAAGGTGGCGAGAAGAATATCATCTTGCATGACATAAGCAATTTAGTTGGAGTAATCATCGATATCAGTAATTTCTTAGCTGTTTAACATTAGACTACCACTGATTTCCATATTGTTGGCAACAAGTCTACCTGATAAGAAGTTCAACAAAGTGGTTTTACCGCAACCTATTCATTAATAGAAGAAAAAAATTTAATAATTATTTGAATGAATTAATTAATTAATTTTAAGCTAGTTAGATTGATAAAGCTATTAATTTTATTGAATATTTTTAGTAGATTTTTGATTAATCTATCTATTTATTTATTTATCTAGCTGCTTATTGAGTTGTAACTAATGATAAATAGATTTGAGTTATTACCAGAAGGACCTAAGATAGCAGTGAATTGACCTGGCTTTAAGGTACCGCTCAAGTTTTTAAGAATTTATCTTCTTTCGGTGACAGTTTTTTTCTTGCCAGTTTCTGTTTTGACTTGCTTCTTGACGAAGGCATCGATATTGAGATTCTTCCAAGTCAATTCAATTGGATTGGAGATTTCAATTGCTTTTGATGATTGAGCACCGTTTCCGTTTGCATTTGCATTTAAATTGTGGACGGGATTTATCTTTGGTTCGAAATTTACAGAGTCTCTTGGGTTCTTATTCTAGAGACTGTCAACTAAAATAGTTTTAAAAAAGAAAAATGAGATGAATTCGAATGCGCTTTGGGTTAATTCACTTAATAAATGATGCTTGAGAGAATGAAAAAGCTATTTTTAAAAATTATTTACCTTCATTTTGATTATTGGCAGTGTTAATCTAAATTGTTTATAGATCAGTCATTTTATGAATATTATTGATTGATTCTTTCAATTGTTTTTATTTACTTCTTAATTGTTTAGTTTTGTATTTATTTTGATAAATTATTCAATTATAAATTTCTTCTATCAGCCGATATAAAGAGAGTTTGAAAAGCAGTCTTCTATTAAAAATTTGTAAAGTTATTTTTTACAAAATGCACAGCCTTTTCAATTCCGACGCATTCATTTTGCATGACCGACTTTCCTTCACTATTTACCACTTTCAATAAAAAAATATTATTTAATTAACTTTAAGAATTCTTCCAGAAGTCTCTCGTTTCTATTTAATTATTTTAATTTCTTGGTTTACATTATATTTAAAATCAATTACAAACTAAAAAATAACTAATTACTAACACTGATTATTCTCGAATGTTTTTGCTTACTTCTTTGTCATCTCTCCTCTCAATCAACTGCTTTCTCTTCCAAAATATCTCTTGTAATTCATTGTCAATAATTCTGTCCTTTCAAAATAAATTTAATATGATAATTAATTTTATGTAAGTTTTTGATTTAACATGTGAAATAGATCAGTAAATTTACCAAAATATTAATTCAGTCAGTTTTATTCCTGCTCATAACATTTCAAATGACTCATCCATCTTATATCAATCAATCCTTCAACTAAAATCAAAAATCATTAGCTAAAAACTCAGCATAAAAATATGAAAAAATTTTTGTTGCATTTACTCTAAAATAGAAGTATTTTTTTTTTTTAGATCTGAACAATATGAGCTTCTATCTATAGCTGCTCTATTTCATAAAAAGAAATTAATTTTTACATTTAATCAATTTTTACAAATAAATTTTGTAAGACGCTAAAGCAAAGAGTATAATTTCTAATTAATTCTGTCAATAAATTTTCTTTTTCACTAAATTTCCAAACATTTTTAAATCTAATAATTTCATTTCTAAAAAATAAAGAAAATTTCCTTTTTGTTTGCTTTTCATTTTCCTTAAAATAAAAATAGCATTTTTATAATCTCTAAGCGCTTCAAAGTCGATTCAACTCCTTCCAAAATAGCTTAAATCTTTATTAAAATAGATATTTACTCTTGTAAATGAGTTATTCAATTTAATCACCAAAATAAGCCTACCAACGCAATCTATATTATTTTTTTAATAATTGTTTAAATTCCTTTCGAGCGCAATCCTCAAAAATCGTCCCTGCTAATTTCACCTTTAAAAAATCATTTTAAAAATCCCCCAAAAAAAACAATTCAAAACACTAACATCCTCATTTCACCTTTTATCACTAAATACAAAAAGATATAAGCAAGGAAAGTAAATGAATGAATAAGTGGATAGATAAATGAATATATGTTATTGAAATTAACATGCAGTTTATATTTTTAAAACAGAATTAAATAGAAAATTTAAAGTTTACAAAAATAATAAATAAGCTAACAAAAATACAAATACAAGCACAAATACAAATAAAAAGATAAATTAATCTTTATCAACACAAATTAATCAAGCAACAAAAAGAAACAAATTAAAAAATCAATATTTATTTTTTATAATATTTTTAAAAATGAAGATATTTATTTTGTTTATGAAAAATATCCAAAAATAAATAAATAAACAATTAAAAGGAAAGAGATTCATTCATTTAAATTAATTAGGTTTTAATTTTACTTTTGTTTCCAGTAATATTTAAATAGTCGCAATGGTAGGTATGACGATGATGATTAATTGGCTATATATATAATATCTTTAATTCTTAGAATATTAAAATTTATAAAAAGAATAAGCTTATTTAATAATCAATTATTGAATTAGATTGACATTATCTAATTTAGGTTTTTTATTTGATTTTTGTTATAGGAAGAGCTGTACTATTTTTAATGAATTAAATAATTTCATTATTAAATGTGTAATGCATGCCAATAACCTGTTAAATTTAAATATATCGTCATTACTTTTGAATTTATTCAATTTAATTTAATTGATTAAAAAATTTTACTGTTAATATTTCCATTTACAAATAATTAAATCTTAATTTAATTTCCTCTATTCTAAATAAACAAATCAAAAAATAAATAACAAGCACTCAATTAATTAATTTATTTATTTGTTATAAATCTAGCTCTATCTGCCATTTATCTATTTATATATAATTAAATGCCTAAAAATATACTAGCAAATAAATCCCATTATTTCTATTTAATTTACTGTAAGTAAATCAACTAAATTCAAAATAAATCTTTAATTTATTTATAATTAAATTTAAATGCATTGCTTCATATTAATCTCTCTCTTTTCTATTAAATTTAATAATATTTTCTAACCAGGTAGACAAGCAGATAAATGAAAATCCAAGTATTTTAAAGTCAAAACAAAATTTATTTTATGAAGTATTTAGACTATTTGAGCAGTTTGAATACTTCTCTGATTACATTAAAAATTACAGATAATCTGACTATAAGAACAAGAATAGTCAATCAATCATACAATTTTATTTATTATCTTTATTCTATTAAAAAGTAATTCATAGTTCTAGATTTTTTTGTTTTGCAAATTACAATTTTTAATTTTCCAGAAACATTCTTTCGAAAATTAATTTCTTTTCATAGTTTGTCATTTGAAAATCCTAAAAATAAAAATAAATTTAAATAATAAATCGTTTTTTATTTTTTTAAATAATTTTTTATTCATTAAAAGCATAAAAATTATAAAATATTCTTACATTATTTTAGTTTAAAAAATATTTATCAAATAAATTGTGTATTACTTTTTTATCTATTTATCAAAATTATTTTAAAAAAATAAAAAACAAAAATAAATTAGTCCTATTAATTAAAATATGTTGAATATTTAAGATAAATTTCTTTTAATGCATGGTAAATAAATATAAGTAATAATTATTTTAAATAGATAAGTTTTGAATAAAATATTTTGTTAAATTTAATTTTCTGGGATAATTAATTAATTAATTATTTACATCTTAATATTACTTTTAAAATTAATATAATTAATCAATGTAAATTTAAATAAAATAGAAAAAAAGGAAGTAAAATTTGTATTAAATAAATATAGGCATGTTATAGATTGATTAATAGATAGATAGATAGATAGATAGATAGATAGATAGATAGATAGATAGATAGATAGATAGATAAAAATATAATAAATCTTCTATTTTTGTTTGTCAAAACTAATTTTAATTCAGTATTAAATCTAATTTTTATTCTAAGCTGTTTAACTTTCTATCTATCTATCTATTTTTGAAAAATAAATAACTAAATAAACAGATTTACAAATTAGATTCGTATTTGTTAATTAAATAATAGGACATTCATACATACTATTATGAGTTTTAAGTTATGTTTTGAATGCTTTAAAAGTTAACATTTGTTTTAACATTATAATTTATTATTTAAATAGTAATTGCTTCATTTTAGAAAATAATTGCTTTTTGAAAAGGGAAATATTGGTTGAAATATTATCCTGTTCTTAAGAAATCTTTTTATTAGGTAAAACATTCTTATTAATTTTATGAATTCATTTATACTAAAAAATCTATTGAATATTTAAGAACCATTTTATCAATTTATTAAATCGAAGAAAATTTATTTTCTAAAATTTAATTTTTTTTAATATTAACTAACTATTGTTTATAAAAAGGATTTCCATTCTTAATGCTTGCTAAGAGATATTTTAAATGATTTTAAGATATGTAAATAAAACTTTAAATATTACCTTGATAATCATTTTAAGATGAGAATATCTCAAATTAATTTATCTAAAAAGAAATCAAAGATTTCAAAAACTGATAGGTTTTAATGTATTTTATATTGATTCAAAAGTATTTTAAAAGACATGCCTTACCGCTTTTCTTTCAGCTATTTTGATGGCTTAGTCTTATTTTACTAACGAAAAAAAACATATTTATTTATTTATTTTAATATTTGATTTATCTTAGTTAATATATTTTTATTGGTTTTTTTAATAAAAAAAAATCTATTTACTTTTTCAGAACAAATAATATTTCATTTAAAATTTTAAAAGAGCTTTTTTCTTAACATTTTTAATATTTAATAATAAATTATTATTTTTCTAAATTAAAAAAAAATTATAATTTATTCATTTATTAAAATCATTCAATTAAAAAATGCTCATTTTACTTACAAAATATAAAAATTTTTAAGCTAAAAATTTAATTTTTTTAAATAATAAAAGATTATTTGTTTGTTTCTTTGCCTTTAAGGTTTTCTAAAAATAGGAATTTTTAATTAAAATAAATGTAAAAGTATAATTCATCATTCAGATTTTCTTTTATTTTAGAAACTATTAAAAAAACATTGATTTAGGTTGCCAAAAGCTTAGGCAAATATTTTTACTTTTTTCATTTTTGGATTTGTAAAAATTGATTTCTTTAAAATAGAAATTTTTTTGAAAAAAGAAAGATTTTAATTTGAAAGTAAATTAATATATTGAAAAATGGATTAATAAAAATTTAAAAAAATGGTTAGAATTGTTAATTTACAGACGATTTTTATTATTTTCTTTATTTGCGATTTGATTAAATTAAAGATAAATAATGCTAGAGAAAGTATTTGATGCAGATAAATACGATTAATATTACTTTTTTTTTTTTGATTAAATTTATAATAATATCAAACGAACACATAAAAAGTAGTATCAAATTAAGATAAATTTTTTGATTTTTTAAGGAATATTAATATAGATAGATAAAGAGATATATTTATTTATAGAAAGTAAGAGGTTATAGATATTTTTCATTGTATTTACAAACTCATAAAATAATTCTATTTAAAGAGTATTGTTTGTATTTCAATAAACAATACATAAATAACGAAAGTAGAGCTAGTAAAAGTAAATATAAGCAAGACACTAATCGTCTGTTTTTCGCATGGAGTTTGAGAATTAATTTTAGTTGATGTAATTTTAATTAGAAAACATATGGAGAATTTAAGATAGATTTCTGCTTTTTCCTTTGCTAAATTTTGAAAGAAAGCATTTTTTGTTTGTATTTTAATTACTACTTTAATTTACTATCTTTTTATCATTCTTATTTTTAAAAATTTCTTCACAGCCATACAAAAAGCTGCTTTACAAATCACTGAATTAATCAATATCTATTAATCTATATTATAGAACTTTTAATTCTTTAATTTGTATCAAAAAAAATATTAACATCAAATTTCAATAAACAAACAAACATAAAAAAAAAATAAGCATTAAGTAGGAAATTAAAAATCATAAAAATTGAAAAGATAGAATGTCAACTCAGTTAGCCGCTTTAAATTAGGACAATAAAACTTAGGCTGAGTACGAGTACAAGCAAACTCCAAATGCCGAGGATACCCAATACAGCAATGAAGACCAAAATAAGTTTCCTTCTCCTGTGTTAATAGCAATGAGTGCCCTCACTGAAAATCTTGACCAACACAAGGAGATGTTTCAGCATGATTTCATCAGAGAAGATACCTTCGACCTAGGCATACAATGTGGAAAGCTAAACAGTCAATGTAAATAACTAATTTTCATAATTTCCATTCAAATAATTACCAAAGATAAAATAATTTATTCAGCCAGTCAGTCAATCAATCAATAATTTTTGAGTAGGATTAAAATAATGATTTTTATTAGCTACGCTTTTACTCAATAAAAGAAATTATTTTCTCTTAATTCTTCCTAGTTTCTTCTCAAAAAAAATGACCTCGATTCAATCTAGCATGAAAAAAAAATATAATTTATCCCTTTTTAAACAAAAACTAATGGCAAAAATAGTTTAAAAAGAGTCCGCTAATAAAAGATTAATTGATTAATTAATTGTTATCTCTACTTTTTGTTCCTTTGATTGATTGATTATTTTAATGAGCGAAATTATAATTTTTTAATGTTAGTCGATATCAAATTTTATTAACATTTACTTATTAAATGAATTAATAGACATAAGTGGTGGAACCAACAAGGCAAGTGATTAGCTTTCATCTCAAGATACAAGCAGCGAATCACACAATAATGAAGACCTAGAGTAATAGTAAGCTACAAAAAGTAAAAGCCAATACAATTAATAAGTGTAAAAGACTCAAAACATTGAAGAAATATACTGCAATGGATAAATTGAAAAAATTGGATATTATCGTCTGCTCCAAATAAAAAATAATCTCCAAAGCATGATGAAGTTTAATTTTCCAGAACAAACCTTCCAATTAGTTGAAAATTCGAATCCTTTAGATAGAAATTTTTTCAAAAATTAGATTCTGAATACTTTAATGCATTTAAACGAGAAAGTTCCTCCCAGAGTAATTGAAAAGAGTAAGCCAATTATTTGTTGCCAAAAGCTACTTGCCTCTATAAGAATTTATGGACTTTCTTGCATTATGTCATCCCTAATTTCTCTAGTTCTGATGGCATCTAATTTTTTATGCTATAAAGCCTAACCTGGATTCTCTTTGCTCTTTATTCTAGCTTCTATCGTCTCGGTTTCTACTATCCTTAGTTATTATTTTTTCTTCAGACAACTTACTATGTTTAACCATAAAAACTTCTTGCAATGGACTCTTTTCTTTGCAGGAATCTCCGCAGCATATTTATTTATCTTTATCTCCGGTTTTGTTGTAGGCAACAAGTAAGGAGTTCAGTTCACATCCATTCTTCTCTGTCTAACTCATTTACTGTTCTCTTTTCTTACCAAAGAGATCCTATATAAATTTATTAGATTTTTAGTCTTGCTCAGAGTAATCCCTGAAACTGAACTCTAAATAAGATTCTCGTATTTCTACTGATTTAATAATAATGGCTGAAAAATTATTAACTTATTAACTAACTAATTAACTAAATAAATGAATGAATATCAAAATTAAATCTAACAAACAATTAATTTATCAACAAAATAAATAAATAAATAACTTCTAAACAATTAAAAAAATAAATCTCCAAAAATAATCTTATTTATTATACTCAAATAATCACAAATTAACTAACTATTTACAGTATAGTACATAAACTTAGTTAATTATTAAAATGAATAGATAATCTACGAATTTATCTATCTATCTATTCCTACTCTACACAATATTTTTTATTTAATCTAATCCTCTTTGTTTATATAAAAATAATCTATTTATTTTGTATGATAAAGTTAATTAATCGACTGTATTTTAAATTCTTACACTTTTCTTAAAGAATTTTCTAAATTTAATTAAAAGAAATATACAAATTATTTATTTGTTCAGTCATTCAATTATAAGATAGATATTAGCTATTTTAAGATACTTGATCACTCCTAATGAATCAATAAATAATCAAATGCATATTTTTTTATTATGAAAAATTGATTCTCCTAAAAAATTAATTATTTATTTGCAAAAAAATAATATTAATTATAAAAACCTTTCTCAAAATACAAATAAAATTGGGAAAAATTTCCAATATTTTTTCATTAAACACATGTCACTTTTTTAATATTAAAGAAAAAATATAAAATTAATTTTTTAGTTAGTTAGAAGGAAAAAATAAATATGAAAAAATAACAAATTAATTAATTAATAAATAAATAGTAAAAGTAAAAGTAAAAATTAAAAAACGTATTAAATTAAAAAGAAAGAAAAAAAAAACAGTAGCAGGATAAACATGAAAAATAAAAATAAATTAAATAAAAAGCTAATTTAAATAAATAAATTTATTAATTAATTAAAAGCATAATTTTGTTTAAATTAAAATTATTGCAATCAAAAGCAAATAAATTATTTTTACTCAAGATTAAGTGTCAAATTTGAGAGATTAATGCATTTTGCTTGAGCAGAACTTAAGTCTGGTACACCTTTGTCACCAATTAATTTTATTCTTTTTAAATATTAAAGAGCAAATAAAAAAATTAATTAGTTGGTTAGAAGGAAAAATAAATTAATAAAAATATCAAATAAAAAAAATAGTGAATAAATAATCAAAATAAAAATTCAAAGTGAAGGAAATTAAGTTAAAATAATAAAATAAATTTAAAGAATATTCATATAAAATAAATAAATAAATATTTACTTCTTCTAGATTGACACATCTTTTCTACTATTTCATTTTTTTAAAATAATTAGTAGCAATTAATGGAAATATAATTAATTTTAAGAATATTAAATTCTTTTTATATCAAACTAATTTGGAAAAAAAGAGCAAATAAATTATAATTAATTATCATCAAACATCAATTTATTTATATACCTTTAGGAATAATAAATATATTTAATAATACTATAAAAAGTTAGTAAAATAATTGCATAACCCCTCTGTATTTTTATCATATTATGTATGTTAAATATATTTTTATAATAATATTTTATTAAAACAAACAGTAAAATATTTATATAATCCCTATTTTTACCATACTATGTCAATAATAAACCCCTATTTCTACTCCAACCCATAGTAATTTATATATTTTATTTTTCAATAAAAAACTAGAATTAAATAAATTTATTTAATAATACAAGATTAAAACAGTAAAATATTTATATAATCCTTATTTTTATCATATTATGCCAATAATTAACCCTTATTTCTACTCCAACCCATATTACTTAATATATGGAAATTTCACATGGAAACAACTGCATCCTAAAGATTTAAAAAGGAGGTACTATCAAAGAAGTTACTATTTTACAGAATGAACACATCTTTATTGTTGATAATCTACCCTTAAATGTGAAAGAGTAAGATGTTATAAATTTATTTGAAGAATATGGAGAAGCAGTAACAGTTACAGTAATTGTAGAATTAGTAAAATGTAATTCACAACAAATAGAGGAAATTAGTTTAGTAAAATTGGATTCAATAGAATGTTAATCAGAACAGTGGTCATCTACCTTCTTCTTTGCAACACTATATTGTAATTCCTTTTTAATTAAGGTCATTTTAGAAAATTTTTGAAAAGGGCCATTTTTTTCAAAAACTTTGGAGGGGGGGAGTGGCATTAATTATGAGGAATTGCAGGTATTTTGTTTTTAAAATAAAAAATTAGTATTACTATTTACCTATATCATGACAAAATTAAATTTAAAGAACTTTTATTCTACCCCTACCTACAATTTATAAATTAAAAAGTTTGAATTAAATTTTTTTTGCCTAAACTATATAAAATAAATTTAAAAAAAGCTATAGTTGTTTTTTATAAGTGCATCAATGTTATATATATAAATCATGTTTATGGTAAATAGCATAAATAAAATGATAAATATTAAAATATAAGTCAGATACCTATTGAGTGTGTATCAAATTTCGTTTTGTGTTGGCATTGTATTTATGTAAAGTAAAAACGAATAAATCAAATCTTTAATTTTTAATTACTAACAACAACAAAAACAATTAAGTAGGGATATTAATTAATTACATTATTTTTATAAATAAATAAATGGATAAACTCAATATATTTAGCTTTTAGAGCTCAATTGGTTGCTAAAATAACAGTGATTGTGGGTTTTTAAATATTTGCAACGAAGACAAGCTTTGTGTTCATCAAGATTTGACTTTTGGAGTAGTAGAAATAATAAGCTATGTCTTAATATCAATTATTGTTGGATTGGCTAATGTTGGGGGTCTTGGTGGTGGGATTGTGAAAGTTCCTATTTTAGTGATCCTCTTAAACTTTTCAGTGAAGGAGGCGACATTCTTATCTTACCCTATATTACTAGGTAATTAAAGATATTATTTTTAAATTTCCATTTTTTTAAATCATTTTTGTAAATAGGAGGAGTATTGTCAAATGCTATTCTTTTGATTTCTTAAAGACACCCAAGAAAAGATAAGCCTATCATAGACTTTGATTTAGTTCTGATTTTAGTTCCAACTGTATTGCTAGGCACAGTTGTAGGTATCTTGATGAATGTAATTATTTCAGAAATCATTTTAACCTCAGTTTTTATGCTATTTATGTGCCTCGTTTGTGTATATCTTTTTATGAAGGCAAGGGATATTTAATAGAAATAATAAGAAGACAAGGAAGAATAAGATTCATCAATATAGGACAACAATGAATAAAATTAAAATAAATTAAGTAAATCTACTATATAGCTGGTGAAGTAAAACAGTTATTTAAGTGAAGTAGACCAAAAAAAAATAGAACAAATTGATGAAAATTGTTAAAAAGAGTTAGGGATCCAGTATTACTAAGTTGTTTCAGAAGATTCATAAGAATAAAACAGTGAAGAGGACTCAAAAGGAGTTTCTAACAAAGAAAAATAAAAGAATAAAATAGAAAACTAATTGCTAGCTGAATTTCTGGAGCAAGAAAAGAAAATGTTGCCCTTAGATAAATTATTTTATTTGGTTCTAATTTTTTTAGTCTTCACTTTCATAGGAATTTCAAAGGGAGGAAAAGGATTTCAAAGTATTTTTGGAATCTAAAAATGTGATAATTTATATTACTTACTAACTGCTCTTCAATTAATATCTTCGATTATATTTATGTTCTTTATCTATCTCTAGCAGAAGCGCTTACACGAATATAAAATATCAATTAATTATTAGTTCGATAGAGAAGATTTTTATTTTTCTAATTACAACTTCTTCATCCTATCTTTATCTGGGCTTGCAGCTGGTTCCATAACAGGAATGTTAGGTAAATAAAATCATTATTTTTGTAAATAGCAATTTTTAAAAAAATTTTCTTAAAACTGCTACTTCTTTCTAAAGAATATTCGCTTAATATTTTGGTGATCCTACGAAATAAAACATCAAAGCAACTAATATTTTTAAATTTAGATCTACCAATTATTGAATTGTTTTTAAGAAATAAACAAAAAAAATAATGTTAATTTTATTTTTAAGTAATATTTTTGTTTCATCTTCATAAAATATCTTCTTCTAATCTTTATGTTTTTTGAACATAAATATCAATAGAACTAAAGATTTTTAATTTTAATAAATTTATTAATTTAATTTTAATAAAAATATAAAAAAACCATATTAATTAATCATAATTTAATAAAATTCCTTATAAAAAGTAAAAATATTTTTCTTGAATTAAATAAAAAATAAATTTTGGAGAATAATAATGAATGAACATGCTTTATATTTTTAATTTTTTATATTAATTATGAGAATATTCATTTAAACAACTAAACTTATTTAAAAAATATGAATTTATTTGATATCTGCTGATTTTTTTAATTTACTATTACTTACTCTGAAAAAGTAACTTTAAACTAATTATTTATCTTTTATTTAGGAATGGGTTCAGGACTAATTATTTTACCAGTTTTACTTAGCTTAGGATGCCACACAAGAGTTTGTAGCTCTACTTCCGGCTTTATGTATTTATTTATAGGCGGAACTAGTATAATCTATGTTCTCACAGAAGGAATACTTTCATATAAAATGATTCTATTTTATGCATTTTTAGCTTTGATAGGAGGGTTGTTATTTAGTAATATTCTTTACTATTACGTTAATAAGTACAATCTATAAAGTATAATCATCTGGATTATCTTTTTTATCACTGTTTTGAATCTTATTTCAATGCCTTATTACATTTATGTAAAATCTACTTAATACGGTTGGGACTCCTTAACAAAAAATTAGTCTTTTTGTGATTGAAACTAATTTAAGAAAAGCAACTCTAAAAATAGAATCTTCTTTTGATATTTTTTTCTTAAGAATTTGAAAAATATTTGTCAGATGTTTTTGAATATTATATGCATATCCTTTTAATTAATTAATTTATTTATTTATTTTTTGCTCTGTGTATATATTTGTTTATATTACTTCTTCAAAACCAATTAATTAATTACTTATTTATTTTTATTAAGATAAATTCTAAAAGAAAATTAAAAAATACTATTATTAAATTGATTTTTAATATTTATAATCTATGGTAAATTTTAATAATTATTCTTTTAAGTCGAAGAACTCGTAAATTTTCACTAAAAATATATTAATTGAAAAAATTAATAATATTTTAAATCTAGCATTTGGATATGTAAATGCTTCTAATTTTATTTTAAATACCTTAAATATTCATAAATTTAAATTTAGCTATTTTAAGATGGATACTAAAATGTGATATTGAAGTTAGCTCTCCTTATCATCATTTCCATGTAGTACTTATTAACTAATAAGAAATTACAATAATTAATATTTAAAATTTGAAAAATTTAATTTCAATCAAAGGAAATAATAAAAATATTTTTTCATATGTTTTAAAGAGGAATATATTAATTTAAGATTCAAATAATGAGAATGAATGAGTAAGTGTGTATTATTTATATATATATGTTTAAATATAGAATATACAAAATAAGTTAAGATGAGTAGAGAGAGAATAATATAATTTGTTATAAATTTAATAGAAGTAATTTAGTTTATTTATTTATTTGTTTATAATTTAGTAATGGGTTAAGACTAGTTATTTGTTAATAATGGTGTTTGATATTGCGTATTTATTTATTGATAGGTAAATTTAATTTAATTAGTTATTTTCATTGTCTAAAAAAGTATTATTAAAGAACGTCCTTAGCTTGCATTAGCTGTTTAAAGGTTCTAGGAGAAGAAGAACTTTGTATTTGATAGAAATTGTAATAGTATGCTTCTTCTAAAGCAGAGAATTCTTCTTATAAGGTAATTATATTTTAGAAATATTATTGAGATTGTTATCTGGCTTGGTTACTGAAAGCAGAGGGTTAATTTTGTACAATATAGTCTAATGCCTAAGCCACAACTTTGACATCTTTTTCGAAGTTTGCTTCTGTTAAAGGTTCTAAAAGATGAGGGATTTCAACAAGGTCATAAATGGTTTCCCTAATACTTATGACAAATTGGCTGATTTAATTGTATCTTTCATTAAATTTAATATCAAGGTAATTCATTTTTTCAATGTGTTGTTTTTTCTTTGTTTGTTTTATCTGAATTAATTAATTTTTTTTTTTTGATTAATTTATTATTATTAATAAATTCGTTGATATGACGCTGCTTTGAACATGCAAATTTATAAATTTTGATTTAAAAATAGTAGTAAAATTAATGAAATGTTCCATCCAAAAGCAAATAAATAAATAAATTTCTTGAAATCAATTAATTCTATCTCGTTAATTTTATTAAGAAATCTAATTGCTAAAGGATCTTCATAATAGATAGATAGAAACTTAACTCTATTAAAATTTATTGGTATAGGGCATGATTTTTATATTTAATTACACTATCTTTTTGACCAATTCTTTCGTTTTTTTCATGATTTGTTAGAAAGTAAATGTAAATTTAAAAGACAAAAAATAGACAAAAAGCAATTAATTTTATGAGTGAGGTTCATCTATTTCATTTTTTTTCTTCAAAAAAGAAATTTCTTTAAAGAATCTATGCATTTTCCATTTGCTTTCAAAATGAAAAACAAATGTGAAAAACTCTACAAAATAATGTGAATTTTAACTAAATATTAATTTTTGAGATACTTTGAAAATTGATGAAAGTAATTAAACAATTACCACAGAAATTAAGTATTAATTTCATTCAATTTTGATTATTTTCTTCTAAAAAAAGAATAGAAAAAATACAATTATTTTTTTTCTCTAATTAATCAATAGAAAAAATCTCGCAATTATAATTACAATTCTTCTTTATGATGAAGAATTCATGATAAATGCAAATTTAATAAAAATTGCTAGTAAAATCATTAAATTTACATTTCAAATTAAGACTCATTAATTACTGGGTTTTTTTCTATTCCATTCTTTAAATTTAAATTTCAAATGTGGTGATGTTTATTTACGATTATATTCAAAATGAAAAAAATCAAGCAAACAAACAAATAAATAAATATTCTTTTTTAAAAAATTAAATTGTAAATAAATAATAAACGATCATTTTAAATTTACTTACATAAACTGTAAAGCAAAAATACTGTTTTCAAGAATAGGATCAATAATTTAATTAGAATATAAACTAGATTTGGCTATAAAAAACTATAATATAGCAAAATGCTACTTGAAAAATACAAAAATTTTACTTTTATAGAAACTATTTTATAAAAAAAATAAAAAATATAAGAAAACATAAAATAATTTCAAAAAGAATAAGCAATAAAATTGAATTTGACTTAAATAAATTAACAAACAATTTTAATTAAGATTCAAGCCTGTTTATTAAAATAATCTAATGGCGAAGAAAATAAAAATAAAGAAAAAAAAAGTGTTCATAAATAGAATTTTATAGAAATATTTATTGTTATTTTATGACTTAAATTTATTTTAAATAGATTAAAATAATTATTTTTAGTGAGTAAATTTATTTCAAAATTAAATTAATCAATAGGATTGATTATCTTAGGTGTGAAAAAATTTAATATATTTTAGATGATGGCGCTTAATATGATTGATCACAAAAAAGACATAAAAAAAATAGATTAAGTAATTAAATAAAATGTGAGTAGTGAAAATAAATAAAAAATAGTTAATAAATTGATAAAGAACTTATTATAATATTAAATAAATTCTGATAACTTTTTAAAAATTTAAATCCATTTTGATGGGTGTTTTATTGATAGATAGATAAAGAATTTTATGAGAAGTAAGTGCCTTTGAAAGCTGAAAAAATATTTTAAATAATTGAAAGGTGAGTTAAAAAATGGTTTGAATTATTTAAATAAAAGGATTGGAAAATAATATTTGAAATTTTGAGAAATTAAGATTATTATTTTGTGGACCATTCAAATTTCACCATTTCTTATCTTATGCCTTTTTTATGTTTTATTGAATGCATGAAAGTAAATACATTTAATTTAACCATAGAAAACCAGTAGCAAAAATCTAAAATTAAAATGACTTGAATCGATTGACTAATAAATTATATTTATTGATTAGAACAAACTAGTGTTTTTCGTCATATAAATTAATATAAATGATATTCAAGTAATTTACTTGAAATTAATCTATTTTGTGAGTAAATCAGTGAATTCTAAAAAGCATATTTTTATTTAATTATTAACATCCAATTATTCTAAATTAATCTATATAATATCAGAATACTTTGATTAAATTTAAACCGTAACTAAAATATAATGTTAATTAATCAAATATCTTTTTTTAAATACTTAATAAAATCTACTTAAAAGCGAATCTTTCTTTCCTGATTCTTTATATTTTATATTATGAAAATCTTAAAACAATATATTTAATCTAACAATATTTTAAATTTATATATCAATATCAATAACAAAATAGTAATTTATTTAAAGTTCTTGTTCTGCTTGAATAAATAAAAAATCATATTAATGTATAATCACAAATGATAAAATTGGTAGATTTTAAATTATTTAAATGAAAATTATATAAATAATAAATTTTAAAAAGGATTTCACCATAATTAATTATTTACTATATACAAAAATTGAAAGAAAACATTTGATAGATAGACTTGAATTCAAAATAATTGATAAATATATTTTTGAATAATTCATTGCCATCAAATATTGATGTATAAATCACAAATGATAAAATTGGTAGATTTTAAATTATTTAAATGAAAATTATATAAATAATAAATTTTAAAAAGGATTTCACCATAATTAATTATTTACTATATACAAAAATTGAAAGAAAACATTTGATAGATAGACTTGAATTCAAAATAATTGATAAATATATTTTTGAATAATTCATTGCCATCAAATATTGATGTATAAATCACAAATGATAAAATTGGTAGATGTTAAATTATTTAAATGAAAATTATATAAATAATAAATTTTAAAAATGATTCCACCATAATTAATTATTTACTATTTACAAAAATTGAAAGAAAACATTTGATAGATAAACTTGAATTCAAAATTATTTATCAATACATTTACAGTCAAATATTAATATATAAATCATAAATGATAAAATTGGTTAATTTTATATTATTTAAATGAAAATTATATAAATAATAAATTTTTATAAGGATTTCACCATAATTAATTATTGACTATATACAAAAATTGAAAACATTTGATAGATAAACTTGTATTCAAAATAATTTATAAATGTATTTTTTAATAATTAATTAATTAATTACCTTCAAATATTAATGTATAAATCACAAATGATAAAATTGGTAGATTTTAAATTATTTAAATGGTTGTATTCTTCTTATTTAATTTAATTTTATCTATATTTAGATTTAAAATATCAATTAATCTACTAAATTGCTTTTAAATATTTTACTTTAAATTTAATTGAAGTTTTTGAATTTTTAAGTACATCATATTCTTCATCATATCTCCTATAGATTCTGCAGTTAAATTAGTACAAGACCTATATTTATTGTTAAAAAATCTATTGAATATTCATATTTTGAATAAATTCGCTTACTATAAAGAATAATTGGCTTCTTATAAGTTAAGTAGTTGTTTAGTCGATTCACCAAGACTTGATAAGAATTTCCAATCAAGCTACTTTAAGTGTTGTATTTAGCTTTTAAATTTTCAAAATTAAAAATTTGAAAACCAAAAATAATTTTACTTTAAATGCAAACTCAATATCTCTAGTCTTTAAATATTTCTTAAGTTAATACAAATTGTTTCAAATTCGCTTGGACTTAACTGCATTTAACTTAATTTTACATTAAAAAAATTTTCAAAACAAATTAATAATAAAAAAATTAATTTTTAACATGCTTTTTTTAATATCTTAAAAAAAAAATTTTGAATCAGAATTAAATGAAGATATTATTTGAAAATATTACGATAAGTCTAGTGTTAAATCAAAGAGCTACTAAAAAGATTTGCAGCTTTGTACTGCTTGTATTATCAGGTCATTAATACCCTTTGTTTTTCTTAATGAAAAAGGCTTTTAGGTATTTCAATAAATTAACAATTATTTTACACAAATGATAATTTGAGGCTTTTTATGGAACTGATCAATCCAAAATTTTAAACAAATTGTAGTTTAGCTGGCTGATTGCTATTGTTTAGTTCGCTTTTATTAAAAATAAATAATATTTTTCCAAAGATTTATTGGTTATAATTTAAGTACTTACTTTAAATTTAATGTTAAATTTGTAGTAGTCTTATGCATGCACTCAAAAACTCTAGAGCAATAAGATATGCACAAACTCTCTGAAAAAGAGCTTTTTAAAAAACATAAAATAAAGTGATTAATTTGTGTGCTTAATTAATTATTTTGTATTTACTTGTCTTATTTCTTTAGTGTGTAAATATTTAATTTTGTGTCTCTTTTAACACCTTCAATTACATAAAGATATTTGTCTCCGTTGTTATTGAATATTCTAAATTTCATTATTTTAGTTGATTTACTAAGATAAAATAAATAAATGGCTTTACTGTATTTAGCAAATATTAATTTTGTTTGAAATATCTCTTATTTATGCTGGTGATGAGTAATTAGATTCAATGTTTCTATTATTTTTAATAAATTAATTACTGTAAAAATTTTATTTTTCAAAAAAAAATTATTAAATTTTTATATTTTAAAAAAATATCATTTTAAATAAATTAAATTCAAAAATTTTGTGAAAAATTTTGAGTATTTTATCAAATTTTGTGGTAATTATTAAAAAAACTATTTAATAAAAAAAATGAATAGTTACTTGAAGAAACCAAATATTTTCATTTTCAATATAGAGAGATCTTCGTTTTAAATTCTAAAGAGGTCGTCTTCAGAAAGAGATTGCTTGTCTGTGATAATGCGCTTTAGTTTAAGATTTTCAGATTATACGAGTAGATTTATAGATTTGATAGTGATATTGTTTTTCTTTAATATGAATGTCTGCAAGCTCGTAAAGTGTGGGGAGAGAGTAAAGTCTTATATGATTTAATCAGTAATATGCTAAGAAGAGAGATCAAGTGTTATAATATTTTTGACATAAGAATTTTGTGTTAGCATTAGCAATGACTTTAAATCTAAACAGATGTTTGATAGATCTAGATGAGATAATCTTAAAAGATTTGCATTCTTAAATATTCTTGTCATGATTCTAACTGTGTATTTGGTCTCATCTTGTTTATAATTGAAAAATCCAAGCAACTTAGTAGCTTCTTTTTTATATTCTTATTTTTTATTTTTTTTAAGTAAAGGGTTTTATTCGGTATCATCTTCATTTAAATCTTCCACAAGTTCTTAATTTGATGGTACTTTAGAGCTGGAAGGAGATGAAGAATCTAATACTGATATAAATTCACCATCTTTCCAAACATTAAATTTGATTTTTTTAGCGTATTGAGATTTAGAGCTGGAAGAATAAACTAGATTTACTTCATTTTATTGGATTGGTTTGTTACTTGTGAAGTACAAAGAAGAGTTTTTAATTTATGAGAGCAAGTCCAAACAAATTTCTACATTATGAATTTTGGTGACTTCTTTAATACAAAGAATAATAATAGGAGGATTTGTTAGTTTTTTAAAGCTGTCTTTTGATTTCTAGTCTAAAACATGGGCATCCATGGAAATTTATTAAAGAGTTGAAGCAACAATTTGATTTCTTGAAATGAATTTCTCAAGTTAGTTTCCTGTGGCATTACTGGAGTATGCAATATTTAGTATTTGAGGACATATTTTGAGGTTCTTTGAAGGTAAATCAAATTTTTAGTTAGGACAATACATTAGATCAAGTTTTTTTAGTTCAGTTAATTACTTACAGCAAAATAGATCTCTGAGACCTTCTTTTGTGATTCCATCACATCCATTTAGACTCAAATATTGCCATTTGATTTGAGTTTATTTTTTATTTTCAAATACTTTCTCTAGCACATAATCCTTTATTGGAGTGTAATCTAAGACAACAAAGAATAAATGGAAAGCATTTGTAAGAAGGCTGATGAACACTTTAGAAATATCATCCAATTTGACTTTTTCAGTCGTTTAATTTATTTAACATATCTTTTTACAGCTGAGATATTGCAATTTAGGCATATTAGCAATATTAATTGATAATTCTTTCAAACCTTTTAGTGTAATTTTGCTATTATAGTCAAGACACAATTTTTTTAATTGAGATTATAAAACTTGATTGGTGACAAGAGATACAACATCATCATCTGTAAAATACTAGCTATTACTTATATCGATTTATTACAATCTAACCTGATATTAGAGTAGTAAATTTACATTAACAAATGTATTCTCAGATTTAAAATAAGTAAAAGTTGTAATATTCTTTAATATTTATTCTAATTTGTTAGGTGAACCACAATTGAACAGTTCTATTTTTTTAAATGTATTAATACTTTGGCTATCATAAAGAGACGAAAACTCAATCAGACTATCAAATCCCTTATCATTAAAACACTTTATCTAGTTGTCTTGATTATTAACAATGACTTAAATATAATTATCCAGCTAAAATAAAAGAGGTTTATCTGCATTGATACTCTAAATAATTGGATCTGAACGATCAACATCATACCATTCATCTAGTATAAAATTGCTAAAATAGCCTTTAAATACTTCTGATCCCTTATAACTAATAGTGTTCTTTCCATGAATATTATTATTGTAGCACTGTCCTTCTAATTTCCAATGTTCTTAAAATATAAACATCTTAACCTATTTTAAATATTAAAATTTATTATCAGTTAAATTAGATTTTATTTTTCAATTTAATATATTCAATCATATTTCTTAAATAATTTGCATAATTAGGCATTAATATTTTAAAAAAATATAGCATTGATAATTAATTTTATTAAAAAAAAAAATATATTGATTACCTAACCATTGACTCTTCCTTTATGGAATTAGCCATATTCAAGTATTAGTCTTGATTCTTATTCTTAATCTAATTGTCTTCTGATTAGACCTTTTCTGTGCTTTTCTTCTGAATTGGAATCAATCTCACCTTCATAAATAAGTTTTCTAATTGGATATGTAATTTGATATCCGTCAGGAGCCATTTGTCCTTTGAAAAAAATCGGATATGGATCTTGTATTCTATTTCTAATTAACAATTTTTCAGATTGTGTTAGAAGAGCTAGTTTTATGCTTGAAATTCTCTTTTCTTCTTAGGGTTCCAACATAGATTGTAATATATTTGACATCCTTAGCTTTCTCAGCATTCCTTTCTTAAAGTAATATTGAGTGTTTGCTTTTCCAATTATTATTTCATTAACTACATCATTCAGTTCTCCCGCTATTTTGTACGATAAATCATTATCCAATAAAACTGAATGAATCCATTCCTTTGTTGTTTTTTTAGTGTTTTATTACTCACATAAATCTTGCAATATGTTATCATATTTTTTCCTCAGATATTTTTAGTATTTAATTAAACATATTTCCAAAATGATCTTTCCCAATGAATATATTTCACTCTATTTTGATTTTATAAATATTTTTTATTCATAAAAATTTAAGTAGAAATATTTATTCTTTTTTAATTACCTTGAATGGATCATAGTATTAATTGCTATTTTTTTAGATTAGATCTTGCTCTTGTGGACTCATGTAAACAGACAGTGCCTCGTTATAGTTTTGATCTTAATAGATGAATGTGTCTCCTTCCCTTAAATTTAAGTTTTTTTCGACAATAGACTCGCCAAGATCACAAACTACAATCTTTAAATTAAAGCTTTAGCAAAAACATAACTCAAATATAAAAACTTACTCTATGCTCAAAAAGACAATTAATTTTAAATGGGCATAAACATTTAGTAGCAATACATGAATCATGTCTAAATAGTACGTTTTTAATCAACTTTCTTATGCATCCTTTAAATTATTCTTCTTTGAAATTTTAAGGATTTTCGAGCTTTGATCTCAAGAATTTTTTGAAAGATGTTTTAGGTTTCTCTGTCACAATTATGATTAGCTTTTTTAGATCTAATTTTTAAAAATTATTTAACTTTTTCCATCCATTTTGCAATTTAAATGATTTACATGATTCATTTTCATTTTATTACAAATCTATGATGTATGTTATTTTTTCTAACAATTGCAAGTCACAATATTCTGTAAGACTACTTTCCTCATCAATAATATAATTAACTTTGTTTTCCATTTCTTAGGAATGACAAACAATGACTTTCATACCTTTTTCTCCATCTCTATAACTTGCTATCTATTTTTAAAAAAATCGTCTTAAATTGGCATAGAATATTCAAATAAATCCTCCTTATTTTATAAAGTATTTTTCATCAGACTTGATAAATTGTGAGAATTGAAAATTTTAATTTATTGATTATTTTCTGTTCGATTTAACAACCTAACAAATACGATCAGAAAGCCAAAATTAATAGCTTTTACCTATAACCTTTTTCTTTTACTACATTTTCCTCAAAAATATCAAATCAAAAATATATCTGTAACAATTATATTTAAAAGCGCAAATAACAAAAAAAATGTTAGCTTGACTGAAAATAAAATTCATCTTTTAGATTTTAATTTAAAAAATATTTAAATAATCTAATAAAATTAATTGTTTGATTTTAGAAAAGTAAGAAATTAAGTGGTTTACTGACAAGTGATTTGTTGTATTTAAAGGATAAATTTATAAAAATATTTAATGAAGATTAATTAAGTTATTTAGTTAGTAAAAGAGTAGGCATTTAATTATATCCTCAATCAATCTAAGTTAGCCAAAATATTTGTATTAAGTAAATTACTAAATAAAATTTTATTTATTAATTTGTTTTTTGTGGGTAAAATTTGCATAATAAAGTGAAATAAATAAATTAATTTATTTTTAAATGTAAATGTGACTCAATAATTAGGAGTTAAATACTTTAAATATTTAGCTTACATTAAATTATATTCCTGTCGAGGTATACATAATATCTTCAAAATTATTTATTATTTACACTTTTTACTAGCTATCAAGGAATGTTTTCATTGTATCATAAAGTGCCTTTCTCTAATTTTGGTTAGTTAAATTAGTGAGCTACTCAATACCAATATTGAATGAGTAAACGTTTTAATCTAAATTTTGCTTAGTGCTTGGCAAAGATAATTCAAACTAATTTTCATTTTCTAAAGACTATAAAGAACCTTCATGATTTAAGAATCCCTTTTGATTTCTTAAGATATGCAAATATCCTTGCTCTTTATAGCTAGCGCTCTTATTAGAAAATTATAATTAAGGTAAAGGTGAGTTAATAAAACTATAGCTGCCAATATTGGGTTATCCTTATACACCAGATAAGTTTTTCTTTAATTATAATGGAGAATTCTCTATTTATTGCTTATAGTTTTAGTATTGTTACTTTTTCTCTCCTTAATTTTAGTTTGATGCTTCATTGTATGTTTGATCATTATCTAGTTTTTGATCAAATTAATTTTCAAATGATCCATTTTTCGTTTTTGGCTTGTTTTATTGTTCACCAATAAAATTATTTTCTATGCATTCATCATTCTTAAAAGTTTCATCGTCTTCTTTACTTTAATTTTCATTCGGAGCTAATATATTACTAATATCCAAAATAGATTCTAAAGTCATTGAATTCTATTATTTTGCTTTATCAGGTTCTTCACTTTCTAAAAGCTAATTCCATGGATCGTTTTCATCAGCTTTTTTATTGCTTTTCCCCTCTGCTTTACTTGTTTAAGATGGGATTGTTTCTTAACCAAGATCTTCCTTTTCCTGTTCTTTCATAATTAGGCTTTATATTTGGCTACCTTAAAAGCAATCAATTTATTTTATAAGCTTTTAATTAAATTACAAATTAATTGATATTTCAATATTTGTTTATACTGATAAGAAATTGATTGAATAATTTATTTATTTCTAGTAGTATTTGCTTAACATTTAATTTATTTTGATTTCCTAGATTATTCAAATGGAAACAAAAATAGATTATCAAAGAAAATCTTTTAATAGCATAAAAAAAAAACATGATATTATTTAATCTACTAATAAATAATTTAGCATAAGGTCATTTTAAAAATGATTTGTACTATGAAAAATATCAAAAATATTTAAAATTTAAAAAAAAAGGATAACAAACTATAAAAATTATTCATAATTCAATTATATATTGTTTAACCTAATAAAAAAGTAAAATTAATTAAGTATTTATAAAACCAGCTGACCAGTTATAGAATGAGCTGTCTATTCCTTCTTTATAATAAGTAAATATAAATAAATAAAAAAAAGATTTATTTTTATTTGAGGTGTATTCAATTATTTTTAATTATAATTTTAGATTTTTTAATTACAATATTTGTCTTGTAAATTTTAAAATTGTAATTTATTAATGATTAAGTAGAATAATTTAATTTAGAAATATAAATAATATATATCGAAGAGAATAAAATGAGTAATTAAATGTACTACATAGATACAAATAATCAATCGAATATATATTATCAAAATTATTTTAATTAATATTACGATCATTTATTAATTTTATTTAATATTTGTTTTTACAAAAGATAACCTGTTTACATAAATAGCTTACAGTAATAAATTTTAATCAAGCAAAATTTATTAAATCTATAAATTATAAAGTATAATCACAACATTGGTGATCACTCAAATTTATTTCAATATTATATTAATGTATGGAGTTATCAATATAACAAATAGTATCAAATACTATCAAAAGGATATTTTAACTCATATTACTTATTTTTATTAGTTTAGTATCATATTTGTTCATATATAAGATAATCTGATTACATAAAAAACTTACAGTAATACATTCTAAACATAAAAATATTAATTAAGTAAAGTTCTGAAAATAAATCATCAAAATGTTCAAATCTAAAATTTATTAATAAGTAAGTGCAATAATTAAATTTATTTGAATTACAAATAATACATGCCAATAAGTAAAATAAGTTTTACAAAGAAATAATAATTTTTAATGTACTAAATAATAACAAGTAATAAAAGACTATCAAAATAATTTTTTAGTTTTTATTCTTTTTTATTAATTTAATATCATATCATTAGTATTAAAGATCATATTTTTAAAGTAAGAATTTACAGTAATATATTCTAACCATATAAATAAATTTATAAATTATTATATAAATACATAAAAATAGAATGTATGCACTATAATGAAGATAAAACTAATTTTTAATACACACATAAGATTTATTATTGTTAATGCTTATTAATAAATAAAAATAATTATAAGAAAACTGGTTATCAAGTATTGATACATTTATTCAAAATTTTATGAAGTTTGCTAATATCAATTAATTACTTAATATAAAAGAAAAATAAATTTATTGAATATTTGACGAAATTAAAAATAAAAATTATTTACAAAATATTAACAAATAAATTTACTTTATTTTAAATGAATTTTTTTACTAATTAAAACTTCAAAATTTATATATTATTTTTAAACAATTTAATTACTAAGAATCTGATAAAACTAAATATTAATATTTTAAATATAATTTAACACAAAGTTTAATTTAAATTTTTATAGAAAATATCAATTTTAGAAGATGAGCAGATAACTAATAAGTGAAGTTAGGTATGAGTGAATATGTATGGATGTACGATTGTATGTAAGTATAAATATATGTAAGCTTCAATAATTAATTATATTGGATAACTTAAAGATTTTGTATATAGTTAATAGTATGGACAATTAGATGTGATAATTCTTATTTTTGAAAGTGTTTTTCTTTTATTTAATGTAATTAAATAGCTCTCTTACTTTATTAATTATATTATTTTAATTTTATTATTCACTATGTAAAAAGAGAAACTTTTCTTTTACTCATATTTTATATTTTCAGTTAGTTGACTTCTTTTAATTTATAGTTTATTTATACAGGTTAAAAATTAATGGATTGTCTGCAGAACTATTCAAGTCATTGCTTTTTTAACCATTTAGTTAGTATTGTTGGTTTTAAGATTTTATAAAATTATTAGATCTTTATGATTAAATTTATTAGTATAAAGTAGGCTTTTGCTACATAGATTCTTATTAAATATTTTCTTTTCCGTTTTCTAATTAGCCATTTGTTATTGTGGCAAGCTTGTCTTTTGATTTATCACGATCTGGCTTTTATTGTTTATTTGTCTGGCCTTTCTAATCCTATTCATCTTAACTCTAAGATGATTAATGAGTTGATTATTGCTCTTCTTAAGAATTATTCATATTATCTTACTATCTTTCTTTGATTCTCTGCTTTCTATTTAACGATAAAGAAAATTCCTATGTTAATTTTAGTATTTAAAAAATAATATTTACTTTTATTTCAGTAGAACCTCATATTTTTATAACTTTCCTGAAATGAGTTGTAACTCATCAACATATTCCTGCATTGTTTTATTGTATAATATTTTCATTGCCTAAAAGCATAGCTAAGCTTCTTATAAGTCTTAAATATATAAATAGTTTGATGATTCATCCAAATATTTTCCCACTTTTTGTCTTACATATTATGCAGTTTATCCATCTACCTCATCGAAATCGACCTATTCAGAAGAAGTAATTGGTCTTTAAGATCCATTTTTTTCATAATCCTCTAATCTCCTAATTTATTCAATTATAATATTTCATTTAAAAATACAATAAATTATCTCAAAAAATTTAAAATAATTATTTTATCATCAAAATATAATGATTTTAAGTAATACCTCTGCAGTTACTAGTTTTCTATTTGGAGTTATTTGTATGCTTTGTATATATCAAACTTTTAATTTTTTGAAACCTTTTAAATAAAAATAATAATTATTATTAGACTTAATTAAGATTAATTTGTTTTTTAATTTACTTCGTTTTCAATTTAGCCAACTCTTTAGGAGAACCTTAATGTAGATATTGTTTCATCATAATTTTCTAAATCGCTGCTTACGTTAGCAATCATAACAGTCATACAATTACCTCCAAGACTGTCTTTTAAAACAGTTGTCATAATAGAGTTTCTATATGGAATATGGATTCTAACTCCTTTTTTCATTTGATCATTCAAAGCGACAATGACCTTTTTATAATAAATTGAATAAAATTTCAAATTAAATAACTGATTAGTTTACTTGTTCTAAGAAACTTAGAGATTTGTTAATATGTTTAGCTTCATTAAGAAGTGTGCCTTCTACTTAGCTTTTAGAAATACGTTCAGAACCAGCTAAATCAACTAAATGTAACTTTGAAAGATATTAATCACCAGTTGCCTTTTCAGTTGCTTTATTAAATTTATGTATTCAATCTAAATATATTTATTGATAATAAATATTATTTTACCTTCTAAGTTAATTGTAAAAACACAATGCGAACGTGAGGAATTGTAATTAATGGGAGTTGAGCTCATCTATTTTTATTTAAAAAGAATATTTGTGGAAATTGATCATATGAGTCCAGTATGTTTTATGTTTAAATTAATTGATAGGATTATTATTATTAGTGTTGCTTATTCAAATTAAATCTAAACAGATCATAATAATATTTCATTCTAAATCTACTTGTTTAAATCTTGCATTAAAGATCAGAATTAATAAAAGCGTTTGCATAAAATTAAGGAAAATACTTGTAAGATAAATAAAATAATTGAAATTAAGAACTAATCTAAATTTGTAGTTAGTTTTGATTTATCTAATTTATATTTTTTAGTTTTATTCGTTTAATTTAATGATCAAAGTTATAAATAAGTCTTTAAACTAATTATCAATTTACCTTTTTGATGAAATTGCCTGTAATCATTTTATCAAAACCTTCTTATTCATTCTAAATGGGATGAATTGTGATATTTTTTAGATGAATGTTACCTTCATCATCCCATTAAAACTAAACCTTGTTCCAATTTTCTGGAGGTTCCTCTAAATGAGTAGAGTCCAAAAGATCATATGCATTATCGTTATATATTTCCATATAAGATATAAAGACTTTACAATCAAACCCTTTCTTTTGGTCTATTTCATCAAAAACTCCGCTAATAACTCTTGGGATTATACCTCTAAATTACCACTATTGTTACTCTATCAAATTTATTTTACAAAAAGAAGTTAAATTTTCTAAATTATCAAATTATTCTCATTTTTAAATTTTATAATTTTATAGCTTAACTCACTTGCGTATTTTTTTTAATTTTTCAAGTCTTATTTAATTCTCATTTACAAAAATAACTAATTTTAATACCTGAACCACTCATCGTGTATGTTTTACCACTTCCTGTTTATCCGTATGCAAATATAGTGCCGTTGTATCCACTTATAAAGCTTTTAATATATAAAATGATATTATCATGTTTGTTTCACATTTATATGGAGTAGAAATTAAAATCTACAAAATATATTGAACTATTCTAATTAAATAAAAGCATCAATTTATAATATTTTTACTTTTAAAGTACGGGATATGCTACTTTTTCATACACTTCTTCCTATCCTGCATCTTGATCAAGGATATCCTTGAATGAAAACTATGTTTATTCCTAAATTTTTTAATATAAAACATATTTAAGTTGATAGCCAGTTATTTATTATTGATGCTAAAAAAAGATAATAAAGCTAATAAAAGAAATTTATAAAGAATTACTCTGAAATTCAAAGAATAATAGCCAGATGTTTATAGAGGTCTGTTAAGTATAGTCAATTAATTATTATCTTCACTCATCTCATACTAAATCACGTTTCCTGATTAGCTTTTAATAACAAATAAAAGATATATATATATATTTTATGAATGAATACATGATTAATTCTATTTATATTAAATTTTCTTTTATGCTTGCTGCTTAGTTATGCAATTTAAATGTCATAAAACAAAATAAGAATGAATAATGGCTGGCAAACTGAATAAGAAATGCTGCTCAATCTAAATAATGTCTATTTACTTTGGTTTTATTCTCACATAAACCTAAAGCTGTGATTTCTCTTTTTGATTATACATGTTACCCTATTTATTAAATTACTTTGCTCTTGAATTAATTTGTAAAAAATTATTGCAATATATTACTGAAATTAATTAGTATTTGTTTAAGTTAGTGTGTTAAATTTCTTTTTATTTATAAAATATAATAGCGAACAGGTATTAATTTAATTTAATTAATATTATTCATTCATTATCGATTATCTCACAATTTTATTTTGTTTATCTAATTTCTTAATCTAAGTCATTCATTCATTGAATATTTTTTAATTTAATATTAATTTTCATAATTTTACTAATATATTTTGTTTGTTTGTTTGATCCTTTCTTTTTTATTTTTCATTCGCATTCAAATTACTTATTCATTCAAATAATAAATATAAGATATACAATAAATAAATGAATGAATATATTAACTATCTCATATTTCTCCATTAATTTGAGTTAAAATAAATCAGATTAATTAATCCTAACAACATATGTATTAGCATTCCGCTCATACGAAATATAATATAAGAAAATAAACCTGAATAAATGTTCATTATTAGTTGTTTTATTTATGGTTATAAATTCATTCAACCAAATTTTAAGATTTAAATTCCATTTTAATGCTCTAAATTCTTTATTTAGATTTATATGATATAAATTTCATTTTATAACCCACAAATATTTATTAATTATAAGATTTATTTACAAATGTAAATTTATGTAATCTTCCAAAATTTTATTTACTGTTAAATAATAATTACATGTTCTTAATTCTTAATTTTATTTATTAAACACATTATTCAGAAGTTTATTCAGTAAAATCTGCTGAAATTAACTACTGATAAAAGATTAAATTTACAGTTTTTTAATGGATTTTATTTTAAATTATTTGATTTTTTAAATATTTAATAATTGAATATTTTATAGACTTTTCTGATTGATCAAACAAAAATTTTGTTTGAATTATCAACAACGATAAAATTAATCCATTAATGATGTGGAATTTGATACATTAACCTTTAAATAGTTTTGAACAAAATTCATTAAATAAATAAATTCAATTTACTATTTATAGAAAGGCAAAATTTAAACGTATTTTTATATAATAAAATAAAATGAATTAATGAATGAATGAACTTATTAAGGCAATTCTGCTTTAAAAAAATACTAAGTGTATAATGCATAATATACATATGAATTTAATTAAGTTAAAAGAGTAATTTTATTAAGATTTTCAATGGGCTTTTTTGGTGAAAGTGTGATGGAGGAAATCTTGGACTAAGAGGGCCTTTATATTTTAGATTAAAAGAGTTTAAAAAATGATTATAAATTGGGAAAATAATTTGGTACAGTAATAGCGTGAGGTGAGACTCTGAAAATATAAGTAGGGAGACCAATCCATAAACCAGTAATACCTTCGGTGGCAACAGTCTAATTTGTTTTAGAATAAATTATTTAGAATAAAGATTTTGAATGCTTTTTTTTGTTAATTTCTTACTCTTCCCATGCAGTCAAATATATTCTTGTAAGGGAATTTGCCATCAGGACCAGCCTTCATACCTTGGAGCTTAGTTTTGGCATTATCGAAGGGTAAAGACAAAGTGGAGCAGACAACACCAGCACAGGCAGAGGCACTTAAGTTATTTGAAAAGAATTTTAAGTTATTTTTATATAAATTTGTATTTTAATTACGTGACTTAGGTAGACATGGTATCCTTGGTACCAGTGTATTCATTAATCATTTCCTTAATTTAGTCATAGGTGGTTAACATACCCATATTCATCTATTAAAAAAATAGTTTTAGTAAATTATTTTATGTGATAACAATTAATTGTTAATTACAGAAATAGCTCTGCAAATAGTGGGAATAGAACCTCTCCAGAGAGATAAAATACCTTCTTCTCTAACCATTCTGGTCAAGGCATCACCAACATGCTTGTAGTTTCTTCTTTACTCAGGGGGTAAAAGGGAGTCACGTTGGCATCTAACCAAGGAGACATCAGCAGGGTTACCAACTAAGCAACCAACGAAACCAGAGAAAGAAGAGAATAAAGCCTTTTCACCGAAAGTCAAATTACCTTTTTATAGATATTTTTAGAATTAATTAATTAATATTTTAATGCTTCTTTTTTTAATTAATTAATTAAATGCTTTCATATTCGTTACTATGCTATTTTTTTATTTATTTATTTATAAACTAAAGAAAGATATTTATTTATTTTAATTCTTAAAAACTGCTTTTTAAAAAAATCGATTTATTACGTTTGTGTTTGGCCTTGTGGCTATCAGAAAGATATCTGAAGAGACCAAGACGGGCTGTTCCGTAAGTAATTTGTCTGAGTAAGGCAGCATCCAAACTATTTTGTTTAAAAAAGACATTTTAAAATGAGAAATTCTTTCTTTTTTTCTTTTTCTAGATGTTTATGATTGCAATAAATAGTCGAGTAATGGCTGACAAAAAATGAAAAAAATATAAGAAATTCTTATTAATTTAAACAATTAACAACAGCCAAAGAAAGAAGAATTGTTGGAGGTGTATGCTAAATTGGTAAAAATTTGTTTAACTAAGCCTTAGAAATAAAAAGGCAAGTTTTCAAACTGCAATTAACATTGTAATGGAAAATTTTTGATAGAATATTAAAAGAATAACAAAATAATATTTGATTTCTCTTAATAATTTAACTATTTATCAAGGAAATAAAAGGCCATTTTTTTAAGGTGGTTGGTTGCAGATCATAGATAAGTAATTGCTAAGATGATTGAAAGATAAATGATTAATTACCCCTTGTATAAACCTCTGACACCTTCATGTTTAATGACTCTTTGGGCAACCTAGAAAGGGTTGGTAGAGAGGGCACCAGGGCCTCCCTTGGCATTAGTTTCACCAATAACTTAAATTTAGACCTTGACTGTGTCGATGGGTTGAATGACACTGGTGGCAACGCAACCAGAAATACCACCGAATAAGAAAGGCTTAATAACGTCGAATAAATCTCCTCCCATGTTTTTTAAATATCTAAATGAAATTTTGCTTTTATTAGTTTTATTAATTAATTATAAATTTTTTAATTTTAAAATAGTTTGATAGATAAATTGATAGATATCTTTTGAATATTTATTTATTTAATGTAATACTTAAGTTTATGATTGCTACTTAACAAACATACATACAAACAAATTAATTTTTCTGTCGTCTTAATGAGGCATTTCTCCTACTTAAAACAAAATGATAGTATTTACTTGATTCAGATTTCGTAATATATGTTAAAATTTATTTCGATATCTAATACGCTATTTATTGCATTTGTTACGCACTATTTTTCTAAGATGACTTAATCCTCCTTAACAACCCTTCAATTTCAATTTATTCGTTTTTCAAAAAAACTTGGCTTCCTTAAACAACTACACTTAAAATATCTACTTTCCTTCAATATTTTTCCAATTTTTTCCACTTTTTTCTTTTTTCTTTTCTTTCACCAATATTATTTTCTATGTAAAAAGGCCTAATTCCCCTTTCAAATAATAGAAATTTCCCATAAATTAATTATTCGCTTATAAATTATTGGCAAAATCTCGCTAATTTTACTCAAACCAATGCATAATCTAAATTATTTTTACAAATTATCTGATGGCATAATCTAAATATTATTTAAGGTTTCACATTGCGTATTATTTTTTTTATAAATATGTTTTACTAATAAATGCAGATAAATATTCTTTAACAAAATTTGCAAAATCAAGAAAAAATTATTGATTAAAATCATCATAATTTTCTTAAAAGATTTTTTTTTAAAGGAAATTTCAATGACTAATTCTAAATTGTTTTTTATTTATAAATAATCTTAAATCAAATATATTTTTTATAATATTTTACATTTTTCAAATCTTTAAAAAATTCAATATTAACATAATTAAATAAAAATTTTCAATCAAGAATTTATTTAAATTTTAAAAAAAAACATTTATTTTAGAAATTAAAATTTATTTCAGTTTTAAAAAATATTTAAGATGGATGATTTTTTAAAATAAATTAGCTCATAAAATATATTTTTTAATTTGAATTTTAAGCTATATTAAAAATATATTTTAAATGAAAAAGTAATAAAAAAAAAAATTAAATGAAATTTTAATTAATGATAAAAAATATTTTAATTTTTAAATATTTATATAATTTAGATAAATAAATATATAAATGTAAACCTAATAAATTTATTATAATTTTGAATTCATAATCAATGTTTAATTAGATTTATATAAATTACTTAATTAAATAACAAAAAATATTATATAAAATAACTCAAATAAAATGTTTTAGCTATATAATGAAAGATCTCTAAGCAATATAAATATCTTTAATTCAACTAGAAAGCTTATTATGCAAGCACTAAAAATATTCAACAAGCTGTACAATCCAAAATAAATGGTATCTAATATCATTTAAATATCTAACCCAAAATAGAATTAAAATAAAAGAAACTTAATATTTATGAAGATATTTTTCAAGAAAATGCTTAAAACTTAAATGGAAAAAAATAAATTATTAATGTAAAATGATAAATTTTAAATAAATTAAATAGTACTTTAAAATATGGCTAATTTATTACTATTTTAGGACCTTCTAATAATTATTTAATAAACTTTATTCATTAATTTTAGTTTTTTTATCAAATAACAAGTCAATTTTTTTAATTTTTAATTTGCCTTGTCATACTCATTTAATTAATAAAAGTATTCTAATCTTAATTCTACTTAATATTTTTTACTCTATTTAATTTAGGTACAGAAAAAAATACATAGTCTAATTAATTGTTGGAAGACTGTAGATAAAAATATGAAAATTTCTGGTAGTTTATTACTGAAAATCCAAGAAGTCACTGAAATCGAGGACTAATAAAATTAAATAGCATGTGAAATACAAAATGATATTCTTCTCTCCTCTTATTTGTAAATTTATTTTCAAAAATGTATCCATATAAATTTATTTATTGTAAATTTTTAATGGAATTTTATAAAACCTTCGTTAGAAAAATCAAAAACAATTTCCTTCATAAATAAACATAAAATGAAGATATTTATTTGTTTTAATATTATTCATATATTAAGTATGGACAATGATAAATACTGTAAAATTGTGTTTATCATATTTTATTATCATCATTTCTAAAATTAAGTTTATAAATTTTTATTCACTGTAAGTTAAGTTATTTAAAATAAATAGTTTTTTGTAATTAATTTTTTTTGGGTATTTAAAGGTTAATTAATTAAATTTTATTTGCAATATTAAGATAAAATACAGTTAAATACTATGAAAGCACTTTAAATTACTAATTAAATTTACTTAATTGCTTTTAGAAGCTAATCAAAGAACTTATCATCTGTAAATATAATTGTTTAAATACCAAAATGTTAATTAAGTATGTTAATTAAAACTGATTCATTTTATCTTAGAATTTCAAAAATGATAGTTTCTAGTATTATTTTTATTTGAAAGGAAATATTTGTAAGTAATGAAAGTAAGTAAGTAAATTAAATGAAATTAGAATTATATTTTTTTAGGCAAAATTCAAGAAAAAAAATTAACTAGTGAATAATTAAATATCTTTTATTATAAATTTTGATTACTTATAAATTAATATATATATAGATAGATAGATATATGATATACTTTTCAGCTACTGCCTGACTTTTTGATAAATTGAATTTTATGTAAAATTTCAATTTTAATTTCTAAAGAATTGCTGAATTTTGATAATAAGTATTTTTTTTTGATTAAAATAGTTCTAAAAAATTAATTAATTAATCAAAATGCCAAGGAAACCAAAGTATATCCCAAAAGATTATGAGAATGAGTAAAGAGTGATTGAATAAATAAAGAAAAAGAAAAGATTAAATTACATGGTAGTTGTTCCTATCAACTATAATTTTGTTAGCGAATATAAATTTTGCTTTTCTGGAGACTTGGTTATAAATTTAAAGTGGTTTAGTGAAAAGAATTTGCGATTAAGCGAAAGTTATGATCAGTCATTCAAAGGAATTAAACAACTAACAAATTTGATTAATGAATAACTTATAGAGTGTGAATACTACTCAAAAGCATTTCAAGTCAACGATTATCAGCCTATAATATTTTCTCTTGAAAGTATTTCTTCTTAAAGTACTGAGTAATTAATCAATCGCCTTAAATAAGCACAAGAAAAGTGCTATTATTAGAAAATACTCGCAAATCAACTCTTTAAAAGAGGAATAAATTTATAGTAATGCTATGTTCAAGCGAAGCAAAAAGCGAATTAGATATTAAGTTAATTTAATACTTTAAACCTTCCAATTACTTATGCTATTTAGTAGTACAATCCTTAATTCAATTAACTAGAGAAAACTTATAATGGTGCAAATTATCAATTTTATAAGATATATACTGATCAAAGCAACTCAGTAGATAGAGTTCGTAACAAAACAACTTCCTTTTACAATTCTATATCAGACATGTGTCTTCTCCAAGATCCATATACAATCGAAGATGATGCTAGAGAAATGGTTGTTACAACAGTAGATGGTGTTCTCATGAAAGTTCTTAACTTGCAGAAGAATATTTTTATTCTTCCATTTTATTTTTTCATATTAAAAATCAGAATTGTAATTTTTGATTCAGAAGATTTACAAAAGTTGAACCAATATCGAAAAACTAATGTACTTTAATTTCCTCTATAGCAAGGATTTGAAAAAGAAGAATTAATTTATTAAACAAAATCTTCGCAAGAACCTGATTACATTGATTACTCTCCAAATTACGATACAAAAGGATACTTCACAATTTAGCATTAATCCTATTTATAAAACTATTTACAGAAAAACTCTGATGACGAATCATATTCTGAAAACCTCATTTTACCTATTAAAAACTCAGAAAATTTGATAATAGTACAAAGCAAAAAATTCGAATCTATTTGGACAAATTCCTCAGAATCAAATTAGCAAGAAAATCTTCAAAAAAAATCTTCTAAAGTTTTAGATTTTAATAATTCTTTTAGAGTTGAGATGGCAAAACCATCTATCCACGATGAAACTATTAGTGATTTGCAAATCGAATCTACTTAAGTCTTATTTAGCGAAACATAAAATAAATACTTTTATGACGTTGTTCCCATTCTTAAATAGATTCCAAATAAAGAATACACGCAGCCCAATATATCTAATTAGAATGAAATGTAAAAATTCATCTCTAAATTCTATCCCAACGCTATCCTTTAAAATAAAGTTTTGAACTATCAAGTTGATTGATACATTTAAATATAAAGAAAGAATACATTTGATTAAATTGATTTGTTTAGTTGATTGTGTTGAAGTTTCAAATATTCAATATTGAAAAAATTGATAAGTAAGCAATTATTTATAAATTCGCTTGAATACTTTCTAAAATAGAATATACTAAATTAGTAAACATAAACTGTCTAAAATAACTAATAAAACACTTGAAATAATAAATTTTATCAAAAATAAAAGATTTTATTCAAAGAGGAGGATCAAATTTAATAAATATTTAGCAGACACTTTAACCAAATCACTTAAAGGATAAAAAACAGTGGAAAATTTTATAAAAAAATAATTGAAACCCTTGGTTAGATTTAAAAGTATTATAATAAATGTAAATAATTTAATTATTTAGAATTAATTTAAAAAAACAACTTCTAAAAATAATAAAATAACAAACTATGTATAGACTAAATATTGTTAATTACTAACAGTATAAATATTAAATTATAAGTTATAAAAATACATTTTTTGATAATACAAAATAAAAAATTTATATTTAATAACTAAATTAATCACAAATCTAATAATTTGTATTTATCAATATAATTAATTTCCTCTATTTATATATGTTTTTAAGTATCTAATATCCTAAAAATTTAACAAAATAATATTTAAAAAGCTTTTAGAAAACATATTTATTATATATATAAATTCTGATTACATTAATTTACTTAATATATTTATTAATATATAGTAGCTTTAATTAAACAAAAAGACATTTTATCTGATATTTTATTTTTAATAATTAATTGAAAAAGAATAAAATATTTTTTAGTTTTTATAAAAAATGAAATTTAACAAGCATTTAAATTTTAAAAAATAAAAGAAAAAGCTTGTTTTTTTTGATATTATCTTGATTGCCTTTAGCGAAGCTATTTATTAAAGTTTTTAAAGGGATAAGATGATTTACATGAAGATTATACTCTCGTAACTTAGAGTTACAGTCTGAAATTTACAATTTGTGATGTTAATAAATAAATGTTAAAGATTTAATTAAGGTGATGATAATTAAATTTAGAAAAATATCTTTAAAATTCTGATTAAAAGATAATCTGCCTGCTGACTAAGACTTTAAAGTAGCATTAAAAATAAGAAGAAAAAGAAAAAGAAGAAGAGATAAATAATAATAATATTTTTTTAGTTAATATTAAAACAAACTCTAGTAAAAGTTAATCAATCAATTTATTTATTTAATTTACTATGCCGCGTTCTAAGAAGTAATAAAAAATTAGACAGAGAAGCTGGATTAATAAAGATGAGGAAGAACAGTGTTACAATATTGTAATGAAAAACCCTATCTTTTATAAGCAGCCTGTTCACACTCATGGGAAAGTAGTTTTATACGGTGATGTGATAATTGATGTCAACTCTTTTATTCAAAATTAATCCTACATTCCCAAACTATAATTAGGCATCTCAAAAATAAATAAAATAGTTAAATTGCTTAATGAAAAGCAAATTATAATATACACTGAGACACTTTGTCCTTAATTAACAGATTTTACATCAATAATCAATATTCTCAAATCACTATCTTCCAGCGAATCGTATTAATTAGCATAGTAATTAGAAAAACATTAAGAGCTAACAAATCGTTAATTGAAGCTTTATGATGACAAAAAAGAATCTAATTAATAAATCGCCTTGCATTACGATCCAGAAGTTCTGCTAAAGAAATGCCAAGAAATAGTTAAACAAAATTTAGATTTCGAAGGCTAAATCTTTGCCTTTAATCTTTATACTTTTGATCCTGACAAAAAGAGATTAAACAGATATTTAGCTACTCATGATGTTAAGCTCTTGTTGCTACTTTGTGATGATGAAGAAGAACTCAAAAGAAGATTTTTAAGCTATAAAATTAATTAGCCTCAAGGGAACATGAATCAATTTATAAAAATTCAAATACCAATCATAGATAAATAAGTAGAAGAGGAAATAAAAATCTACACTTTTGATAATTATATCATCAACTCAAAAATTACTTAAGTCTGTATAAAGCTAAGTGAAAATTCTAACAATATCCTAATGCTAAGAAAGTACAATTTTGAACCATAGGATTTGCAAGAATTAAAGAGAGTTAGGTAACTAAAAAGACAACAACACCAATAAATTGTCACTCAGCTCCTTCTTGAGCAATCTTAGAATTCTTGTTCACAATCGCAATTAACAGAAAATTTGTTTACCCACGAATCATAATCATTCTCAATCTAAACGTTCTTACAAAAATTCGAAGATAATGAAAATACAGATTGATTTCATTAATATTATCAAATAATGATTAATTAATTGAAAAATGTAAAAATTTTTAATCAATTGAAGTAATGAAATAATGAACAAGTATACGAGCAAATGATTAATTGACTTACTTACTTATTTGCTAATTAATTAATTGATTTGTTTATAAAGAGGATTGAAAAATTAAATCACAATTAACTAATTTTGTGATAATACTTAATTCAATTACTTAATCGTTATTAATTTTGAAATCAAATAATTTGACGATAGAAAATAATTAACTTAATGAATGAATTTTTTCAAATTACTTACTTTAATATTACAAATATAAATAAAATTATAAAGATCTACTAATTAATACTGATTAACTCAAAAAGTATATATATTACATCTAAGGCTATCAATAATTATAAATTCTAAATGATAATATAAATAGATATATATACTTTGATAATACTGAAGATAATCGTTAAATAGAGCATACAAAATCAATAAAATATTTATCTTACTAAATACTAACCTTAATTTCTAAATATTTTAGCATGAGCAATACAATTTTTTAAATTGTGCTTAAAATATCAAACAAACATTATCTTCTCTTGTGAAATATCATTTAATAGTTACTTATTGTCGCTTTGCTAAAATTAATTAAAAAAATCTGAATTTTCTTGGTAATAATAATTAAAATTATAATAAAGTAACTATGTATCTATCTATTTAATCAATAAAGATGATCTGATTAAATTTGTAATCAGAAAAAATTAATCATTATTACAATCAATAATTTTGATCAACAGCATCTAATCAAATTTAATTTTTACAACTCTGATATTAATTTTAGAGGTTGTAAATAAGAATTAGTTTTAAAAGTATCTAAAACTTAGATTTTACCAATAATATATACCATTAATTATATTTAAAAAATTACTTTTAGAGTTTCTCTTTTATTTAAATAAATTTATTAGCAACTAAATAACTAAAAAACTAACTATCTATTATCTAAAATTTTATAAATAATTTTTGTTTTCAATTAGAAAATTTATATGATAAAAATAGTTCTTTTTTTTTGCAATAACTTCATTAATTGTTTTATTTATACTAAACTATGGAGATTTCTAACAAATTCAAAAACAATAATTTATAATTAAGAAGAAATTAAATAACTAATTTATAAATAATTGAATATATATTTATATTTTTTTCATTATTAATCATACAAAAATATCAATTAAAAGATTAATTTTATAGTTTTTGTTGTAAAAATAAATAGATTTGGCTTTATTGTAATTATTTTTAATATTTTATTGATTATATTACTAGAAATATCTTTTAATTATGATTTATTTAGTTATTTAATATCTTGAATGGGGAAGGCCTAGTTCATAATTTTAGTTTTTAAAAGGGACAACTAATTTTTAGAAAATTTCAACTAAAATTTAAGATAAATTTAAAAAATTAATAAAACCCTGTTATTTTTTTTAGAGATAAATTATTGTTATAAATCTTAAATTTGCTATATTTTTTTAAAAATAATTGATTTAAAATATAATTTTTCGCACTTTATATAAAGTAAATTTATTTTATTTAAAATGAACTTAAATTGAAAATTCAAAATGTAAATTAAAAATTCATAAATACTTCTATTCTTATAACATGTTAATAATATAATTAGAAATGTTTGTTTGATTATGAATAATCAAAAGTAGACGTTCTTCTTATTAGAATTAATTTTAATTAATTAATATCTTTAGAAGTTAATTGTAGAAGTCATACAAAATAACTATTTATAATACAATTTAATTAAAGTTAGCATATCAAATGGAGATTGAAGAGCAGAAAAATATAAATAAAACAATGTAGCCAGAAGATTAAGCTCCTTAATCAAAAATAGACGAAATCAAGAGAATGGTTATGTTAAGAAAAACTTAGAGAAAGATACCAGCTTAAATTCTCAACAGGAGATACAAAAAGTTATAATAAGTAAGTGCCAACTTCATAATATTAAATTTTAGTGTCTCAGAAACAAAAATTAAATATTTTTAAATAAAATAAAAAGTTGATAGAAGAAGATGATTTTTTTAGTGAGGAAGCTATAAAAATGAGACAAGTAATATTTAAATTAATAATTTAATATAATATTTTATTATTTAAAACAGCCTTTACTTTATTATCTCTATTGCGGTCAATATTTGAAATAATAAGCAGAGAATTTTAGTGAATTATCATTTGCATAGTTTTTAGAAGAGTTGATGATGAAAGAAGAATATAGACAGCAATTAGAAGACGAATATAACGCATCTAAAGAAAAGGATTTGCTTCCAAAGGTAATTTTTATTATATAAACAAAACTCTTCGAAAAATTTTGAACATTCTTAATAAACGTTATTATGTATAGAGGATGATTTATGATTAAACTATTAGTGAATAAGAAAGAGAAGATTATGAAGATGAGTTGATAACGTTCATGCACAATTAGTTTTTAATTGGAGAAGAAAAAGATCACTTTAATTATGATGAGATTGATAATGACGAGTAAAATTCTATCTTAAAAAATAAATAATTTACATTAAGAAATTTATATTATTAAAATAAAGAAATTTAGATGATAGAAAAATAATTGACTAAGATCAAGAAGATAAATATTTCGATGATGAAGAAGAAAATGAAGTTGATCCTAGCAAATCTGAATATACTGGTATAGAAGACTATTGAGCAAAAAAAGGAATAAATAATAAATTAGAAATATTATTTAATAAACTAGCTAAAGTATTAAATAGAAAGAATAAGTAAGCCATATAAACATACTTATTTCTTACAATTAATTGATATATATATTTATTTATATGAGATAGAATATTATAAAAGTTTTTTTGTTAATTTATGTTGAATTTTATATCCTTTTAATAGTTAAAAATGATTGATTATTAAAAGGGATTTCGAAGATATTTATATCAATAAATAGTCAATTTAATCTACTTAAATATTTTTATCTTTACTAAAATAATTTAAAATGAATTTTTTAATTTAAGAATTAATAAAATTTCTAATAAAATATTTTATTCCTTGTTTATAAAGAAAAAAACAAGATTAAAAACAGGAATTTAAACTTAAATCTAAGTATTTAAATGCTAAGAAAGAAGAAATAAAAATTTAATGATAAGAAGCAAGCCCTTTACATAAGTAAAAAGCCTGAAGATAATAAAAATTAAATGTCTTACAAATATAGTTTATCTAATCAGCCAAATTATTATTTTTTAATTCAAATTTTAGGCAAATATGATTAAATCTTTTATTAAATGAAAAAAATTATATTTTTTAAAAAGTATTGTAAATTAATTCTTATTTTTTATATTGGGAACATTTAGATTAGTATATTATGTAAAATAAAACTTTATTAATTATTGAACTGGTAAAAAAAATTAATTTTTTATGAATAAACTTAACTAATATTAAATATAACAATCAAAATATGATCTTTTATGGATGATCGAAAAATAGAAATATCTTAAACATTTTAACATATGAGGTTAGTTTAATTTAAAGGGTAAATACTTAGAAGGAAGGAATAAATTTTTTGTAGTGAAAATATATTTTTGCAAAGCAATAAATCTATTGATTAATTTAATAGATTTAGTAGTTACAGAAGATTTAATTGGTTTTATTATTATTCAGTAACTTATTATTCAATATGAGAAAATAACTCAATCAAAATATCTTTGGAGTTAATTATTGTTATTAAAAAGCTAAATAAATTAATTGATAAATTAAAATTTCTAATGTGAAAATTAAATTTGCAAAATAAAGTACTTTTGATTAATTTATCAGATTTAGTTGCTTTTGAATATTTAGTTGAAATTATATTTATTACAATAATTTATTATTTAATATGAGAAAATAGCTTTAAGACATTTACTTCAACATTTTTATTTTATTTATTAATGTTAATTATAAAGATGAATTTATGGATGAATTAAATTTATTGGAATAAAAATGAAATTTGAGTTTATATTAATCCTACAAGTTGATAGATGATTTTATTATGTTAATGGAAATAATAGTACGATTATTTTAGGTAATGTATTTATAATTATGCTGAGGAAATTTAGAGTAATGCTGGATCTGATGATATTGGATAAGTATCATTTAAATTTAATAACAATATTTTTGGTAAAAAAGATACTTTTTTTAAAAAAAGGTAATAGCATATGACTATTTTCGGCTGAGAAAAGCAATACATTAGAATAAAATTGATATATAATTGACTAGATAGATCAAATTCTTATTTTTTAATCATTCAAGTGTGTTTTTTTTTTTTTTATGCAAGAATTTAAAAATAAAGCTAATAAATTTGCAAGTCAGCCAGCAAATTAATTAATTATTAAATAAATTAAATTGATTATAAAATAATTAGAGAAAATAATAATAATAATAACAATTATTATTAATCGCATTAGAACTATATTTTTATTGTCATTATTTAGGAATAGAAGAAATAAGAAAATATTTTAGGTTTTAAGTGATAAATGAGTGTGTAAATTTAGAAATATTTAGCAGATATTTCACCTAAGTACGAGAATGACTTTATTACTTTTGATTAGTTTAAGGAAATTATAAATTAGATGGCTAAAATCGATAGCAGATGTGAATTCAATGATGAAGTTATTCAGTAGTTATATGATTTTGTTTTTTATAAGTAAAATGGATAAGTTTGTTTCGGGGCTGTCGTAGGTCTGACCTTGGAAATACTTAAGGAGAGAACTAGCTACACTCCTGCATAAACATAGGAATTTGAGGTTTAAAATCCGAATCATAAGACTTTGTGGTAACAGGTTTTACTTGTTATTGACTAATTGACCAGTGACACTTTACATCAGATGAAGTATATTTATGAGCAGTGTGTAGAAGATTTGTATTCTAGTTAAGATGGAGACAGTGATGAGGATGGATTAGGGAAAAAGAAGTCTATGGATCCCACTAATGGAGTTGATCTGGACTTTATTGCCTAGAAAGTAGAACAAATGAACTCCTTGAATTAGAGCGAAAAAGAAAATATTGATTTCCTTTTCAAATGCATTTAGGATGATTAAGGCAGAGTAACGCATGCCAGTTTAGGTGACTTGATGAGCTTGTTAGAGTAATATTGGATCAGTTTAGTTTAACAATAAGCAGGAGAGAGCTAGTAAGCTCAGTCAAACAGAGGAAGTACAGTTATTTAAAATACTTAAAAGGTGAATAGCTTGACTAGACTCGAAGATGATGATGACTAGCAATCTAAAAATAAGAAGGATGAATAAGACCAGTAAGATGAAAGCAAATAATATTATAAGTACGATTATATGCAAGATCTTGTTCACAAAGTTGATCAGTTAAAGTAAATGAAGGGACAGAAAAGTTCATTTTATGAAATAGTGGACGACATGTTCAATAATTTGTTGCTGCTAGGCACGAAGTTGGACTCGTATGAAATGGAGTTAGAATAGTAAACGAAGAAGAGTGCAAAATAATAAAATGAAACGATGAAGCTAGAATAAAAAGTAACTTATTTGGAGACAGAAATGAAAAGAGTGATTGAATATAAAGATGATCTTGAAGCTCAATTTGATGATTTAACAAAAGAGTATGATATTTTAGAATAGAAGTATACAATCAAAGAGTAGACAGAGAAAGAGAATCAAAAAGCATTGGAGAATGTTTCTAAGTTAGAAACTCAATGTGCCTAATATAGCAGAAAGCAAAAAGAGCTCGAATAGAAGAATGAGTAGCTCAAATTAGAAAATGCAGATTTAAAATAGGAAAGTGATAAAATGTATGGTTTGTTTTAATAGGCTTAAGAAGAGCTAGATTAGATTAAACAGCAGCTTTCATAAAACTAAACAACTCAAGCTTTAAACAATTTCGAATAGCAAAATAAAAACTAAACAGACTAAGTACTCTTGCAGAAATTAAAAGATGAAAACAGGGCAATTTAGATGAAGTTGCAGATCTTAAACGACGAAGCTAAAAAGTACAAGCTTTAATTTGAAAGCAGAGAGGAAGAGTATTAAGAGCTACAAAGAGTGCATAAATAGTTAATGGTACAATACGAAGAAGCTTGTATTGTAGCCAGAGACAAACCCTTAAGGTTATTCAATAATGATGGTACAGGCAGAAAATCAACAAGATATTCAATAAAGCCTTTATCTGGTGGTTTTGGCAGACAATCTGTCAATAAATAAGCAAGACCTTCAATTCAATTTGGCAATAATAACAAAACTAGCTTAATAGGATTTGACAACAATCAAAACCAAGATCAAAATAACAGAATTTCCTTCAATTACTCCACAAGAGGCAGCGTCTTCAACGAAGAAATAAAACAATCAAATGGAAATAACTTTTATCTCAATAGTGAAAACTCAATTCGTTCAAGGTAAATTCTTCAACTAAAATTAATTAACAATATAATATTGTAAAAAACAAACATTTTAGAAAATAAGCAAATAAATTTTTTGAGTCTTGATAAAATAATTAGTAATAATAATAATCACAATAATTTGCTGCTTTAACTAAGTTTTTCCTAATTTTTAAGTCATTTGTAGACTAAATTTATTCTTCCTTTTCACTTCAACTTTTACTAATATTTAAAAAAGCATTTATTACAGAAAATACCAACGTAGAAAAAGAAAATAAGAATAAATTTATAAAATAACATCAAGCAACATTAATTAATTAAATAGATTTAATTTCTTTATTTAGGTTTTTTGAAGCAAATTATTAAAAAAAAATATTTTTTAATTTAATTCAAATAAATTTTAATTGAGTTTAAAAATACAAAACATCCAAAAAATATTAAAACTCTTCATTTATTAAAGTTTAAATCATTTAACAAACTTATTTATTCTAAAACATAAGCAAACATTTATTAATTTTATTCATTTATTAATTTATTAAATTAGTTATTTGCTTTTTTATTGATTATTTATTTATTATATTTCATTTAATTTATGATTTATATTTTAAATAATTGTTTGTTATTTAATAGTGTTATGAGCGGTAGATAGTCAGTTAATTTTGATAAGTTTTGGGACCAGTTCTAGAATAGGATGAGTATTGCTAATTAAACTGGATAGCTTTAAAAATAAACTTCTTAAAATGATAATTAGCCTGCTTCTAGTCAAGTGCTTGATCCCAGTCATCCTTAATATTACGCTAACTTTTTAGCCTTTGATGAAAATGAATTGTATGCTAGAGACTTCTTAAATTTGAGAGATCATAAGAAAATTCAATAAATTTTAGATAAATATAGTGATGTTGATAATCCAAATGAGATGAAATGCTTTAGTGATTCGATTTATAGGATTAATAACTCTAATGAGAGAGAAAGAAGAATTTTATTTGCTACTCCTTATAACATTTTTATTTTGCACCCCAAAACTCACAAGGTAATTCGTAGAATTCAAATAGATAGAATTACTAAGATTACTTTTTTGAATAAATCTGCTTACTTATGTGTTATTAGTATCAAACAAGAGTATGATTATCTAATTGAAACCTACAGAAGAGCTGATTTTAATATGTTCTTGATGTAGACAATAAAGGAAAGATAGTTAGCTCCTTATAAAATATAATTCGCTGATGAGATAAATATTCAATTCAGAGGAATCAAAGATAAAATTAATATTGGATAAATGGACGAAAAAACTCTGCTAAATAGATTCTAAGCTTCATTTAAATCTGCTCAAATGGTTGGTTTCTTAGAAATTTGCAAACATAACTGGATCAAAGACTTCTTTTCCGAGCCTTGGAAGGAGTACTTTTTCGTCTTATCTAATATTGGATTGGTAAGTTTTGCCAAACCAGGTGATTCCAAGCCCTTACTTTTCATTCCTATAAATGATGCATTAGTAATAAAGGACCCAGCTGGCTAAGAAAAGAAATTTTGCATTAAAATCTTCTATTAAAACTCCAACTAACACTACATTCTCGCTTGCTAAAGCAAAGCTGACCAAGACAAATGGCTTGACTCGATAAGAAAGGTTATCTATCAAAGTGTAAATATTAATGCTAAAAGAGACTAAATTATGAAATCCCAATATTTGGACCCTAAGGATGTCATTTAAGAACAAGATGATGAAAATTGAGTTGATTTTTTCTAAAAATAAATCAAACTTACTTTCTAACCAAATCAAATATAATCAATAATAAATAGATAGATTTGCTAACAAAATCCATTGGCTTGGCATATTTTTTCATTAACAAATTGAATTAATTTAAAACATTATTTACATTAATATAAATTTATAAATAAAAAACACAATCTTAAATAATTATAAAAATAAATGTTTATTTTTTTTGTAATTTATTTTCTGAATTTCTAAAAAAAATTAAATTACTAAAAAATATTAATTATTTCCAATTTTTAAAATTAACAACTTATTTGCTTTCTTTATTAGGATAAAAATTAAATCTTAAAATAATTTTTGAAAATTATTATTTTTTCTAAATTAACTTTTTTATTTAATGATACTTGCATAATTCATAATTTAATTTAATTAATTGGTGTTATATTAAAATATTAAAATACAACCTAACACTAATAATATTTATTGTTTATTTGTTGTATTTGTAAATATCAGTATTATTTTTGGCAAAGATAATTTATTATTCAATCAAATTTAAATCATTTATTTGTTATTATGTATTAAAATAATAATAATAAATACCAATAAAATCAATTAGAATAAATCATAATACATAAAAATAAGTATTATGCATTTTATTTGAATTGTAAAAATATTAATTGGATACTAAAAATCTAAACTAATTTAGATATGTATGAAAAAAACACAATTAATTATTGATTTAATATATAAGGAAGTGTTTATTGGTTTTTAAAAAGCTCTCTAAATTCCTAATATTTTTTAAATCAAAGAATTTGAACTTAATATTTGTTTTTTTGCGTATTTTTTTAATTGAATATAATTGAAATTTCAAATTTATTTTTAAAGATTGATGGATTAATTAAGCCAAAGTTAATATAAAATAATACTAGAATTTTAGAATAGGTTAAGTTAATGTAACAATTAATAGAAATAGCTGCAAATAAGAGAGGCTAACATTGATTAAAATACAGGTAATTTGTTGATTTATTTCTTCATATTTATAAAATTTTATTGAAATTATTTTTTTCAGATGAAGATGTCTCCAATAGCTGCACTCCTGAAAAAGTTCTTCAGCCTGTTATGCTTAAAAGCAATTTAAAATAAATAAATTAAAATAGTTACACTAAAAAACCTTTAGAGGCATTTAAATGTTAATCTTTTGCAGAACATTTGTATTAAAATAGCAATCAAACTGAATAAAATAGGCAACATCAAGGCTTAAACGAATAATAATATGCTACTTTGAGTCCATTTTAATAATATTAAGTTGTATAAAAAGAAAGAAATAATTAAGAAATACAAGACACAATAAACGCTAGCTTTAGTTAGAACTAAGCTAGACAAAACACTTAGCAAAATTAATTTTTATTCCAGCAGAAACTGCAAACACAGATAAATTATGAAGACGATTAAAATGAGGAAAATTGTCAATTGAAAACACAGAAAGAAATAGGTTAATTTAAACAGTTCGAAAATTAAAATAGTAGAGAATTTGAAAATAATTAAAATACTAATGAAGATGAAGATAATGAGTATAAATAAGTTCTATCTAGTGAAAGAAAATAAAATTTATATGTAGTGTGGTAGTTAAACTAAAAAAGAAGTAGGCAATATTCTTTGTAAGAAGAATAGCTGCAAAAAATAGTAGATTAAGAAGAATAACTTTAGAATAAAACATTTTAAATTCAATCTGATTATCAATAAAGTAAAGAACAAGAAACATATTAAAACAAAAGTGTTAGAAATTAGCAATAAAAAATATTTGATTGCGATTTAAATGCTAAAAGAATCAATCAAGCCAGTCAATAATAAGAATGTTATTAAAGGTTCATTGATGTGGACAAAGAAAATTATATTCCAAATACAAATTTATAAGCTGCAAAAGAACAATTGCTTAGAGAAATAAATGAAAGCAACTAAAAGGAGTAATAGGCAGCTAATTATAAGGTAAATTAACAAAATGTCTTACAATCGAGAGATTAAAGTCTCAAATCTACTAGCTAATTTGGTAATCAAAATATACCAACTAATCGTAGTAAGAGAACTTTTTCTGTAGAAAATGTAGCTAAAAATTAAATCAGTCAATAGCAGCCATTAATTTAGTTCAAATAATTGTCAAACATGGACACAATTTAAGGATAAAATTAAATGAGCCATCAGGTTTCTTTTGGATAGTCTTTAAATATAGAACAAGCAATTAAGCAAGATGTTAATGTAAAGTTTGAAGTAAAGAATGCATAGAAATCAAGAATTCAAGTTGCAAGCATTAAAGAAATAGAAAAGCTTATTACACAATAAGATAATCATCCCTCAGAGTTAAGTATAATTCCTTAGCAGGAATTTTCTTCAAGATAGCCTTCTTAGAGAAACTCTTCTTAAAAAAGCTTGAAGAAAAATTAACAAAGTGTCCAGTCTAGCTAATTAAAATAGTTGCCTCCCAAATCAGCCAAAAATGGAAGGTAAAAAAAATTATAACAATAAATCTAATTTAATTATTTGAAATAAAATAAAAAAGTTAATTGAGAAAAACAAAAGCTGAAAAACTGATCAAAGAAATAAAAAATAAAAAAATAAGCTAAAAAATCCTCTTAGAAATACTTTAAGAGCATTTAAGCGAGTCTGATTCGATCTTATAAAATTTTGAATAAAAGTTAAAAAGTAGATGTTTTATATAAAATTGATAAAATAATAAACTTATATAAACAAAATATGTAAATAAAAATATAAATTATATATATAGAGTTCTTTATTTGTCTGTCTTATTTATTTATTTTTGCTAAATATAATAAGTCATTTCTATTTATTTTAATTGCCTCTTGAGTTATAATTTTTTAGAGGGTTGTTTTCATACTCTTAAATCATAATATATCAAAGTTAGAATTATCTATTTTATTATTATTGTAAAAATATTAATTAATTGGATAATAAAAATCAAAGCAAATTAGATATGAATGTATTGAAGCACAATTAAATAATCTTTTGTTATAAAATTATTTGATTAATTAGTAAATAAAAAGGGCTGGCTCTCCAAATTCCTAAGACTTTTTAAATCAATCAATTTAAACTTTCTATTTGTTTTTTGTGTATTTTTTAATTGAAAATAATTGAAACATAAAATTATTTTCAAAAATTAATGTAATTAATAAAGTTAATATAAAATAATTCTAAGATTTTAGAATATGTTAAACTAAAATAATAATTAAGAGAAATAGCTGTAAATAAGAGAGGCAAACATTGATTAAAACACAGGTAATTTGTTGATTTCATATTTATATAATTTTATTGAAATTTTAATTTCAGATGAATATATCTCCAATAGCTGCGTTCCTAAGAAATTTCTTCAATCTTTCATGCTTAAAAGCAAATTTAAAAAAATGAATTAGAATAGTAACAATAAAAAACCTAGAGAGGTATTTAAATGATAACATTTGTAAGAAAATAGTAACAAATTGAACAAAATAGGCAGAATCAAGGCTTAAATGAATAACACGTGATTTTGAGTCTATTTTAATAATACTAAGTTGCATAAAAAGAAGAGATAATTAGGATACATAAGACACTTTAAATGCTAGCTTTAGTTAAAACTAAGCAAGAAAATAAACTTAACAAACTAATTTTTATTCCAACTGAAACTTCATTGCAGATAAATTATGAAGATCATTGAAATGAGGCAAGTTGATATACAGAAAGAAATAGGTTAATTTAAACAGTACGAAAATTATAATAATAGAGTGTGTGAAATTAATTATTAATAATAATGTAGATGCCGACATTGAGTACAATTAGGTCATATAAAAGTGAGAGAAAATAAAATGTATATCTAATGTGGTAGTTAAACTAAAAAAGAAGTAGGTAATATTTTATGTGCGAATGCGATTTAAATGCTAAAAGAATCAATCAATTCAGTAAAGACACTAATTTGTAAAAGTTGCAAAAGAATCAGAGAGATAAAACAAAATAGCTAAAAGGAGTAATAGATAGCCAATATAAGATAAATTAACAAAATTTGTTGCAATCAAAAGACTAAGCTAGAATAATCCCTAATTTGATAATCAAAATATTCTAACAAATCGCAAACTACTGAAAACTGATCAAAGAAATTAAAAATAAGAAATAAGCTAAAAACCCTCTTAGAAATACTTTAAGAGTATTGAAGAGAATTTGATTCCATCTTATGAAATTATGAATAAAAGTTAAGAAGTAGATGTTTTCTATAAAATAAATTTTTTAAAAACAAAATATATAAATACTTATATTAATTATATATAATAGAGTTCTTTGTTTGTCTTTCTGTATTTTTTATTTACATTTGCTATATATAATTTATCCATTTAGATAGGAGTCTTGTATCTTTTTAGTTTGGGCTCTCTTACTGCATGGGTTAAAAATAACCCTATATAATTTCTTATTATAGATTTATTGAATATTGTTTAAAAAATAATTAAATATATTAATAATAAAATAATTAATTAATTACTTTTGTATCGAAATTAAAAAAAATCAATATTTTAACAATATAATCTTAGCTTTAATTTAAATGAAGCAAGAATAAGATTCAAGCTCATTAAATGTGTTTTAAAAGCTTGCATAGCAATTAGAATAAAATAAATAGTTTAGAGTCATCCATATAGATGAATAAAAAGGATTATTTGACTAAATTATCACCGCAGAGAATCTCCTTTCAAAATCTCATCATGCAATCAAAATCATTTCCATTTTTGATGGCATAGATTCAGTTTCTTAACAAAAACTATAAGATGCCAAAAAATAAGCATTATTTTTGAAAAATGTTAATCATTAAAACATAATCAAATACTTTGATGAGTTTTAAATTGGCTTTAACTACTTTATTGTCATGGAAAAGTATGAAAAAGATCTTTATCAATTGATTGAAGACTTCAAAAACCATGAAACCGAAATCCCAAAACACCTCTTAGTCAGCTTTGCTTATTAGATACTATCTGCTATTAAACATCTCAAACAATAAAACAGAGTTCTTATAGATCTCTCCTTGAGAAATATCTTGATAGACAGTCAAAATCAAATCAAGCTATACGATTTAGGTATAGCGAAATAAGAGTAGGAAGAGCTCACCTCTTCTTTTATTCTCACAGCATTTCTCAAAAGATCTCTCTTTTATTATCCTCCTGAATTACTAGGAGAATTTGAAATGAGCGGAGAATTGAATAAAAAGAATAAATTAAAAAATTTCTTAGATGCTGATATTTGGGCATTTGGAATATGTCTATATGCTCTAGCAGGAGCCTCTTAATAAGAATTATCCTCAATTAAATCAAAAGGATACCAAAAATTGACATCTCTTGATAAGTGTTTGAATTCAATCCTTTCTTAGATTCTTACTTTAGATCCAAACTAAAGGCCTAGTATTTTAAATATATTAGATTTCTTTGAAGATATGAGGAAGTAAATATGGACTTCTGATGATTCAGCAGATCTCTATGAGCATTTTTTGGAGAAAATGAAGGATAGTTAATGGTATTTGTCATATCAATTTATTAACATTTGCTGTCAAATATAACAAAAAAACGAAACTTATTGGTTTTATTTAGGTTATACATAACATTAATTAAATTTTTTAAGTGAGGCTATCAAATCATATTAGAAATGCCTAGAAATTAATCCTAAGGATGACATTTGCTATTATAATTTAGGAAAAGCTTATAAAGAAAAAGACTTACTGGATGAGGCTATCAAATCATATTAGAAAAGCATCGAAATTAATCCCAAGGATGATGATTACTATAACGGTTTAGGAAGTGCTTACAGAGCAAAAAGCTTACTGGATGAAGCTATCAAATCATATTAGAAATGCCTAGAAATTAATCCTAAGAATGATAGTTGTTTTTATAATTTAGGAAATGCTTACGATGATAAAGGCTTACTGGATGAGGCTATCAAATCATATTAGAAATGCCTAGAAATTAATCCTAAGGATGATATTTGCTATTATAATTTAGGAAATACTTAAAAAGAAAAAGGCTTACTGGATGAGGCTATCAAATCATATTAGAAAAGCATCGAAATTAATCCCAAGGATGATGATTACTATAACGGTTTAGGAAGTGCTTACAAAGAAAAAGGCTTAGTGGATGAAGCTATCAAATCATATTAGAAATGCCTAGAAATTAATCCTAAGGATGATATTTACAATTATAATTTAGGAAATGCTTACGATGATAAAGGCTTACTGGATGAGGCTATCAAATCATATTAGAAAAGCATCGAAATTAATCCTAAAAATGATAGTTGCTATTATAATTTAGGAATAGCTTACAAATTAAAAGGCTTACTGGATGAGGCTATCAAATCATATTAGAAATGCCTAGAAATTAATCCTAAAAATGATAGTTGCTATTATAATTTAGGAATAGCTTACAAAGAAAAAGGCTTACTGGATGAGGCTATCAAATCATATTAGAAAAGCATTGAAATTAATCCCAATGATGATGATTACTATAAGGGTTTAGGAAATGCTTACAAAGCAAAAGGCTTACTGGATTAAGCTATCAAATCATATTAGAAATGCCTAGAAATTAATCCTAATAATGATATTTGCTATTATAATTTAGGAAATACTTACAAAGAAATAGGATTACTGGATGAGACTATCAAATCATATTAGAAAAGCATTGAAATTAATCCCAAGGATGACGATTACTATTACAGTTTAGGAAGTGCTTACGATGATAAAGGCTTACTTGATGAGGCTATCAAATCATATTAGAAATGCCTAGAAATTAATCCTAAGGATGACATTTGTTATTATAATTTAGGAAAAGCTTACAAATCAAAAGGCTTACTGGATGAGGCTATTACATCATATTAGAAAAGCATTGAAATCAATCCTAAGGATGACGATTGCTATAATAGTTTAGGAAGTGCTTATGATGATAAAGGCTTACTGGACGAGGCTATCTAATCATATTAGAATTGCCTAGAAATTAATCCTATGGATGATAGTTGCTATTATAATTTAGGAAACACTTACAAAGAAAAAGGCTTACTGGATGAGGCTATCAGATCATATTAGGAAAGCATTGAAATTAATCCTGAAAATGATAGTTGCTATTATAATTTAGGAATAGCTTGCAAATCAAAAGGCTTACTGGATAAGGCTATCTAATCATATTAGAAATGCCTAGAAATTCATCCTAAAAATGATAGTTGCTATTATAATTTAGGAAAAGCTTACAAATCAAAAGGCTTAGTGGATGAAGCTATCAAATCATATTAGAGTAGCATCGAAATTAATCCTAAGGTTGATGCTTACTATAACAGTTTAGGAAATGCTTACAAAGTAAAAGGCTTACTGGATGAGGCTATCAAATCATATTAGAATTGCCTCAAGATTAATCCTAATTATAATAGTTGCTATTATAAATTAGGATAAGCTTACAAATCAAAAGGCTTACTGGATGAGGCTATCAAATCATACTAGAAATACCTAGAAATTAATCCTAAAAATGATAGTTGCTATTATAATTTAGGATTAGCTTACAAATCAAAAGGCTTACTGGATGAGGCTATCAAATCATATTAGAAATGCCTATCACTGAACCCAAATAATAAAAATTGCTAGAAAAATTTAGAAATAACTCAAGGCAAAAAAAAATGATAGAAAAAAAATATATATTAGAAAGATAAATAATTAATTATTATTAATACTTGACACACAAAAATATAAGCTATGCAAAAAAAATTATATATATATATATAAATTTTAAATTAAATTTTATTTCACATTATATTCTTTAATTATTCTAAGATATTATCTAATATGAAAGGTTTAATTCAAAAAGTTTTTTAAGAATTCTTTAAAATTAACTTTATAATTTTTAAATTTTAAATTAATTAAATTAAATCAATATTTCTACAATTAAAGTTTTATATTTTAAATTAAATTTTTATGTCAAAAGAATTAAATGAAACTAAAAATTATAACTATATTTTGAGTAAATTATGATAAAAAATTAAATTATAACTTAGTTTTAATTAAGATCATACTTACAGATGAAAAAACCATAACATATTAGGAGTTAGAAAATTTTTAATACATTTAAAGAAAAAACAAACTGTAAATATTCTTTAATTATTTTTATAGAGTATACTTTTTTTATTTCAAAAATTAATTCATAATCACTATATTTCATATAGATCATATGCTATTTATGGTAGATAATTTTTTGAATATTATTTAAATATTTTCTAGAAAGCTATTAAAGATAATATCTATGATTCAACTTTTTTAACTAATTTTATTTTTTTCGGATTAGTTATCTTCTTAATAATTTCTCTATTAGATTAGTTAAAAATATAACCTTTCATTATTCTTTCAATAAGTAATGAAGGTAAAATTGATATATTTTATATATTTAAAAGAAAGTTTGAGTTAATTTCTTCCTAGTTTGTTAGAAATTCTTGAAGATGATAAAAGCATTCTATATAATAATACTAAGGCATAAAATTCACTTTTATCTTTTTTTTTGATTAAAGACTATTTATTATTTTATGTAATTCATAGAAGTCTTCACAGAATTTATTATAGCATTTCACATTTTAATTTTGTGTAGAGACATCATAGTATTAAAATCCTTCATTCAAGTTCAACTCTATTTTTTTAACAAATTTTAAATCAAGTCTACAGAGTTGCTCATTTATATGTTACAATCTTTCATGTTACTTAGAAGAAAAAACTTTGACAGAAGATTGTGCATCAATAATCAAAAACAAAAATAGTACAAAATAAATTGAATTCCAAATTATTATCAGCAAATTATTCACAGAAAATATGTCTTAATAGAAATTTTAGTTGTTTTAAAAATCAAGCAAAACTTTGTTTATTCCTACAAATACTATAAACAAAATAAATCTTATCATCTGAGCAATAAAATTTATTATTTAATATGTCTTATTGAGATGATAGCTAAATCGTAAAATACATTTGTTGAATAGAATACTGAATAATACAGCACAATGATAATCTTTAGTTTAACTTAAAAAGGCTATGCTTAAACACTAAAAGGCTATGATAATCAAATTACAGAAAATTAAGCTTATTAAAGGACCACTATAAAAATAAGATGTCAAAGTTAAATAGTAAGTAAAAATTGTTGTAAAATTTTTTGTTATTTTTAAAGCATATTCTTTCAAATTTTTAAATGTAAAATCAAATTCACTAAATTGACCATTAACATCACTTATAATAGCTGACCATATCGATATAGTTGAAATATAAAAAATAATTTAGAATTAATAATTAAAATAAACCAATTATCTGTAATTTAAAGGAATTGTTTATTTTTGTAATAACTCAAGGTTAAAAAAAAAAAAGAATTAAGCAAGATTCTGAATAATTCTAGCAAGAAAAAACCTAAATCTTAAAACTAGTTAAACTTGGCTACTCATTTTATCAGCAAAAATAGGATAAATCCAACACATATTTAATATATCCAAAACAATAAAAATTGTTTTATAAATATTTTATTAGACGCATCCACAGTAAATTAAAAATAATTTATCGAAGCTAAAAATTATCCAGTAAGTATAAAAGTAGGATATTTCACTACTTTAATAAAATTTAATGCTGAATACAATATTAAAGATATCAAAAGAGTAATTGAGTCCCAAAAAAATTGTTGTAATTACTATATGCTTCTTGTAAGCAGTAATATCTTATAAGAAATCCATTCTATATTGCTTGTTTTTTAGTTTATTTATTTTAAAAAGCATTGTATTTTTACTTTTTCGCTCTTATTTAATTTACTTTTTAGTTTGTTATTGAAATTAATATTTTTCATTAAAATATATAAAAATGTGTTTTAATGTAAAAGAAATACTTTTGTATAGAAAATAGATTTTGCAATAAATTCTTAATTAAGTTTTTATAGCATCTAGTTAGTTAGTTAGTTAGTTAGTTAGTTAGTTAGTTAGTTAGTTATGTTGACACTTTAACTTATTCAAAAAATATAAAAGAAATAACTATAAGATTGAAATTTGAAAATAGTTATTGCATAGGAATTACTTGTTAAAAACTATTAAATTTATATATTATGTTAAATCATCTCCTTAAAGTGATTATAAAAGTGCTTAAAGCTTTGAAAGCAAAAAGAATTTTTCTAGAAGCTTAGCATAGCAATTAATTTGCAAAATAATTGATTTGACTAAATTTATTTCATTATCTACAAATAGAATTTTTCTATATAAATCATTTAAATATACTCTTTAATTAAATAGAGCAAATTACAAAATTCTTATTAAATATTTCTAATTATTATTTAGAATAAAAGAATTTTATTAATTAAATATGATTATTTCTTAATCTATCTAAGAAAATTTCTATATAAATTAAACCTTATATAAATGTGTTTTAATGTAAAAGAAATATTTCTGTATAGAAAATAGATTTTGCAATAAATTCTTAATTAAGTTTTTATAGCATCTATCTAGTTAATTATGTTAACACTTTAGCTTATTCAAAAAATATAAAAGAAATAACTATTTGATTGAAATTTGAAAATAGTTATTGCATAGGAATTACTTGTTAAAAACTATTAAATTTATATATTATGTTAAATCATCTCTTAAAGTGATGATAAAAGTGCTTAAAGCTTTGAAAGCAAAAAGAAAATTTTTCTAGAAGCTTAGCTTAGCAATTAATTTGCAAAATAATTGATTTGACTAAATTTAATTCATTATCTACAAACCTAATTTTTCTATATAAATCATTTAAATATACTCTTTAATTAAATGCTAAAGTTTCTAGAGCAAATTGCAAAATTCTTATTAAATATTTCTAATCATTATTTAGAATAAAATAATTTTATTAATTAAATATGATTATTTCTTAATCTATCTAACAAAATTTCTATATAAATTAAACCTTTCAATCCCAAGCTATAATTAAGAAAAATAATACTTAAAAAGATCTAAAATATTAAAAATAAGTGCTTAAAAGCTTATTCCGTAAATCCTCATAAATTAATTCTCTCCAGCAAACATAAATTTTCACCATATTTTCTGAATATAATTTAATATGCATCACATAATTATTAGTGGATGCTTATTTATAGTGATGTATAATAAATTAAAATCAAAGAAGAGTCTGATTAATAAAAATATAAATAAAGTCTAGCTATTATTTTTTCGGCATGTTGTAAAACTCTTTTTTCTTTATATTGTGCTTGCTTTTTTTTTGTTCTTTCTTTGTTAATTAATTTATTAACTCATCATTTTATTTTATACTTTTACTTTTATTACTAATTAATCTTATTATTTCAAATTTTTTTTTCATTTTTTCCTTCCAATTAACTATTTAATGATATTTTTTTTCTTCAAATTTAAAAAGTAAAAATCAAATTGGTGCAATTGGTGCATTAGACTTAGGTTCTGCTTTAGCAAATTGCATTAATCTCTCAAATTTGACACTTCATCTTAAGTAAAAACAGTTTATTTATTTTGGATTGTGATATTTTTAATTATAAAAACTAATTAAAAAAAATAAAGCTATTGTACTTGCTTTTTTTAGTTCTTTATTTGTTAATTCAACTCATCATTTTATTTTCAATATTGCTTTTATTATTAATTAATTAATCTTATTATTTCATATCTTTTCTTCATTTAACTATTTAATGATATATTTTTTCTTCTATATTTAAAAAGGTCTAATTTAATTGGTGATGAAGGTGCATCAGGCTTAAGTTCTGCTTTAGCAAAGTGCATTAATCTCTCAAATTTGAAGCTTAAACTTGAGTAAAAACAGTTTATTTGTTTTGGATTGTGATATTTTTAATTATAAAAACTAATTAAAAACAATTAAACTCTTTTTTCTTTTTCTTTTTATTGTGCTTGCTTATTTTTGTTCTTTCTGTGTTAATTTAACTCATCATTTTATTTTCAACATTGCTTTTATTATTTATTTCTTATTATTTCATATATTTTCTTCATTTTTTCCTTCCAATTAACTTATATTTAATGATATATTTTTTCTTCAATATTTAAAAAGTAGGAATTAAATTGGTGCAGTAGGTGCATCAGGCTTAGGTTCTGCTTTAACAAATTGCATTAATCTCTCAAATTTGACACTTCTTCTTAGGTAAAAACTGTTTATTTATTTATTTTGGATTGCGATATTTTTAATTATAAAAACAATAAAGTTCTTTTTTCTTTTTTTTATTATTGTACTTGGTTTTTTATTTTATTCTTTATTTGTAAATACAACTCATCATTTTATTTTCAACAAAATTAAGTAAAAACAATAAAACTCTTTTTTCTTTTTCTTTTTATTTGCTTGCTTTTTTTTTGTTCTTTCTTTGTTAATTTAGCTCATCATTTTATTTTCAACTTTTGCTTTTATTATTAATTAATTAATTAATCATATTATTTCATATTTTTTCTTCATTTTTACCATCCTATTAACTATTTATTAAAATAATTTTTCAATATTTAAATAGTTAAAATTAAATTGGTGCAGTGGGTGCATCAGGCTTAGGTTCTGCTATAGCGAATTGCATTAATCTCTCAAATTTGACACTTTCCCTTCAGTAAAAACAATTTATTTGTTCTGGATTGTGATATTTTTAATTATAAAACTAAATAAAAACAATAAAACTCTTTTTTCTTTTCTTTTAATTGTACTTACTTGCCTTTTTTTCTTCTTTATTTGTTAATTTAACTCATCATTTTTTTTTCAACTTTTGCTTTTATTATTTCATATATTTTCTTCATTTTTTCTATCCAATTAACTATTAAATGATATATTTTTTCTTCAATATTTAAAAAGTGACAATTAAATTGGTGTAGTGGGTGCATCAGGCTTAGGTTCTGCTTTAGCGAATTGCATTAATCTCTCAAATTTGACACTTTACATTGGGTAAAAACAGTTTATTTATTTGTTTTGGATTGTGATATTTTTAATTATAAAAACTAATTAATTAAAAACAATAAAACTCTTTTTTCTTTTAATTGTGTTTGCTTGCCTTTTTTTCTTCTTTATTTGTTAATTTAACTCACCATTTTATTTTCAACATTTGATTTTATTATTAATTAATTAATAATATTATTTCATATTATTTCATCATTTTTTCCATCCAATTAACTATTTAATGATATATTTTTTGTTCAATATTTAAAAAGTTTTAATTAAATTGGTTCAGTGGGTGCATCAGGTTTAGGTTCTGGTTTAGTGTATTGCATTAATCTCTCAAATTTGACACTTTACCTTCAGTAAAAACAGTTTATTTATTTTGGATTATGATATTTTTAATTATAAAAACTAAGTAAAAATAATAAAACTCTTTTTTCTTTTTTTTTTTATTGTGCTTGCTTTTTTTTTGTTCTTTGTTTGTTAATTTAACTCATCATTTTATTTTCAACATTTATTTTATTAATAATTAATTAATTAATCATATTATTTCATATTTTTTCTTCATTTTTACCATCCTATTAACTATTTAATAAAATAATATTTAAATATTTAAATAGTTACAATTAAATTGGTGATGAAGGTGCATTAGGCTTAGGTTCTGCTTTAGCGAATTGCATTAATCTCTCAAATTTGTCACTTGAACTTTTGTAAAAACAGTTTATTTGATTTGGATTGTGATATTTTTAATTATAAAAACTAATTAAAAACAATAAAACTCTTTTTTCTTTTTCTTTTTATTTGCTTGCTTTTTTTTTGTTCTTTCTTTGTTAATTTAACTCATCATTTTATTTTCAACTTTTGCTTTTATTATTAATTAATTAGTCATTTTATTTCATATTCTTTCTTCATTTTTACCATCCTATTAACTATTTTATTTAATAAAATAATTTTTCAATATTTAAAAAGTGGAAATTAAATTGGTGCAATGGGTGCATCAGGCTTAGGTTATGCTTTAGCGAATTGCATTAATCTCTCAAATTTGACACTTAACCTTAGGTAAAAACAGTTTATTTATTTTGGATTGTGATATTTTTAATTATAAAAACTAAGCAAAAACAATAATACTCTTTTTTCTTTTTCTTTTTATTTGCTTGCTTTTTTTTGTTCTTTCCTTGTTAATTTAACTCATCATTTTATTTTCAACTTTTGCTTTTTTATTAATTAATTAATAATATTATTTCATATTTTCTCTTCATTTTTTCCGTCCAATTAACTATTTAATGATATATTTTTTCTTAAATATTTAAAAAGTAAGAATTAAATTGATCCAGTAGGTGCAACAGACTTATGTTCTGCTTTAGCAAATTGCATTAATCTCTCAAATTTGACACTTGACCTTGACCTTAGGTAAAAACAGTTAATTTATTATGGATTGTGATATTTTTAATAATAAAAACAAATTAATTAAAAACAATAAAACTCTTTTTTCTTTTTCTTTTTATTGTACTTGCTTTTTTTTTATTCTTTGTTTGTTAATTTAACTCATCATTTTATTTTCAAAATTTATTTTATTATTAATTAATTAATTTTATTATTTAATATTTTTTCTTCATTTTTTCCTTCTAATTAACTATTTAATGATATTCTTTCTTCAATATTTAAAAAGTAGGAATTAAATTGGTGATGAATGTGCATCAGCTTTAGGCTCTGCTTTAGCAAATTGTATTAATCTCTCAAGTTTGACACTTAATCTGTAAAAATAGTTTATTTATATTTGATTTCGATATTTAATTATTAAAACTAATTAAAAACAAAAAAGCTGTTTGAATTTATTTGATAACTTTTATTTGATTTATTTTTTTATCTTTTTTATTCCTTCCACTAATATTATTTTATTTATTAATTTAAGAAATTATTTTTATTTTAAAATTTTATTCGATTTGATATTTATTTAAAATTTATTTAGCAAAATGAATGAATCTTAAGAATTCAAATTTCTAAGCAAGTGTCTTAAATCAAAAAGATTAGTTGTCTTAAACCAATAATTCTATTGATAAACAACTGGCGAAAAAATGATGAATAAATGTTATATAAATGTTTAAATAATTGAATATTAATTATTATATATTTTATTAAATAATATTTTGAAAAAATTTTTTTAACCTAAAATATAAATAGTTAGATAGATATATTTTATTATTGTATTTTTATTATAAACATCATTCATATTTTTATAAGGAGATAAATTATGTTTAAAAATTAAATTTACTTTCATAAATTAATACCTCTTAAGCAAACCCTCTGTTTTCTCCAAAAACGATCAAATAATTTAAAACTTTTAATGTTATATTTTATCTTATTAAATTATATAAATGAAAAGCTTTTATATGCAAGTTATATATTAATCTTAAATATTATCCATGCATGAATCATATTTCTATCCTTTTTTTATATCATGATTAATTAGATACCATGATTTCAAATAAACCTTAGGGAGAAATCAAATTTTTATTTTTATTTTAACTTTTTTGGTTATTCATTCTTTTGTCAAACAAGTCTAATAAAAATTTTTGTAAATACCTCCCTCCCTCCCTCCCTCAATATTATTTATTTATTATTAATTTTTTCATAATAGTTTTAATTTAATTTTGTTTTATGTTTATTTTTTGGAAATTAATATAATATAAATGATTAAATTATATAATTAAAATATATTTAAATATTCAATATAAATATTTGATTGATCAATTAATCAATAGTAATTAATAGAAATTTATTATCAGAATATTTAAAAAACAATTTTGTAACAATAATTTTATGATACGTTCGTTATTTTGATGTAAAATAATGAATTAATTTATGCTTGCTAAAACTAAATTAAAAATGATTGAACCTATAAATAAATAAATTTATTATTATGACTCATTTGGTAATTTTTTTAAACAAAACAATAAAGTAATAAATTAATTTTTTAATACATTTAAAGAAAAGCTAACTAAAATTATCCTTTAATTAATTTTATAAACTATACTTTTTTTATTTTAAAAATTAATTAATTCATTATCACTATATATCATGTAGATCATATGCTATTTATGGTAGATAATTTTATGAAAATTATTTAAATATTTTCTCGAAAGCAATTAAAGATAAAATTTATGATTCAACTTTTTTAACTAATTTTATTTTTTTCATATTCGTTAACTTCTTAATAATCTTTCTATTAGATTTATTAAAAATATAGCCTTTAATCATCCTTTCTAAAAGTAATGAAGCTAAAATTGGTATTTCTTTTAGATTTAAAAGAAAGTTTGAATTAATTTGTTCCTAGTTTGTTAGAAATTCTTGAAGATGATAAAAGCATTCAAAATAATAATACTAAGGTAGCAAATTCACTTTTATCTTCTTTTTTGATTAAATACTATTTATTATTTTATGTAATTCGTAGAAATCTTCACAAAATTTATTTTAGCACCTCAAATTTTAATTTTTCGTTGAGACATCATAGAATAGCAGCACTTCATTCAAGTTCAACTCAATTTTTTTAACAAATTTTAAATCAAGCCTACAGAGTTGCTCATTTACATGATAGAGTCTTTCATTTTACTTAGAAAAAATTACTATTACAGAAGATTGTGCATCAACAACCAAAAACAAAAATAGTAAAAAATAAATTGAATTCCAAATTATTATCAGCAAATTATTAACAGAAAATATGTTTTAATAGAAACTTTAGCTGTTTTAGATATCTACCAAAACTTTGTTTAATCCTACAAAAGCTACAAACAAGATAAATCTGGTCATCTGAGCAACAAAATGTATTATTTAGGATATTTTACTGAGATGATGACTTAAAAATAAAATATTATTGTTGAATAGAATATTCAATAATACAACAAAGTGCTAAGACATCACTTTATTTTTACTTAATGAGTCTATGCTTAAATATTAAAAGGCTATGATAATCAAATTACATAAAATTAAGCATATTAATGAGCCACTATAAAAGAAAGATGTTAAAGTTAAATAGTAAGTAAAAATTGCTGTAAAATTTATTGTTATTTTTAAGGTAAGCACTTTTAATTTTTTAAATTTATAATCAAATTCACCAGAAACATCATCTACTAAAGCTGACAATACCGATATTGTTAAAATATAGAAAATAATTTAGAATTAATAATTAAAATAAGCTAATTATCTGTAATTTAAAGGAATTATTTATTTTTGTAGTAACTCAAGGTGAAAAAAAAAATGAATTAAGCGAGATTTTGAACAATTCTAAAAAACAAAAACCTATATTATAAAGCTTATTAAACATAGTTAATTGTTTTATCAGCAAAAATAGGATAAATCCAACCAATATTTAAGATATCCAGAACAATAAAAACTGTCTTATAAATATTTTATTAGCAACATCCTTAGTAAATTAATAATAATTTATCTAAGCTAAAAATTACCCAGTATGTATAAAAGTATGATGTTTCACCACTTTAATAAGATTTAATGCTAAAAACAATATTAAAGATATCAAAAGAGTAATAGAGTCCCAACGCAATTATTATAAATACTTTATACTTCTTATAATAAATGATATCTTATAAGATATCCATTTTAGTTTACTTGTTTTTTAGTTTATTGTTTTTGTAAAGAATTGTATTTTTACTTTATCACTTTTATTTATTTAATTCACTTTTTAATTTATTATTGAAATTAATTAATAATTTTGATGATATATGAATTCAATAAAAATATATATAAATGTGTTTTAATATAAAAGAATTGTTTTTGTATAGAAAATAGATTTTGCAATGAATTCTTAATTAAGTTTTTATATCTATCGTCTAGTTAATTATGTAGATAGACACTTTAATTTATTTAAAAAATTGGTCAATAAATACTATCGCATTGAAGTTAGAAAATATAGCAATTTATTTATTTATATAAAAATACTAGATCAAAGGAAATAATTAATCAAATAGATAATTATTTTATTACAAAAAATAAATTTATATATAAATTTTTAATAGAATAATAAATAGTAATAATTATAATTAATTATTCTTTATTTAGATTTTAAATAAATAGTGTGTGGATTCAAAAAAATTAATAAAAATTATAAAAAATCTGCTCAAAAAAAAAACAAATTTTTTTTATTTTAAAAATTAATTCATCATCGCTATATATCATGTAGATCATATGATATTTACGGTAGATAATTTTATGAAAATTATTTAAATATTTTCTCGAAAGCTATTAAAGATAAAATTTATGATTCAACTTTTTTAACTAATTTTATTCTTTTCCGATTAGTTATCTTCTTAATAATTTCTCTATTAGATTAGTTAAAAATATAACCTTTCATTATTCTTTCAATAATTAATGAAGGTAAAATTGATATATTTTATAAATTTAAAAGAAAGTTTGAGTTAATTTCTTCCTAGTTTGTTAGAAATTCTTGAAGATGATAAAAGCATTGTATATAATAACGCTAAGGTAGAAAATTAACTTTTATCTTTTTTTTTGATTAAATACTATTTATTATTTTATGTAATTCATAGAAGTCTTCACAAAATTTATTATAGCACTTCACATTTTAATTTTTAGTAGAGACATCGTGGTATTCTAATCCTTCATTCAAGTTTAACTCTATTATTTTAGTAAATTTTAAATCAAGCCTACAAAGCTGCTCATTTACACTTTACAGTCTTTCATTTTACTTAGAAAAAACTACTATGACAGAAGATTGTGCATCAATAATCAAAAACAAAAATAGTACTAAATAAATTGAATTCCAAATTATTATCAGCAAATTATTAACAGAAAATATGTCTTAATAGAAATTTTAGCTGTTTTAGAAATCTACCAAAACTTTGTTTATTCCTACAAAAACTATAAACAAGATAAATCTAGCCATTTGAGAAATAAAATTTATTATTTATGATGTCTTACTGAGATGATAGCTTAAAAATAAAATACTATTGTTGAATAGAATATTCGAAAATATAGCTAAATCAAAAGGAACATCTTTATTTTAACTTAAATAGGATATACTTTTACACATAAAGGCTATGATAATCAAATTACAGAAAATTAAGAATATTAATTAACCACTATAAAAGAAAGATGTCAAAGTTAAATAGTAAGCATAAGTTGCTGTAAAATTTTTTGTTATTTTTAAGTAAAGCACTTTTAAGTTTTTAAATTTATTATCAAATTCACCATAAACATCATCTGCTAAAGCTGACCATATCGATATAGTTAAAACATACAAAATAATTTAGAATTAATAATTAAAATAAGCTAATTATCTGTAATTTAAAGGAATGGTTTATTTTTGTAATAACTCAAGGAGAAAAAAAAAAATGAATTAAGCAAGATTTTGAACAATTCTAAAAAAAAAAATCCTATATTATAAAGATTATTAAACATAGGTACTCATTTTATCAGCAAAAATAGGATAAATCCAACCAATATTTAAGATATCTAGAATAATAAAAATTGTCTTATAAATGTTTTATTCGCAACATCCATAGTAAATTAACAATAATTTATCTAAGATAAAAATTATCCAGTATGTATAAAAGTATGATATTTCACCACTTTAATAAGATTTAATGCTAAACACAATATTTAAGATATCAAAAGAGTAATTGAGTCCCATAAAAATTGTTATAATTACTATATACTTCTTATATTTAGTAATATCTTCTATGTATTCCATTCTAGTTGCTTGCTATTTATTTTAAAAAGAATTATATTTTTACTTTATCACTCTTTTTTTATACACCTTTTAGTTAGTTAGTTACTTATTGATATAAATAACTTTGATTTTATATGAATTCAAAAGAAATTTATAAGAATGAGTTTTAATGTAAAAGAATTGTTTGTTTTTATATAGAAAATAGATTTTATAATCAATTCTTAATTTAATTTTTATATGGTCTAGTTAATTTGTAGACACTTTAATTAATTCAAAAAAATAGGAAAATAAATAGCTATTACATTAAAATTATAAAATAGCTATTACATACATACATACATACATACATACATACATACATACGTAGATACTCTTGATTTATTTAATTATGAATTATTTGTTAAAAACTATTAAATTTATGATACTAGCTAAATAGATTTAATTATCTATCAACTAAATTTCTATATATAAATCATGTTAATAGACTCTTTAATTTAATATTAAAGCATCGACTACAAATTACAAAATAGTTTAAAATATTTCTTACAATTATTATTTATAGCATATACAGATTGGTTATTTAAATAAAAGAATTTTTTTAATTAAATATTTTGATTTCTTATCGAAAATGTGTAAAAAAACTTTAATTTTTAAATATATATTCTTATCTTTAAACACACTCTATATAAATAAAAATAAATTTTTTCTTAATATAATTATAATTAAATTTGTATAAATTCAAATTCAATTTTAAAAAAAAAAAACATGAATTAAAAAATGATATAATAGAATATTTACTTTGAGAATCTAAATGATGTAATTATTTATTATTGATTGAATATTCTTTGAATTTACTTTTATTTATAATAAAGCTTTTAAACTCTTCCGTTTAATCTCATTCATCCCTCCATATTGATCTATTGTAAATTTAACTTATATTTTATTCTATTTTCTTTTATACATATTAGTAAAGTTATTTATTTATTTACAAACAAACCTATTTTTCTTACTAATATTCTCATCTATTTTTATTAATGCAAATAAATATATTTGTTTATTTTTTTTTTTTCTTTATTTTTTCATACTAATAAGCTAATTAATTAATATTATGCATTTTCTTTAATATTTAAAAAGTTACAAAAAAATTAATGCTATTGATGCTTCAAGCTTAGGTTCTGCCTTAGCAAAGTACACTAATCTCTCAAATTTGACACTTCTTCTTGGGTAAAAACAGTTTATTTGTTATATATTGTGATATATTTTTACACAAAAATTAATTGAAAACAATCAATTTATTTATTTATTTATTAATTATCTTCTTTATTTGTTTTAATAAATTAAATTCACTTTTTCTTATTCTACTTTTGTTTAAATTTTTAATTTATTTCATATCTTTCTTCATTCTCATTATAACTAACTCACTATTTAATAAATTTTTTTCTTCAATATTTAAAAAGTCAAAATGAAATAGGTGATGAGGGTGCTTCAGGCTTATGTTTTGCTTTAGAAAAGTTCACTAATCTCTCTAAATTGACACTTGATCTAAAGTAAAAACTATTTATTTGTTTTTGATAGTGATATTTTTAATATAAAAATGTATTTAAAACAATTTTTAACTTATTAATTAATTTATTTATTTTTTAGTTTTTTATTCTAATTAAGTTTTTTTTCTTTATTTCTTAATTTGACTCATTCATTTTTTTATTTATTTATTTGTTGCTTTTATTTTAATTATTAATAATTTATTTCTTGATTTTTCTTCAATTTTTGCTTCTAACAAACTCATAAACTAATTAATTTAATATTTTGTTTAATATTTAAAAAGTTACAATTAAGTTGGTGATAAAGGAGTATCGGGTTTAGGTTTTGCTTTAGAAAAATGCAATAATATCTAAAATTTGACACTTGTTCTTCAGTAAAAACATTTTGTTTGCTTTTGATTGTGATAATTTTTAATATAAAAACGAATTTAAAACCATAAAACTCTTTTAAAATATTTATTTATTTATTTGCTTTTTTATTTGATTAATTTTCCATTTTTATTCTGCTTTTTTTTTCTTTTCTAAAATTAACTAAATTTTTTTATTGTAAACTTTAGCTTTGATTATTAATATAATATTTTTTTCATTTTCTTTCTAACTTCTGATTAATTAATGATATATTACTTCAATATTTAAAAAGTTCCAATTTATTTGGTGATGAAGGTGCATTAGGCATAGCTTTTGCCTTAGCAAATTACTCTAATCTCTAAAATTTGAAACTTGATCTAGGGTAAAAATATTTTGATTTGTGATATTTTTAAAATTTAAAAGTGAATTAAAAATAATATAATTAACTTTTTTAACTTATTTATTTATTTATTTATTTATTTATTTATTTATTTATTAGCTTTCTATTTGATTTATTTTTTTTATTATTTTAGTTGTGTTTTTATTTTCTTTCTTTTTTATATTAATTCATTTTTTTATTTTAAACTTTTACTTTTTTAATTAATTAATTTCTTATTATTTTATAGTTTTTCTTGATTTTTGCCTTCAACTAATTTATAATGTATTTATTTAATATTTAAATAGTTCCAATGATATAAGTGATGAAGGTACATCAGGTTTAGGTTCTGCTTTAGCAAAATGCACTAATCTCTCAAATTTGACTCTTACTCTTGAGTAAAAACAAACAGTTTATTTGTTTGTGATATTTTTACTTAAAATTAATTTTAAAAAAACAATAAATTTCCTTTAATGTTTTTATGCATTAAAAATTTTAATTAGATATTTATTTCATTTATTTTTCTTTTTTATCCTGGCTTTGTTTTTTTTCTTTTTTTCTTTCTTTCTTAATTAATTTATTTAATTCATTTTTTTTTACTTACAATAATTTTTCTTATTATTTCATTTTTTTTCTTTTTTTTTCATCATAACTTACTAATTAATTTATTAAAAATTTTCTTTAATATTTAAAAAGTTGCAATTAAATTGGTGCAGTTGGTGGATCTGGGTTAGGTTTTGCTTTAGAAAAATGCACTAATCTCACTAATTTGATACTTGATCTTAGGTAAGCAGTTTATTTGTTCTGAATTATGATATATATATTTTTATATATTAATTAATTTAAATCAATAAAACTCTTTTAATTTATTTTTATAACTTTTTAACTGATCTATTTTTTTTTATTTTGGTATTATTTTTCTTTCTTTCTTTCTTTCTTTCTTAATTATATCATTTTTTATGTTTAACTTTTTGTTTGATTATTTATTAAATGATTGATTGATTGCTTATTATATCATATTTTTTCTTCAATATTTGCTTCTAACTAACTAATTAATTAATTAAAAAAATTCTTTTCAATATTTAAAAAGTGGAAACTAAATAGGAGAAGAAGGTGCACAAAGCTTAGGTTATGGTTTAGAAAAGTGCACTAATCTCTCAAATTTGACACTAGATCTCAAGTAAAAACATTTTATTGGTTTTGGATTGTGATAATTTTTAATATAAAAATAAATTTAAAGCAATAAAATTCTTTCAATTAATTTATTTATTAGCTTTTTATTTGATTAATTTTTTCATTTTTATTCTGCTAATATTTATTTTTATTTCTTAAATTAACTCAATTTTTTATTTTAAACTTTAGCTTTAATTATTAATTAATTTATTTCTTATTGTTTCAAATATTCTCTTCATTTTTTAATTCTAATAGCTAATTAATTATATCTTTAATATCCAATAAGTTTAAATTATATTGGTGCAATTGGTGCATAAAGTTTAGGCTATTCTTTAGTAAAGTGCACTAATCTCTCAAATTTGACACTTCATTTGATGTAAAAACAGTTTATTTTTTTATTTATTTATTTTGGATTAGGATATTTTTTAATATAAAAATAAATATAAAACAATAAATTGTTTAATTTTTTTAATTATTTAGCTTTTTAGTTGATTTATTGTTCTTTTTTATTCTTGTTTTATTTTTGTTTGATTCTTTTTTCATTTAACTCACTTTCTGATTTTAAATTTTTAATTTAAAAAATAATTTTTTTGTAATTTTTTCCTAAAAGCTATATTTATTTTATTTAATATTTAATAAGTGAAAATTAAATTGGTGATGAAGGTACATCAAGCTTAGGTTCTGCTTTAGCGAAGTGCAAAAATCTCTCAAATTTAATTCTTAATCTTTGGTAAAAACAAACTGTTTATTTGTTTTGAAATGTGAAGTTTTTAATATAAAAATGGATTTAAAACAAAAAACTCTTTTATTAGCTCTTTATTTGATTTACTTTACTTGCTTATTCTGGTTCTGTTTGTTTTTTTTTTTTTCTGTTATTTTCTTAATTTACCTCATACTTTTTTTCATTTTCAACTTTTAATTTAATTAATAATTGATTCCCTTCTTGCTTCTTCATACTTTTTTCTTCATTTTAATTTATTAATTATATTTTTTCTTCAATATTTAAAAAGTGATAATTAAATTGGTGACGAAGGTGCATTAGGCTTAGGCTCTGCTTTAGTAAACTGCACTAATCTATCAAATTTGATTCTTGAATTCTAGTAAAAAAATTTTATTTATTTAGGATTGTTCTATTTTTTAATATAAAAATTAATTTAAAACAATAAAACTCTTTTAATTTATTTATTTATTTATTAGCTTTTTATTTGATTTATTTTTATTTTTCATTCAGATATTTTTTTTCTCTCTTAATTTAATCCATTTTTTCATTTTCAAATTTACTTTGATTATTAATTAAGTAATTACTTCATTTCATATTATTTCATATTTTTACATCATAAGCTTTCTAATTAACGAACTAAATAATTAAAATTGAAAAAGTTAAAATCAAATTGGCGATTAAGGTACATCAGGATTAGGTTCTGGTTTAGCTAAGTGCACTAATCTCTCAAATTTGTCTCTTAACCTTGGGTAAAAGCAGTTTATTTGTATTAGATTGAGATATTTTTTAATATAAATTGAATAATTAATTACAATAACACTATTTTAATTAATTAATTAATTTATTTTTTAATTAGTCTTTTATTTTATTTATTTATTTTTTTATTATGGCTGAGTTTCTTAATTTAAGTCATTATTTTATTTTAAAATTTAGATTTGATAATTAATTAGTTTATTCCATTCTTAATATTTCATATTGTGTCTTCATTTTTTCGTTCGTTCTAATTAGCTAACTAACTAACTAACTAAATAACTAATTAATATAAAATTTCTTCAAAATTTAACAAGTTATAATTAAATCGGTGATTAAGGAACATAAGGCTTAGGTTTTTGTTTAGCTAAGTGCACTAATCTCTCTAATTTGACACTAGATCTTGGGTAAAAGCAGCTTATTTGTTTTGGATTGAGATATTTTTTAATATTAATATGAAATTAAAGTGATAAAACTCTTTTCATTTATTTGTTTATTTACTTATTAGCTTTTTATTTTATTTGTTTCTCTTTTTTTATTATGGTAGTGGATTTTTTTTGTTAATTTAACTCATTTTTTTATTTTAAAAATTAGATTTGATTATTAATTTATTTATTCTTTTCTAATTTTTTCATATTTATTTTTTCTTAATTTTATCCTTCGAGTTAATTAATTAATTAATAAATTAGCTAACTAAATACTTTGCAACTAATGAATTAAAATTTTTTCGATATATAAAAAGTTAAAATTAAATTGGTGGTGAAGGTGCTAAAGGCATAGGTTTAGAAAAATGCTCCAATCTTTCAAATTTGAATCTTGATCTTAGGTAAAATCAAACTTTTTAATTATTTAGAATTTTTATATTTTTTTTATATAAAACTAATTTAAAAAAAATAAGTAAAACTCTTTTAATTCATTTATTTATTAGCTTTTTATTTTATTAATTTTTCATTTTTATTCTGGTTGATTTTTTTTCTTTCTTAATTTAACCTTAATTAATTCATTGCTATTGTTTTATATTATCTTCATTTTTCCTTTAAACTAGCTAGCTAACTAATTAAAATTTCTTCAATATTTAAAAAGTTACAATAAAATTGGTTATGAAGGCATATCAGACTTAGGTTCTAGTTTAGAAAAGTGCTCTAATCTTTCAAATTTGACACTCAATCTTCAGTAAAAAAAAACTATTTATTTATTTTGGATTGCAAAATTTTTTTATATAAAAATGAATTTAAAGCAATAAATATTTCTCACTCTTTTAATTTATTTTTTATTTATCTTTTTATTAAAAAATTTTTAATTTTTATTCTAGTTGTGCTTTTTTTTTTTTTAATTAATTAATTTAGCATATTCAATTTTTAGTTTGTTAAATTTAACTTTGATTGTAAATTAATTAATTAATTTGTTATTATTTTACATTTTATCTTCATTTTTTCCTTTTAATTAATTAATTAAATGACAATTTCTTCTATATTTATAAAAGCAAAAATTAAATTAGTGATCAAGGGGCATCTATCTTAGGTTCTGCTTTAGAAAATTGCTCTAATCTTTCAAATTTGACACTCGATATTCGGTAAAAACGAAACTGTTTATCTGTTTTGGATTGCTATATTTTTTAGTATAAAAATAAATTTAAAACAATAAAATCCTTTTAATTTATTTAATTAATTTATCTTTTTTTATTTTATTTGTGTTTTTACTTCTTCTTTGTTTGTTTGTTAATTTAACTAATTCGTTTTTTTATTATCAAATTTTACTTTAATTATAAATTTATTTTTTCCATGTTTTTTCTTCACTATTGGTTTTAACTAAATAACTAACTAACTAATTAATATATTTATTTTCTTTAATATTTATAAAGTTGCTAATCAATTGGAGAAATTGGAGCATCAAACTTAGGTTCTGGTTTAGGAAAGTGCACTAATATCTTAAATTTGAAACTTTCTCTTGAGTAAAAACAATTTATTAGTTTTGGATTGTGATATTTTTGAGTATAAAAATGAATTTAAAACAATTAACTATTTTGATTTTTTATTAGCTTTTTATTAAATTTATTAATTTTTGATCCTGATTTTACTCTTTTTTTTCATAATTAAAAAATACTTCTCATTTTATTGTAGCTAATTTTTATGTTTAATTAATATTAATTTATATAAATAGGAAAAACTAAATCAATTGGTCGCAATAATTGAAAATAAAAAGCAAGTGTCTAAAATAAAAAAGATTGGTTGTCTTTAAACTATTTTTCTATTGATAATAAATAAATGATGAAAATACTATGGATAAATATAAAATATTATATAATATAATATGTTATATTTATATTTTATATTATATATAATATTTTGCAATAATATAATTTAATCTAAAAAAGCTATTTATTTATTTATTTATTTATTTATTTATTTATTTCTGGTACTAAAATATATGAAAAAAAACGATTGCCAGATATTTCAATACCAGGATTTAAAACAATTAAAAAGTAATTATTTAATAATTTAAAAATATTAAGGTTGGTTAGCATATTTGTCTTAAAAGAATATTTATTTAATTAATTTTTAATATACAGTCTATATACATTCATTCTATGCTAACAATTATTTATTTATTTATTATGGGAATTTTAGCTGTTTTCCACAACTTTAAAATTTTTAATGTATTTTTTTTTTAATTTATAAAATAGCACTAAATAATAATAAATATTTTAAAAATTTTTATTAACCATTTTAATTAAATCTTTTAAAGAATTTATTTAAAATATTTAAATAATTTTTTTTTAAATATGAATGAATATTGAAAT